CGTATATATATATATATATATATATATATATATATATATATTAGCCCCAGGTACGGCCCGGTCCCAGATAGAACGAAACGTACCAGTGTATGCGCGACGCTCGTTGGCCAGCACTGCCCGTTGTCCAAGACTTGGGACATGTCAGTACTCTGGCATAATAACGTGTTTTTTACTTCTTAAACTTGCTGGCATCGGATGATATGTGGCCCGTCCAGCACGCCCCCTGTGCTCGATGCTCGCCCGTCATGGGCATAATGATGCATTGCGAGGCAGACTTTGATGGATGACGTTGGGCATATTGTGTGGGCGTCTACACCACGACACAGCCTGTACGTCTTGGTGTTTGCATTGTTCAACTTGAAATTGTAACGGGACATGGTCTCCTGTAGATCTCAGTCGAATGCTTCAGACGGTTACATTGCCATTACTACTCACTACATCATGGATGACTGTACTCTGTTTGCCATCAAAACATAATCTTCAATGCCGTTTCGTCCGAGTAGTTGCCTTGTTCTGGCTTCCTCGGCCGCAGCCCAAACAGCGCCATGTCGCCTTCCATGTTGCGACACCCCTCCCGCGTCTCGCCTCCAGCATGAACAAGAGTGAGGCCATTGTACAACGATAAATCCAATTTCACACAATATCGATTTCTGAAAGAACTCTATTAATAGCCATTACAGTTGTCTGCTGCCTCGCCAAAGAAAACTCTGCCAAGACAAACATCGACTCATAAGCCTAAACCATAACAACTCGATCTCCAAATGCACAAGCTAGCCTTGGCACCAATTACCCCATCATTAATCCCCTATTCCAATCTTTAAACAAGAAACAAAAAGACATCAACAAGAACGCTAGGAAAAAGTCTCTACCTTGTTGGGGCCACCCGCGGTCCGCCGTCCAGCCTTCTCCTCACTGCAACCCAACACCAATGATCGGCAGTTCATACACCCACCACGTGTCTTTACAAATCTGTATCATCAGGACCAGCATTCAATAAAAGACACTGATTCGTCCATACCTGATTCACCCCTCATGGTAGTGTCGACTTGGTCCGTATAGAAAAACCGAATGTCATGACGCGGAGTTGGTTCCGAAACCTTGTCAGAGCCGTAGGCAACCGAGTTGGAAGATTCGCGTCAAGAAATGCCGAGAAGCCTGCATTAATACCGACGGCTTCGGTTCAGACATCGTAGCACTGCCCGTGGAGCCATTGCTCGCAGAAGTGCATGTAATGGCACAATGAGACTAACAAATCGAAACTGAAAGAGTACAGATGTCAAACCCTTGTTTGGGTCAGGGGCGGTGACAGCTGCCAGAGTACGGGCGATGTTGACGCCTGCGGTGATTGACACGTCTCCGACCTTGGTGATGACCCTGCTTCGGTTGGAATGTGAGGAGTCAGCTCCAAGATCGAAGACGGCGGCGACATTGACATATTCGACTCTGGCGGCTCTGTCTGAAGCGGCATCTGGGATGACGGCTGCAATGCAGACGAAGATGGCGATGAAGACCTGTCCGGCAGTCTAGCTCGAGCCGGTAATGCAGGCGGGGGCATCAGCTCCCGGCAGGACAGATTCGTTGTCGGTGGCTCTGTCCGAGTCGGTATCTGGGGTGACGGCTGCAATGCAGACGAAGATGGTGATGGAGACTTGTGCGGCAATCTTGCTCGAGCCGGTGATGGAGGCGGAGGTATCAGCTCCCGGCCGGACAGATTCGTTCTCGGCGGTCGTGTTCCGATCGATAGTGGCGGAAGCGTCATTAGCTCACGATCCGCTGTCGACGAGATCGAAGTCGTTGCTAGGGAATCTGTTGATGTGCCTACGCTCTCTGTCACTCCCACATTGTGATCCTCGTTCGTCGCCGCGGCGTTGCTCTCTTCGGACGAGTCGACGGCGTCACGACTCCAGCTCGACTTGCTGATGATTTTAAGATTCCAGGTACTCATCTTCATGAGCTGGTTCAATTTGCGCTTAACGGCCGCTACGTCTTTGCATTTCCCATGCTTGAGCTGCCAGACCAGCTCTGCCACCTCAAAGGTCCAACTCTCCGCGTAACTGGCCCGAGCGAGTCGAGCCGCAAACTCAACCGACGCAACTTCGAGATTCTCGTGGACGCGGGTCCTCGTCATGTACAGGAAATGCGGAGGACACGGTGCCCCGCCTTCTTGTGCCTCTTGCAGTTCGAGAGCCAGCAGCTCTGCACGCTTGACTATAAGGGCGCGCTCGAGTATCCTCCTGTCCGCTCGCGCTTCAAGACAGCGCTCGCAGGGAACGCACACCAGTGCTTCCAAGATCAGTTCTTGCGGCTCACAGCGGCTTTCGCAGTCTCTTGTACAGTCGATTTTGAATACCGAGCGATGCATGCAGCCAGTGTACTGCAAAGCGGCGAAACAGCACACCATCTTGTTTGGTTCACATAGCGGACTGCTTTTGTTGTGCAAAGATGTGCTGCTTCTCGCGTCTGCGGAATGGGAAGGGAATACGAAAACTAGACTTTACGTTATCATCGTTTCTCCGAGCCGATAGTTTCTTTTAATCTTTAAACTTATTTGCCGAAACGCCGCTGACCGGTCCATGAGGCAAGCCAACAGGTGGCTTGTTCCTACCTTGACACATAAGTCACCATAAAAGTCACCATAAAAGTCACCACCAAAGTCACCACCAAAGTCACCTGTTGTACCTGCATGCTTTGCCCTAATCGAACGCCAACTTGTAGCTTTTTGTCTGGCTTTTCTTGCCGCTTGGAGCACGGCGGTTGGGTACCTACGCGGGAGGGGGGTGTTTTCTGACATGCCCTCTGACGTATTTTGCTATCTGGCATAATTTTTTGGCATGTTGCAAGGAACTCGCACTTTTCAGCATATTAAAAAAACTTCTGACATCCTATCCGAGAAGCCCAAATCCATGGCAACAGGCCTTAACAATGTTTTATCTACGAAAATCTGTCAGAGGGCATGTCAGAAAACACCCCCCCTCCCGCGTAGGTAAGCAAAACTCGTCGTTTTCCCGACCAAAATACATTCCAGGGAGTAATGGTGTTACAATGACAGTCTTCTTCCCTATCAGCCTAAAAAGACACTACTATGATATACACGCAGTCAGACTTTTCACTGCTTCTGTCAGGGAAAGGGTGCAGGGGGGTCACGTGTAAGGAAGTAGACATATAGAGGCGAGCGGCCGACGAACCAGCAGGGAGGAGGCAGCTACAATTCCACCATCATCAGCAACCATAAGGATTATCTTGTGACTAAAGTCCCTCAAGCACCAACCCTCACAGCTTCCTCGTCCCCATTTTGTCAAGAAACATTTCTATACGAGCCGCCACAACGCCTTCTCACGGGCTCAGTAACGCCCGCTCCCTCGTCACCCAAGCCACGCCGCCAAACTCTGTATTTCAAGCTATCCTGCGTCCACTAGCATAGCGTGGCTTTTCATAGTGCTGCGCCGGCCGTACTCTATGAAGACGGTTTGCTGCGGTGAGTAGTCAGAAGCGGCCGGCTGCCTGTCGGGGTCAAAGAGACGCGCGCAAAATCTGGGCTTATGCTCCGTGACAGAGATGACTGCCCAATGCTCTTAATGTTTTCAAAGATGCTCGATGAAGGTGCATCAATACTGGGACTGAGCGACCCGCTTGGAGGTTTTTCGTTTGACACAAGGCCTTTCGTGTGCACAAATGCGCTGGAGCGCACATGAAAGGGGTCCCTTTCATAGTACTTGTCAAGAATTGGATGCACCATGACCGTCTGCCGGTGAATAGTCAAAATAGAGTTGGTGGGCACGTTGACCCAATTCTCTAAGCGCGAGTTAGAACCACATTGTGTGCTACGGCTACGGCTTGCGCAGTCGTGAACGTCATTAACTCACCTCGCTCAAACGTTAGAGGTTCGCTCGCCACTAGGACAATGTCGGCACCCTTATCCTGGCGCTCCATGTGGTACTGTCTGTCGTCGGCAGCGCCTGTTCTCGTCTCCCACCGTGTTCCCGAAGAATAGTACAAGCTAGCAGCTTCGTCACGTGCGCTGCTGATGTATCGCGTGCAGATGGTGCTGTAGCCATCTGTGACGGCAAAATTGAGCAGACTGCGTGTGTCGACATTCTCGCTTTCGAGTATCTCCTTTGGGATGGAGTCTGTGAGCTCGTTGATCATGGCGATCGTCTTCTCGAGAGCTCTGCGTAAAACGGTTGGGCCGAAGCCTGTGGGAGGGCATGCGCTTGGGTCATGGCCGAGACGTTCTAGGGTGTCGAGAAAGAGGGCAAAAGCCCACTCGCTATCAGTACCACCTTGTACGCCCAAGTACCACTTGTCCGCAAGCTGGCTGCCTAGTCGGCGTTTAATATACTTCCAGCCACCGAGGCCACCATTATGCATCCACATCAAGCTACCGTGTGTGAAAGGATGGCAATTGTCCTCGTTTGTGGAGCCTTCGGTCGTGGCGCGGACGTGGGCAAATACGAGTCGAGAGGCGGTCTTTGACGCAATGCGCTGAAGGTTTGCGCAGTTCCATGCGGGTGTTGTCGATGTGAATAGGCAGGGCGCGGAGCCTAACTTTGGGTCTGTGTAAAAACCGATACCGAAGCCATCGGCATTGTTCTGCCCTCGTCGCGTGTCCTGTTTGAAGCGTCAGCCGAGGGCCCGCGGGAAGAAAGAAAGTGACTGGGCGCAATACCAGTCGTAGTCGCGAATCAAAAGACTGCTTAAGGATCGAATGTGTTGGGTCGAGGATTAGCTTGGAGAGCAGTATCTCATCGCTGCCTTTGTATACCTAATACCGTCAGCAGCAGCTCTTTAGCCAAAGTTTAACATGCGCCCATACCAGAAAGCGACACATTTTTCAGAGCGTTATGGACAGGTGCTTGTAGCTGAAGGGGACAACTCAGTCTTAACACAGAAATAAAAAGCCCCTTAATGGTTTTGTCGAGTTGCAAAGTACACGCAATTGTGCATGACTCTTCAGAATGACACCATCGGCGCCACGCCAGATTATGGTCAGGGCAGCGAGATCGGCCCGGGTAGCCAGGGGAAAGAAAGACTGGGGTAGTACAGAGAAGGAAGCACAAGTAATCGTAACTAGATTCGTAAAATAATGATTTGAATCAGGGGTAAATAGGTACTTGGGTCCTAGAAGCGATTAGTTGCAAGGTTCAAAATGGATACTAGAGGGCCAGATTGCAGCGCTTGATGTTGGTCAGAGACACGCGCCAACTGTGGCGGTGGAGTCTGCGGCAATCATGATGTGGTGCATTGCAAGGCGCAATATTTACTAGTAAATCATTGAGGTGTGGCTGGCGCTTGTCTGCTGCCTGCGGCTGATTAGCCAGAATCTTCCCGATTTTCGGACGGACAGCGAAAAGCATAAAAGTGGCAATCTTCATTCTCGAGAATTTCGTTTTGTTTTCGTTTTGTTTTCGCTTTGTCTTTTCTTCTACCGTTTTTCCCGTCTTACCGGAGAAACTCTAGCTCTGTGGACAGAGGCAGCCTGACAGTTGCCGGTCTTGGCACGAGGCGCCTTTTCTGGGAACATGAGAGGAAATAACAAATTTGTTCTCAATGTGCATAGTTATCTCAGCTCCCTCACTGTCCATTCCCTAAACATGTACTAATGGTTCATTTGACTAGATAAATCATTTCATGACATAAAAACCAAGCGCAGAAGCAATGCGAAAACTCCCCATGAAACGCCTAATTTTGATGAGATAGCCCCAACATGGATTTACAACCAGTGCCCCCAAATATCGCGATTGACTTGTATCGATCGTCCTCTCACGCATTCAGCTTCTTAAGTCTGCGTGCTATGTCCGCCGCTGTCTGCTGCATCGGGTTGAGCTTAGCATCCCGCGCCATCGCCCTCGTGTCGTCGCCGTGTTTGGCAATCAGCTTCTCCAGCCATTCGGCCTCTCTCTCACTCAAATGCCTCGTCTTTTTCGGCGCCGGGTTCCTGGCCTGCTCCACCAGCTCACGCACAACATCCGTCATGCCTTCATCCTCTCCATCGTGTATGCCGCCCCATTCCTCGTGCTCTTCCCTTCGCTTCTTGTTCTTCTTGTAGCTACCATCGTCTAGCTCAGTAACGACTTCCTCCTCGTCGCTGTCGTTGTCGAGCGGCCGCAGGGGATCGTTGAGCGGGTTCTCGCCGCCAGGGCGGATGACACGGATAATCTTGCCGGAAGCGTCGCGCTCGACTTTGACTTCAGAGATGATGGCCTTTTCGGTGCTCTCGATTGCAAACGGAGAGGAGGACGCGGCGTCGGCGGCCGAGTGGGCAGCGCGGAGGGCAGCTATGGAAGATTTGTCGAGAGGGCTCTCGACGCCGCCAGTGGGCGCGCGCAAACGAGAGACGAGACCGAGTCGGCGATAGTTTTGCGACAGTGTCGCTTTCTTGTCCCTAGTTCTTTCAGTCAACCAAACTTGAGACGTTCAGTGGATATCGAGCTGCCGAGTAACATGGACGTACCAGTTTTCGGCAATGATGTTGTTGCCCCGCGGGTTGAGAATCTTTTTTGTCTTGTTGGACTGGCGCACCGGCTTGCGACCGGCGCGGCGCTTCTTCTTCTGCAGTTCGCGACCCATTCTGTAGGATTTACGTGCGGATCTTCTTGTACAATCGGAGAGGTAATGGTCAATTGGCGGTGTTTATGGAGCGAAAAAGCTGGTTGGCAATGGCGATTTGCACCAGGAGAGATGGTGATTTTTTTCTGGGTCGTGGCCTATCGATAAGCTCACACTTTTCCACAGTGGTCAGTAAGTACTTGTTGAGCTGGCCGAGACCAGCGAGTGAGGCGTCGACAACGACGAATATATTTATTCAATAAATCATGACGTTAGATTTGGTTGGATTTCTTGTCGAATATAGGTAAAGGAAAATTTAAAGACAAACCAAGCTTTAGATCAAGGAAAGGTGTTACCGGCAGTGCAACTGCAACGCATCCTTATGCGACCACATATAGCGCGCTTGACTGAAAGAAGATAGGAAAAGTGAAGAGTCCATTTCGACAGGCTCCGACAGCAACTACCTTTTTGTGAGCCTGCTGAGAATAAGGAAATAAGAACTGATTTATCGGATTTCTGTGTCTCTGCTGTCCCTATTTTGCGAAACAAGGACCAAGCCGCATCCGTGCTAATCAGCCTACCAAACGATTTTCAACCCTCAACACGAACGTCGCTCATGTTGCATTCCATATGAACGGGGGGGGTTCCGAAATTCCGCAATTTTGTCAGCATTATTTACCGACTCTGACGTCCTATTCAGCAGGTCGCACCAGCGATAAGATCCCGTCCTGGAACTGGTTTCTCATATCCGAGTCGGCGCTCACCGCAACCGACTTCAATATTCTCACGTAAAGGCATGGGTACAGTGCCACCACGCCCTGTGTTGCGGATCACTTGGAAGAGGAAAAGTAAACGGTTTTAAGATTGATTATTGAATAGCTTGTTCTGTTATTGCTAACGATGGTCCTCTATACCAGGGGCGCTTTTCCCAATCTGCACTAGTAAAAACCAAAAGGCAACAAGTTACAACTACTCAACGCGCAACTCGCTCACGACTGGTGTGGCCAGAGGAGCTTGCCGTCTTTTTGCCGGCATTTGCCGCCCTCAGAGTCCCAGGCAAAGCCACTACAAACTCTACAGACAGCCCAGCCCATGTCAAGCTCTGCTTCCGTCTGCCCACCTCCACAGGGGAAAGAGCCAGTCAAGTCGTTGCACTGCCCTGATGGCGTCGGGTCCCTCTCTGTTATAGCTGTAAGAGATGGCCATACAAGCGCCCCCTTGATATCTCTGCATTTTCCGCCCTCCGGGTCCCAGAAGCTTCCGCAGCTTCCGCAGACGGCACGTCCTATATCCAGCTGTTCCTCCGTCTGCCCGCCTCCACATGGTATAGGTCCAGTCGTGTCGAAGCACTGCCGCGGCGGCTCTGCTAGTGTTTCCGGGGCCTCTTCCACTTCTTCAACTACTGTCCCCGGCGGACAGTTGATTCGGATCAGTTCTTTCCGATACTCTGGGTTAGGATGAATGTCAGGTCGCTTGACGGTTTCGCAATGGCCATACTTTCCAGGATTAATCAGATAGACCATGGGGGTTCCCTTCCCAAAATGTTCGTCCTAGAAGCGAGTAATAGAGTCGATAATCTCTTAAATTTTCTCAGGTGCGCCAGGAATAGCCTCAACAAGTCGCTAAACTCCTAACCCAATCGCATACCCCCCTGCTAGCCCCCCATATGTATTGACTAGCGTGCCTCCAACCGAAGGAATCTTGCCGCCAATCGGCAACTTGCCCAAGCCTAGCACGCACAAATCGCACTTCCGGCAATCTAGTGACGAGTTCTTAGGCCACACTGTGCCAGGCTTCTTTCTTAGCCCCTTAAGCGTGTCCTCCCTCCAGTCAGAACTGCCAGGCTTAGGCTTGAAGAGCTCTAGAAGACCCCCTATCATGTGCTTATTAGGCGGTCTAGGACTCTTAGGAGGGTTGCTTTGCAGCTGTCCGGGGCCACCCCATTTACCAATGCCGGCGATTGCTTGATCAAGAATTTATTAGCCGGGAGGCGTCTCCTTATAAGGAGGAGTCTACGCGCAGGCTAGCCCGATAAGGGTTATATAGATAATAGCAATCTTCATCTTACGTATAGTAAAGAGTTATACTCGAATATCTGAAAGGCCTTATTAGAAAATTCGGGACTTATAGATGTAGAATCCAGCAGAGGCAAGCGGCCGAATTTATAGTTTACTTTTCATGGTCCAGGCTCAACACGTTCCTCACGTTAAAGCGCAATATACTTAGATGGCCAAAGCAGCTATCGTATTTCAACTATGGCTAGAGAGTTTACATAATTTCAATTATGTCTCCAATAGTGTGAAACAATATATTACTAGCCTACTTTTTCTAACATCATGGGGCATAAAAAAGGTAATTTTCTTATAGATGGAGACCAGGCTACTAAAATTATCTTAAATGTTAGGCATCGTGTACATGCCAGAGTAGGATGCGTGCGCGTTGTAGTGATGTACTATCTCGTCTCATCTCATACCCTATGCATAAACAAGTCTTATACAAAGGACGAGTGTTCATACCCATAAAGTCATGCGTTATACTGACCAACACATGTGGCGATCATTGGAAAACTCTAGATTCACAATGGCGAATCCTAAATGTACTAGTCGATAGCTGAAAATGACTCGCTTGCCGCAATTCTTAGTTGAGGCTTGGAACTGTGTGTTTGACGCTAGGGCTGAATTATTCGAACGGTTGCCTTACTAGTTGCCGCCACAGCCGGAACTTCTTTGCCGAACATAAGTCAATCGTTATGCTGAGATTTATATGGACCTCGCCTCCAATTCATAGCATGTATATGCCGTGGATCTTTCATCTGAAATTCATCAGCCTGTCACGCTCAGTATGTCGATGGCTTATTAACCTTACTTTACCTTCTATACTATGCCAAAGCTCCAAGTCATGGCGCGCACCACAGACTGTACCCGCTTGCGTTCTTGTCATAAACACTATCCAATATCTACTTGCCCTACTACGCATTACAATTTATACAAGACACCTGTTAATTTAATGACTTTTGCATAAAGCTCCATCAAATACTTAGAAGTAAAGGACTTCTTTTATAGAGTATAAAATATTACATAGTTTACCTCAAGGCTATAACTTCTTCCTTCTTCTTTAATTAACTAGAGCCGTTTCTTATCATACGTCAAGTGGCGAGTTATCACGGCTCTGGATTTCAAAAAAAAATATCTCGTCGCTTTAAAGCCCTTCTCGTCAAAATCCTACACTTAAATTTTCTTTCTTTCTTCCATACTTAAAGAAGGCCTAAAGACAGTCTCTCAAAATAGTCCGAATCACCAGCATTGCACTACTGGCTTGTACGTACATAGTCTTTTCATCCTTCACTCGTTCCCCTACACGTGCTCTCCAACAGGTCTACACGTCATTGCACTGCCAATTAGAATTCAAATGAGTTTGCTAACACGGAAACCCCGTCTTTTCTCAGCTTCTGCCTCTACTTTGGCCGTGTCTGCTAAACTTGAGTTCGATGCCACTCGTATGGTTAACCGAGAGCATGCAATCATTTCGCGTCAAGACTCTCCTCCTTCCGAGCCTCCGGTTAAGGAGCCAAAGCCTAAAGAGGTAAAGACTGCCAATGCAGACCTAGCCGTGCTATTGCAAAAGATTCTAGATGCTATAAGAAGCGTCAACGAGGACATAGAACAGGGCAAAGTAAAACTCAAAACCGAGACAAAGCTTACGCCTAAAGAAGAAAAGGTTGCCCTTAAAAATATACAGAAGGGGATCATACAATCCGCCCAAACCTTGGTGGATGTAGGTAAACCGTTAATTAAAGGCGAAGAAGAAGGCAAAGTCAAGCCTGCACCGGAAGCCAAGTAAGCGAGCAAGCTGTTTAGTAAAAGAGACGGTTATTATAGACTCTTAAATATAATGGTTACTTTTCCAAGGCTCGGCTCCAATACCGTAATAAGCATGCAGATACATGGCCACCTCGGCGATCGCGCTGCCCACTTTTGGTGGTCTGATGGCAGCTCTAAGTTAGTCAGGCCCTCCATCCCGTCCCACCTGGCTAATCAGTAATTAGTCGTTGACGTACCGGGGTCGGAGAGAGGGAGAGACGCAGTTGCTACACAAGTTCTGGTCACTGAACACAGGTGAGCTCCTATGCTGTTCGACGTCGACAGGGTTTTTGCATGGTCCTGATGTGAAGGTGCGCAGGCACCTCGCCAATGCTTTGCTCTAGCCGACAGATTGATGATCGCGGTAATTTCCCAGACATCAACGCGACGACTGTGGGTCTCATCTATGCATAAGGGAGTTTGGCGGCGAACAAGTCTTCCCTAGTCTCACCAGTTCGTGACGGCGTCATTGATGCTTGGACGGACAATATGCACAAGCTCGTGGTGGCGGCGATTACGCTCGCAGCAGTGGACATCATGACGTGCATGGTGCTAGCTAGGAGACCATGAGCTGAAGGACAAGCGGCAAAATAACGTGGAACAAGTTCAACCAGGTGTTTTGCCACCAGCTTCTACGTGTTGCCTGATGATAGTATTAAGCTTGGATGGAGGCGATGAATGTATCCGGTAGCCAGCTCCCATTACAGAGAAAGGTACGTGTTTGAATTGCGCTGCGTCTATTCTTTTCGGTTGGATTTATTAGTTGCTGAGGTCCCAAGTATTCAAAGATGTTGTACGTTCCCTTGCCTTCTCTTTTCATTGCTTTGAACCGCCCTTGGTGAATTTCCAGAGTGCATGATCGCAACAAGATCGACACCATGTCACAAAAGTCGCGAATTTATGACAGCATCATACGCGAACTCGTGTCTTCGTATCGATGCGAGTCATGACGGCATTCTAAAGGAGAGAAGCAGAGAAGCAGAGAAGCGCTCGCTTACTTAGCGAGTCGGCTAATTGTTGCAGTGACTCTCTGCCGAGTATAGCCCGACATGATCGGAAATGTTCCATTCAATGCCGACACTATTAATTCCCGGCGCCGAACGTGTGGATAAGATGTTGGGGACGTAACGTGCTACGACTCAAGCACTGGCCGGACTTGTCGGCTTGGCTACGGGTCGTTGTAAATATTTCTCCCTCCCAAGGGAGGAAAACCACCGTCGTATGCGCAGAACTTAAAATTAGGTATTATAGGTCCTCTGTTATACGTCCACTCAACCAGTGCTCAGGAATTACACGAGTCAAACGTGAAGACATCAAATGGGCCAGCAGCTGGAAATGGAACTGAGTAATCCACTGTCGTACCGATGTCGATGGAGCAAAAGAATTGCTCAAGCTTATGATATAACCGTGACTAGAATCTAAATCCATATAAGCACTTTTCCGCATAATAGCCACCTTTATAGTCGTACTAATGACTTGCTATTGTTACCAGGTATATATATACAGTGAATCTAGGTAATTCTCTTTGATGTACTTAAGTCGCGAATTACCAGTGCCTAAAAGCTCAAGGTCACGACATGATAGTAGACCCTCGAACTCGGACCCCTGTCCCTGCCAGAGCGGTACCTTTGACAGGGGTTCTCTGTCGTTTTTTAAAAATTGTCAAAAATCGGGCCTTTTCTTGCGAGAATTGTTGCGAGTTACTCTCATGATCAGGCCGCAAGTGTTTAGCCGGGTTTCGCTGGGGAGCACCCTTGAGAGAAACGAAAGAAGGGGGCAAGCACGGCTGGTAGAATGAATTTGGATCAAATTGGCGCCATGTAAATCGAAAAAGATTCCGCCGTTTTGATCGGCCGTATTGATCGGCCGTATTGATCGGCCGTATTGAGTTGAAAAGAATATAAGCCCGTTGTTCTCTGTCAAGGAGCTGTTGTAACTTGTTTCTCTCTCCACCAGTTTCCTACTCATCTGCGACACTGTTGCAGCTAATCTGCATTATGACAAAATTCCTAACTCTTTTACTCCCCCTTCTGGCGCGGTTTGCTGCTGCGAGCACCGCAGTCTCGACTCCCGAAGATGTGACCATGTGGTGTGACGGGGAACTTGACGTCGACTCGGCCGACCTGGCGCCCTTTTACGATCCTGTGCCTTTGCATGACGCTCTACAAGGCCGCCAAGAAGCGCAGCAGTTCCCCCCATTAAGCTTCCGAGTCTTCAATCACGTTGTCTACGCGAACGAGACTGTCAAGGGAGGCTACGTATCGGTACGTCGATGCTGCTTCTACGCAATGTTTTTTGCCTTCATCTACTCGTGCGTCAGACTAATTCCGAGGCAGGAATACGATGTTAAAAAGGTGGTCGACATGCTGAGCACGGACTTTGGGAGGTTTGGGGTATCCTTTACCTACGTTAATACGACTTACACCCTAAGCGAGACCTTGACTACCGTGACGAACCGCAAAGAGATGTATAAGAAGTTGGTAAGACCGCGGCGACTAGGCGGGTATGCGGACCTGAATCTCTTCTGGGTGGCTTTTCTCAATGGTGCCAAGGGCACCTGCAGTATGCCGGCTCCAGGTTACTTGAGCGGCGAGCGCGCGAGGGATCAGGTGGTTCCCGCTGACGCCTGCACCCTGCGCGCCACGACTGTCGAGGACGTCGGGGGCAAAGTCATCACCCACGAAGTCGGTCATTGGCTGGGCCTGCTCCATCCTTGGACCAAGGGATGTGAGGTTGGCGATTATGTTGCCGACACTTGGCCGCAGGAGATGGGAACAAATGATATCCCTCAGAGTAAGAGAAGGGAAGATAACGGTGGCGAGGTCTTTCAGTGCGGTGAATGGCGCCCCAGCAACTACCGTAATTTTATGGATTACTTGTGAGTTTGAGCCATCTACACGGTCATTGTTTTGCCGGGTTTTGCTAATCTCATCACTCGACTCCGTCTAGCCCTTACCGGACACACTTCACCGATCTCCAGGGCGAGCGCATTAGGGCGCATGGCTACCTGCGCCACAAGTACAGCACCGAGCGTCCTGTTTCCATCAGCGAGGGCGAGGTCTGGGCCGGTTGCAAGGTCAGCTGGAACGGTCCCAAGTCCTTCCCGAACGGCCTCGCCTGCGAGATGAACTCGACAGAGACCCTGTTCCTCTCGTGCGCTGCCAAGGCAGCTGCCGGTGGCTCTGCAGAACCATTCACGATCGAAGCCCCTTGCCCCCTCCGATGGGTCGGACCCGCGGAGTTTGATGGCGAGGTCAACTGCGAGGAGTTGAACTTTAACCATTTCCAATGCAAGCCCGCTACCGCCCCGCAAGTACCCAGTCAAACCGAGCCGGTAGGCACTCCCCCCTGAAGCGACAGCCATGAGAGCCCAGTCATTGTAATAAGAAGCTGACCCAAATGATACGGCAGGCAAAGGAGGACGAAGAGAAACCGTGGGTCTGGGAAATTGCGGAAGATATCAAGTCAGAGCCCAAGCAGGAGCAGGAGGACGAAGAGAAACCGTGGGTCTGGGACATCTCGGACAATTAGAAACTTGAAGGCAGAATGACGAAGCTGGAAATCTTGCGCGGATGCTGCTGGGGGCATTTGGAGAGGGGAGTTTGGAGAAGGCGCTGGAGTGTAACGGACCGGCTGGCCAGATGCCTAACAATAGTACGGAGCCAGGATCAAGTATTTCTAGAAGCATGAGAATAAAATCAGTGTTAGTTTGGATTTTTTCAAGTTGGCAAGAGATACCTTTATAACTGCTGGACCTGCTCTAATCATTTTATCTCCCTCTCTCCTGGCTATCCATCTTCGTCACCCATCGCCATTCAGTCCCGGACTACACTTCCCTAAGCTAGAAACTAGGGGGGGGGAAACACATTGAGAATTTGCATGCTGTTGGTTGCCTGGAATATTTGCGTGGTATCAGTACAACTACCATCCCCGTCACTGCGTGGCTTTCACCCGCCACGCCCCCCCTACGAACTACTTGTCGATGTCGGCTTATTCCCGCGTTGGCGGCGCCATCCGAGCTGAGATGACACCCCCTGCCAAGGCAAGAGTGAGAACATCCGTGCACCTCGCCTTGTTTCCCCCCCAAAACATCATCCTTGTCCCGGATCCTAAATAGTCCAAGCCCACGAACGCGGGGTGGTGATGAGATTAGGTGATGATGGTGCCCAGAGGAAGCTAGGTAACGTCTCACTTACACTAGCCAACCCATAACGCCACATATGGCAACTGGTCATCCAACAAGCAGCAAGGTGAGCTGTAGACAAGGTTCTAAGAGTATAATCTCGTGTCAGCAACGTCATCAAGGACTGACCCCTCTCGATGAGGCCAGCTGTCAAGACACCGCAGCTCAAGACGAAAATGAACAAAGATGGCCAGGCACGTGGGTTAGTGGTTAGTTGGTGTTGCAATTTGTGCGTGGCGCTTGTTCACAAGACGTTTCGTGGCCAGTGCAAAACAGATCACCACTTGCACTGCGTTCATGTTCGATTTCCAGTCTGGTCTAACTGACGGTCCCTTTCCTCCTAAAATGAATGAGGGATGAAACTATCAACTAGTCGGGGGGCAGAGACACGAGTCTGAAGCTCTAGAGGCTCTTTTCCACCGCCATCACTTCCCTCGTTCCCTCTTCAATGGCCTTCACACTCGCCTCGCCAAGACGCTTGAGCGGCCGCCTAGGATAGCCGCCATAACCAAAATAGCTCTGAATCGCCTGTTTGGTGCCGGCAATAGCCGTCTTGGTGAGCGGCCAGTCGCCGCTGCTGAGAATCTTCTGCAGTGCCTCCGCCTCGTCCCGCTTGCCCTCCGCATACAGGTTCCATACCCCCGCGCAGACTTTTGGCATGACGTTGGCGCCGCCGGCGATGATGCCGCTGCCACCGCTTTGAAGCGTCTGCGTGGTAAAGTCGCACATGCCGCCAAACGCCATGTACCCGGAGCCCTCGGCGGCGGGTGTCTTGGCACGGGTGGCGCTCGCCACGCGCGTCAGCTTGCCCGTGTTGCCGCAGGTGAATTTTGTGCCGACAATGTTGGGGTGCTGCGCCAGACGAATGATGAGGTCGCTGTCCATGTCGATGCCGGACACGGCGCCGGGGTAGTTGTATAGGATAACGGGCAGCGGCGAGGCATCGGCGACGGCGGTAAAGTAGTCGTAAATGACGGCCTCGTCCATCTGCGCGCGGTAGTAGGATGGGGGGAGAATGAGGGCATAGTCGGCACCTTGCTCAACTGCTAGTGTGCACAGATCAATGGTGCCGCGGACGGAGCCTTCAGTGGCGCCGAAGATAATGGGCCTGGACGCGAAGCCGGCCTCGTCGAGGGCTTCGCGCGTAGCCTTGGTGACTGCGAGCTTTTCTTCTCGCGTGCAGTGGACAGCTTCGCCGTTGGAGCCCATGACGACGAGACCAGCCAAGCCATCGCGAACCAGCCGCTGGGCATGCTTCTTGATGGTAGAGAGGTCGAGGTCCTCGGTCTCGGGGTCGAAGAAGGTCATGGTCGGGGCGTAGATGCCGCACGGCAACGGACGATGTTGAGTGGCCATTACGTGAGTTGTCTTGCAATATAAAGAGGAAAAGAGTGTCTGAGATCGTGAAAGAAATCCGAGCGAGCATGGAGCAACAGAAACTATGTGGTACCTGTAACGGGGTAATTCTAGTTAATTATATTATATCATGCCTGGAGTATGGCGGCGGCGGCGGTGGTGGGGCCGGTCCCGATTCCGATGGATTCTTGCCAGCAGGACCCCCGACAATCTTAAGCCGTCGGGAATTTTGAGGCATGTCTGCGCCGACAATGAATCTGGTACAACGAGAGATGACAAGGCGAAACACCAAGATCAAAGGCCTTTGAAAGCAGTTTTCTGGCAACACATAGACGTGTATGCCACGTTTTAATACCAGAACTAGTATGCATTGCCATGGTTGAGACGGATACAACTGTTTTTCAAAATGCAGGTAAATGACAAAATTGTGTGGAAATTTCAAACTGGACAACAACTTGAATCTAGATTGCTATCCAGTTTTCTATTCGCGCATAATTCTTTACGCGAATTTCTGGTCCTTCTGCTGACCATCAAATCTAGTGCGGGGTTGCTTGGCGGGGGAGGGGTAACTGGATGGCGGCAAACCAGCCTTCTCTGGAATCTTGGCGGGCATCGTGAGAAAATTGAGGAACCATCCTGACTAGGCAATCCTCGCCGATATACACCGCATCCAACGGCCGCCGATCTTGGCAACTCCAAACAGCACCAAACAGCAGCTCATCGCAGCGGGTGGGGAAATAATATCCCTCCAATTGCCAGCAGCTATCACCAGAGCGCAAAGCCAATCGTCGTTTGAAGCTGGACCATCCGTATTTGATCAAAACCCAGCCTTCATCTACCAAGGCGACTCATCACATCTTTGAACTCTATTAATACCTGCAGCTGCACCTCTTTCTGGTTCGTTTTTGGCATTGTTCCGTGTGGAAAGCAGCTCTAAGATACCCTTCCACAAAACTACAGCTGCTTCCCCGCAGGGCAGTCAACACCATGGCAGCACCCATCAATGTCTTGATGATTGGTACTGGCGAGTACACCACTGGCTTCGTCGGCACCGGTGGCTCGGCCTCGGACAAAAAGGTTGGCGTCGTCGGCCTCACCCTTTTTGACCTCCGCCGTCGCGGCAAGGTTGGGAAGCTGGGCATGGTTGGCGTCAACGGCACCAAGTTCCCCGCCATTCGTGCGCCTCCCCCCCAAGCTCCCACGCACATTGGCGATTTTTCTAACCCTCTCCAGGCGAGCATCTTGACAAGAACATTACTCAAGTCTACAACGGCCTGGACACCTCGTTTGACTCATTTCCGGCCAACGATCAAAAAGACCCCGACGCTTACAAGGCCGCCATTGATGGCCTCAAGCCCGGCGATGCCATCACCATCTTCACCCCGGACCCGACGCACTTTCCCATTGCTCTCTATGCTATTGAGCGCGGCATCCACGTCCTCATCACCAAGCCCGCCGTCAAGCTTCTTGAGCACCACCAGGAGCTGATTCGACGCGCCGACGAGAGAGGCGTCTACGTCTTCATTGAGCACCACAAGCGTTTCGACCCGGCCTACTCGGATGCCCGATTCAAGGCCAAGACGCTCGGCGACTTCAACTACTGGTACTCGTACATGTCGCAGCCCAAGTACCAGCTCGACACCTTCAAGTCGTGGGCCGGCAAGGAGTCGGACATTTCCTACTACCTCAACAGCCACCACGTCGACATTTGCGACTCCATGGTCCAGGACCGCTACGTGCCCGTCAAGGTCTCGGCGTCATCGTCCAAGGGCGTCGCCGTCGCCCGCGGCTGCGTCGACGAGACCGAGGACACCATCTCGGTGCTCGTCACCTGGGCGAAAAAGGACGACCCCAGCAAGCGCGCCGTCGGCGTCTACACCTCGTCCTGGACGGCCCCCGAGCGTGCCGGCGTCCACACCAACCAGTACTTTCACTACCTGGCCGCCGACGGCGAGATTCGCGTCGACCAGGCGCACCGCGGCTACGACATTGCCGATGACAAGGCCGGCCAGCTGCAGTGGTTCAATCCTTTTTACATGCGCTACGCTCCGGACGAGGATGGAAACTTCAACGGCCAGACGGGCTACGGCTACATTTCCCTTGAAAAGTTTGTCGACGGCTGCCGCGCGGTCAACGAGGGCCGCCTGAAGCCGGCGGACCTCGATGCCAAGGGACTGCCGACGCTGCGCAACACAATTGCGACGACTGCGATTCTGCATGCTGGCCGCAAGAGTATTGACGAGAGCCGTGAGATTGGCATCGTTGTTGAAGATGGTGTGTGGAAGCTGGTATAAGAGACGTGTGATGGGGAATTGACGCGTTGGGTTCAGCAAGTGCACTTTGAGAAAAAGGACGCAAAGTTGACAAAGCATGTGAGATGGCTACGATTAGTAACAGCTAAAAGTATGTGAGAAATCAAGTATGTAAATTAAACCACTGTCATGATTCCCTCGTTCTCGCGATGGAGGTGGGGCGGCTTGAGGTGCCAAACTCCAACTTTTTCGGAACCACTGTCTCTGTTTCTCACATCAAACAACAGCCTTTACTTTATCAAAAGCAGAGACACTGGCTTCTACGGCTCCTTAATTTATGCTCAACTTTCTGATAAGCCGAGCACAATAGCATAAGAGGCAGCCGCGCACGTCTCGCCTCCATCTGCTGGTCAGTATGGCGTCGCCAGCCTCAAAGCCAGAGGCGGCATCTAGCCCGCGCCCAATAGGCATTCACCACTCCGACATTATATTCTCCCACGACCAGCAAATGTCCATGTCGGCGCTCATGTCTGGGCTGAAGCGCACCACGCTCACCGTGCACAACCGCCTGCGCTCGATCCGGGCCGACGCCGACTTCGTCGCGCGAGCGGCCAGCGCCTTTGGCGGACCGAGAGAAGCACAAGCAGAAGCAGAAGACGCAGCAGCAGCATCGTGTAATACAAGGAGACCTCTGATTGCGAATGAGCGCTGCGGGAGCTGGTACGTGCGGCCAGAGAACAAGGGCGGCAGCGCCTACTTTAAGAGCACCGACGGCCACGAGCGCGCGTGGAAGTTTAGCACGCGCAGACTAAACCTCCACATTGTCGAGCTTGCCGAAAAGCACGACGGGTACGTTTTTTTCTTTTGCATATTTGAATTAGGAGAGAGAGATTTCAATTTTCTTTTGTTTTTTAAAAACAGAAGGAAAAAGTCAAGGGCTCACAAACCGTATATATAGCGTCATCATTGTAGACTCGACGCGGCGGGGGAAGCGCATGCCTGATGCGCTGTCCACCACCATCCCCGTGTGGTGCGCCGTGCTCAACCGCGTGCTGCTCCCGCAGCACCCGCTGTCCCAGAAGCTGTTCCTGCCGCCGTCGCTGCCGCCCACGACGCACGCGCAGATTACAGCCCTGCTGCCGGGCTTCGTCGCGTCCTTGGAGGCGCTCACGCTGCCGCTGCCGCACGGGCTCAGCAAGCCGCTACGCCCGCTCTGGATCACGCAAGATTCTGTGCTGCCGCCGGCGGGGGAGGAGGAAGAAGACGACGGCGAGGACAAAGGCAGCAGCAGTGTCATATTCGAGGACTGCAGGCCCGTGATTTGCTGTACGGCGAGCCGGCGCGTCGTGGGCGCCAGCGAGAGGGAGGAGGGCGGGTATATACAAGGCGCGGGCGACGATACGGAGAATTGGGCGCACGGGCTCACGCCGCCCGTGTTTTGGGCTCATGTGGATAGGCTGCTAGAAACAGCAGAGGCTGATCTCCCGGCGCTGATAAAACAGCTCGTGGAGGAAGACGCTGCTACGCATGCGTCGACGGGCAGCGAGGCGCGCACACAGCTGGCGCCGGGCATCTACGTCTGCCCAACGTCAGCCGCGACATGCCCCCGCGGAGAGGAGAGCAGCGAAGAATGCCACATCCAGCTGCTCCCGTCGGCATCGCCCCAGGAGTCGTGGGTCAAGGGCCGGCGTCTCATGCAAGTCGGGCTCGGCAACAGCAAAGCCGGCAGCCGCAATCTCCGCCTCGCCCTGCCGCACATTTGCGCGTTTGCGCGCGAATACATGCGCGGCGGCGACCGCGGCGGCGACAATGAGAAAATCATCGTCGTCTCGTGCGAGTCGGGCAAGGACTTTTCGGTAGGGACTGCGCTGGCGCTGTCGTGCTTGCTCCTCGACGATGCTGGGTCACCACTGCGCGAGGAGGGCGGCGGCGCGCGGGTGGCCTTTACAAAGACGCTGGTCAAGAGCAGGCTGGGTGGGTTCATGACGGCGTTTCCGGCGGCGAATCCGAGTCGGGCTACATTGCAGAGCGTTAATAGCTTTCTGATGGACTGGAGAAATTAGCTGCCTGTCGTGATATCTGAGAACTCTCGCTGATGTGGTATTCTCTGTTGCTAGGATGAAAATCTCTCGTTTTGGGTAAACATATTCGCACCCTATTCGACTGATGTGCAAGAGTCAAGTTGGAAGAGCATATCTGCTTGGGAATGTTCCTCAAATTGCCTCACATGGTTGGTATAGGGCGACTCTCGCTACAAACTGATGGGAAGCTATTACGATGGCGTCAGCTTTTCATGACGGACCGACGGCGGCGCGTAGAAAACACATGAAACTATTTGTGTTCACTGCCAAATCATATTGCTGTATTTATGCCTGCTCATGTTCTATATGAGTTAATCTGTACTGTGCTGTGGGCGTCTTAGACGGCGCCGCTGGCAATCTTGTCCAGAGCTGCGGGAAACTCGGACCAGTCGCGCATAATGACGACAGCGCCCGCCTCGGTCAGAACCTTTTCCATCTCGGGCTTGCGCGCATCCTCGTAGGGACCGACATAGCCAATGACCTTGATGCCGGCGCGGGTGCCGCTGAGGGTGCCGCTCTTGCTGTCCTCAATGGCGACGCTCTGCTCGGCGGTGCGGCCGAGCTTCTTGAGCGCGTGCAGGTAAATGGCCGGATCGGGCTTGCTGGTGGGCTTGTCGAGCGAGGTGGCGGCCGAGAAGACGACGTCGCCAGGAAAATACTTGTCCTGGCCGACTTTTTCAATCGACGCCCTGACGCGGCGCAGGGCCGACGACGAGACGACGGCCATGAGATACTTTTTGGAGGCGGCGAGGCGCTCCAGCTGCTCGTCGACGCCGGGGCAGGGCCGCAGGGAGGCGCGCAGCTTGGCAATGACGGCGTCCTCCTCCTTGGTGACGTACCTTTCCAGGTCGGCCTCGGAGATTTGGATGCCGTGGCGCTCCTGCAGCGAGGTGAGCATGCCGCGAAAGTTTTGGCCGACAAACTCCTTGATGAGCGTCTCGCCGGTGAAGCGCAGGTCGACGTTGCGCTCCTCGTTGATTTGGTTGATGAGGTCGGCGCAGGCCTCAAAGGCGAGCTCCTCGGAGAGGACGAGGGTGTTGTCGCAGTCAAAGAGGAGGGTGTTGATCTATATGCGCGCGACGGACGTATTTAGTCTTTGAATCAATAAGGATGGGGGTTCAGAAGGGAGGGCAGTGAAAATACTTCAGGCATGTTGGCGGCTTTGGTCGCGGGAGTTTGTTTGGATGGCTGATGTTGATGACAAGACAACGATGGAGGGGTTTTGGCGGGGTAAAATGAGGCTGGGGGTTTGGCGGCGCTGTTGATGTGCGTCAATCTAGAGAGTCGGAAGTGGCGTGTTAACTATTTGGTGTGATGTTGCAGCTGTAGGCGAACAAGGGGCAATGAATTAAACATACCAGATGATCTTGAACAGGAGAAAGATGCGAAAATTTGTCAATGACTGAGGGATAAAAGCCAAATTTACCCAGGAACCGAAGAATCTCGATGATGAAAGAGGCGCCGGACAGACCCGTTGAGCCTACCTATAAATGCTTTTAGCCGTGCCACGCTTTTTTTTTTTAGCTGCAATCTCCACTGTAACATTGCTGGCACGGTACCATTGTATTTATAGGCTCAACTAGGTAGTTTTTCGTGTCAATATTTGGGCTGTAGTATGCATGAAAACAATGTCGCAAATCAAAGGAATGCATATATGCAAGGAGGGACGGGAAAACAAGCTGTCGCACTACAGCTAGACTCACACGGACGGGACGGAGACGTATAACCTAGATGGCGGCTAGGCAATGCTACCACACACCGTTTAGCGCAGAACTCAAGAGCAAAGTAATTGCCTATTAAATGTTATTTGTGTCTTTGGTTGGGCGTCTATGTGGCTTCTCCCTATGACAGCGCACGCCCAATTGTGGGTGTGGCCCATGATACTCTCATGTCCATCGCTACCAGTGCCACTCTACATTACATTCTAGATCATATTGGCACAGATTTTGCAGCATTTTTTAATGTAACAAGGAGAGAATGCTCCCGTAATCATGAATAGGCGGTTGCAAAATCGCATCCGCGCCGTGCACCACAACGACTCGGCTACGGCCTACGGGGTCAAAGTTTGATTGGTAATTTACATGTAATAAATTCTTGAACGAGGAAAAAAAAAAAAGTAAATAAATGCAGCTAGCTTACATGGATATCTTTTCTAAATTCTATTCATGGCCCGTTTCAGAATCTGGTAATTTCAGCATCGTATAAACCCCTCCTCTTCCCTTGGACATTGCCTTCAAATCCTTTTCCATCAGGCTGCGATGAAAAATGACTGTTTTTCGCTTGCATCGCAGCATAAATGAGGTCAGGCCACGTTGCAGCACCAACCTCGGCAAAAAAGCAATCGCGTCTAGAAGATGGGTATCGAGGCGTCCACCGAGTAGTCGACATTCTCCTCACGTGTCTCGATACGATCCGTCTTGGTGTTGAACAAGGTGTCCCAGAAGCGCGTCTGCTTTCCGTAGTTGTGGCTCTTCTTCCAGCCGGTGCGGTGGTGCAGGTCGTGGTCCTCAATGGCGAGCTCCATGTTGAAATACTTGAGCAGCGACGCCGCCGTCAGGGCCGGGGAGCCGCGCATGCGCAGGCCGCTGTGGCCAAAGAGCTCGATGAAGATGACGTACTCGTAGCAGATCCACGTCTCGTAGAAGCCCATGGGCAGGCCGAGGGCCTTGCAGGTGTAAAAGGCCAGGACGGGGATGACGACAATGTCAAAGAGCTCCTGCCAGCCGTCGGCGTAGAGCGAGAGCAGCGTGTTGGGGTGCTTGGTCAGGTGGTGGGTGCGGTGAAACTGCCACAGCCAGGGGACGTCGTGCATGGCACGGTGGTACCAGTAGAACCAAAAGTCCACCATGAGCGGGTACACGGTGAGCTCGACGAAGAGGTAGGCCAGCGGCCAGCCGATGAGGGAGTCGGGCGTCTTGGCCGCGTCCCACGCCAGGCCAATGGCCATGGCCGGGCGCAGCGTCGAGGTAAGGAGGAGCGATGTGACGACCTCGCGGACGCGAACGTCGGGGATGCCGTCGCGCTCGTGCTTGTCGCCGTCGAGGTAGCCGTGGCGCTGGCCCAGCTTGCGGATGGTTTGAATCTCCCGGATCGCCGTCACGTTGAGCCAGGCGCCGTACAGAGCGAGTGCCCAGCCCAGCGAGAGATTCTGGCCAGTGTAGGCGTAGTAGGCGTAGTGGACCAACATTGGTACGACGGCGTATGACAGAACCCATCGGTGTACGTGGCTAGCTGATGAGTTGGGAACTTTCTCCGTCTTGGCGAAGACGGGGATAGGCGTGTCCCGGTCCTGGGGATACACAGCCAAGAGCTCGAAGAACCAGTGCCATACAGTCCAGGTTGACTTGTCAGCCTTGAACCATGTTGACTTGATTGAGTCTTTGGGGTTGCGCTGCACGGCGGTTGCCGTCACGGTTTCTGTCGACATTTCGACGTTGTCGATTTGTGAGCACGAACTGTGTTGTGATGTATAATAGATTGATAGTGCGTTGTCAAAACTAAATCGCAAAGAGAGTTGAAGGGTCTGTAGCCTTTATAAGTATTGATTTCAAAGAGAGGCCTGAGTGTAAGGAATAGTACAAGTCCAAGTCTGTAACGTGTCCGAGCCCGCCGACGTAATAGTTAAATCAGTGGGGTTGTAGGTATTCACATGCCAAACCCCAGACAGTACCTGAAATTGGTTGGGGCGGATGACTCCGGGGAAATCATGTCATCATGCCCTTTCCCCGCTTCAGACACGTGAATGAGGCGAAAAGCGCAAACCCGATGATCTTGTATTGGGCTTGAACTGGTAGTTTTACGTCAGGAACCCGAGCACAATCGAGTGATTGCGTGGCTTTCTAGTTCACTGCGGATTACGCGAGTGTAAATTGAGGTAAATTACCCCGCCATATTCCCCTCTCTTACTCCTTTGTCTCCCAACATGTTTCGTGCCCTCGAACATGTGAGATGGCATGTGCTCATACCAGTCATCCGTGGGGACCGGAGACGGTTGAACTCGAGGCTCCTTTCCACCAAAACTTATAAAAACCTCTTTGGTTTACGACAGAATCTCCGCCAGTCACTTTTGTTTGAGGAAGTTGCCAGAAATGCGTAGACTCTTCTCCTTGCAGCAAGAAAAAAACTTTTAAAAATAATTTGCCACATATAATAGACGCACAGGCGTCCACACCACTTCTTGGCTACCCCAACCCTGGATCGAGCGGCGGTGCGTCGGCTCTAGGCCTCTTTTGTCGCAAGCTTTCCCAATTGGGCTACAAAGAGGGGTAATATCATTTTGAGCCTCGGCAAAAGCTTACATGAACATGGATGCATCATTTGCCGGGAGCGCCATGTTATGTTGTCAGTCAGCCCTGTGGTACTCCACGTTGCTGCAGGTCTTACAAGACGTCAAATTGGTGGAAAATTGACGATGTCAGTACGAGGCAAGTGTAGGCGTCGTACGTTGCTTATGAAGTGAGTGACGCGGTATGGTTGTAATCTTTCTTCCCTTCTTCCTTGCCCACTTTCGAGAAAAGTTTTGCCTTGGGTGGTTCTCTCTCGGTGACAGGTTTGTGTCTTGATTGTGTATCTGTGTTGTCTGTCTACTTGCAGTATGTTCAAGGCAGACTGTAGGGTTGCTTCCAATCTCGTCAACGAAACCGTTCCAATTCTGTCGGTTGCAGCGTAAAGTATCGAAAAATGTCGGCGCCAAGTCGTCTAAACAGAAGAAAGAATCTTGATGCATCAGTTCTGAGCGCACTCAGACCTCGCAGTGGGTTGAAGCCAATCACAATCACACCAATGACAGGCTCTGCTGCAAGACAGCTTGCGTCCATCATCCCAAGCAACAATGCATTTTTTTGATTTGCCCAAAAGTCTTGAGACCCATTTTAATGACGGTGCCAAGGGGGTGACAAAAAAGCTGGCCCATTCTTGCAAGGCGTCCGCATAATACTTAACGAAAGGCTCAAAGAATAGTAAATAATAGAAAATTCATAAAAGTTCATAAAAGACACAAGAAATTATTTAGTCACTAAAATTTAATCTCGTCTTTATCTTCACTTAATAAACATTTTCTAGGGTTTATGAGGAATTATTTAAATATAGGCAGCTAAACTTCGGTACTCTCGTTATGGGCCATTTTTTTTGTCACCCGCGTGGGTGCTTGTCTCAAGAAGATTTCTCTGAAGCGCAAGTCCGGTAATTTTCACGCAAAGAGTTCGGGAACCCTCGTCTTTCCTTGTGGCGTTTCCAAGAGAAGTCACAACCAGCCAGCTCGCCAGGTACGCGTGCAGCTCTTTTTGTGTCCAAAATGAACGAATGTTGGCGAAAGAAGCCGCAGGCTGCTGCACAATATTCTGTCATTTTGACCTGCAGGCCGGTACACTCCGCCCAAAGGAGTTACTGTGAGCTAACGCTGCTGCTAACTTTCACCGGCCCTTCCGACGGCCAACTAACTGATACTGCAGAGGTGGAGATGGTTCAAGCAGCCAACAGTGACGTCTTGCCGCTGGTTTTCGGCGGATTGGGCCTGTCTCAAATTATTTAGGCTACAGCCCAGTTTTCTCTCTCTGAGCTTTCAATCAAGTCAATTGGGATCCTTTGCAAGGATTTCGATCAAGATCAAAAATACAGCGCTCCGCAGGTCCAGAGAACGAGCAAATTCGTCCGTTGTCTGTCTCTTGTCTTTTCAGAGTGAGTGTGTTCTTGCAGGACGTTTCCGGCCAGCCGGTACACCGAGAACAGGACCACAAAAACGGTATACTTGACCACCGCCAAAAGAGGGCACAAATCATGTCGATCGCACCGATCGGGGTTAATTTGCGGAAAATTATTCAGCCCCGATCGCTGATGCAGGGCGGTGCTGCTTGCTTGGGGATCGCAGATGCAAAAATGAATGACAATATCCCAAACTTTAATGGGCGGCGACCACTGCGAACCAACGGCTGCTATGACGCAAACCACCATCTAAAGAGAAGCTTTAAACCCCATCTTCCAAACGTTTTTGCTGCGTCATAAGCTGCTTGTGAAACTCTGTTTGCTCTAGAGACTCCTCCTTCAGCTGGTTCTGAATTCCTGATCATCGCTTGGGCTGTGATGGCTGCCAATGATTGGAAGGCAAGAGGAGATACTCTGCTCCACGGCGCAGCTTTGAGGTCTGGTAGCTCGCCAGGGAGGGCTTAGTTTCAAACGGATGGAGGCAACCCTACGGCGTGGACATCTCCAGAGTTGGAGTTTACGGCGAGTATCGATTCGCAGCTAGTTGATGGATTGAGGAGCTTGCCATGGCGGATGATACCAAGGCTCAAGCTCTCCGTCATACCCGATGCTTTCAGCTACGTTTGTCTGTGACGTGATGTAAAGGTGCTCAAGACGATGATGCAAAGCATGGAAGCTAGTATATATATCCATCTTTGTTCTCGCCATCACCACATCCAACTCATCTTTACATCATTCCAAACATATAACCCATAAAACCACATTTCAGACACCGATTATTCACAATGGATAAAGCTAAGAAGGCCGTTTCCAACTTCCTGTCCAAGGATGGCAAACACGACACCACCATCGATCAAGATGTTCGCGAGCCCGTCGTCAAGGAGCACGTTCATCCTCAGAGACATGAAGAAGTCGTCACCGCCGTCGATCAAGAAATCCACCAAGATCACCACCAGACTGTTGTGCAGCCTCTCTCTACCAAGGAGACTCTGTAAGCTTCCCCCAGCCACTATATTTTGCTCTCCTAGACAAGCAACGCGACTAACAAGATACTCTTGTAGCCCCGAGAAGCACACGCACAACGTGGCGGCCGTGAGTGAAAAGTCCGTCAACCACGCCAATGCGGCCGAGACCAAGGCCGCACTGCAGCAAGACGCCTCGCAGTACTCGTCGGAGCGCGTCGTGCACGACACCGAGTACAGCACCTCGGCCGGCGCCGCCGTGACGGGCCAGCGCACCCACCACCACGTCCACCACCACGTGCAGCCCGTGATCCAAAAGGAGACGGTGCAGCCCGAGGTCGTGCACACGACGGTGCCCATCCACGAGGTACACCAGGCGGCGCCCATCCACCACGAGACCACGGTCCTGCCCGTCAAGACGGTCGAGGAGTTTCTCGGCAGCGACAAGAAGAACCTGGCCTCGTCGGCGCCGCGCCAGATTGCCGAGTTTGAGGGCTGCCCCAGCCTCAAGGACAAGGCCCTGCAGAAGGAGCAGGAGGCCAAGCACGGCGGCAGGGCTCTCACTGATGAGACGTTGGGTGGTGCCGGTATTGGTAGCAAGACCCAGAAGACGGCGGGCAGCGGCCTGGGCAGCAACACAACTCAGGGCAAGCCTGTCCTCGGTCATTAAATGTACTTTGAATGGATGCCACGATGATTTATTGCAATTATTTTGGTGTTTGATAGTATTACTACGAAGTCATTTGGCGTGTATAATACAAAGTTAACTCAATTGTGATTACACGGAACTTTTGCATAAATATGCGACATTGTAGCCATCAACCTTGAAAAAGTGCTTCCGACCTAATTCATTACATGCTTCACAAGACGAGTGCTTCTTTCTGCTCCCATTGATATTTAACCTTACAGTGGCGCCGCCGATACCTACAAGCCTCGACTCACTCGCTGTACACCAACCAGCTCGGGTCACTAGCTATCCGAACGTCGACGTTCACCATTAATTCTGCACAGTGTACATCAGTGTACAGTGCAGAAAGCCTCATCGGCTATGAGTGTCCTGGGAGGTTGGTGCGCTTCTGCATCATCTCACAGCGCAATGCTGGATGAGACGAAGAAGAGAACTGCATCGGCGATTTCTCTGCATCGTGTCATCTACTCATTATCTGATTACATTTCCCTGTAGAAGCAAATGTCTACCATGAAACACTCTCATTGGCTGTCGGAATTGGCGTCATCGAGATGGCCGATCTTCATTGGGGACTGACTGAGGTGCCTCGACGCATCGAGCACTTGGGGGAGGATCCACGTCTAGTTGACCAAGTGTTGCTCGAGCCCGATAACACGCTTTGGGTTGCTCTGTTAAGCCCTACTAATGAAAGAGCCTTGAAAAAGATGGATTCCTTGTTTCTCCCTTCACCACGTGCTTAACAGGCGTGCCTTTCTTCTGCGGGCCGTCGACGGAAAGTGCGGCAACACGCCAAAATGCTGAGTACACGGGTTGCCGTCACCGCCTTTATACTTTGTACCAAAGCCTAAACGGTTTATTTTCGCCATTATATACCTTCACACAAACATCACTGAGTTCAAATCGCTCACGATCTTGTTCATGGAGTTCCGTCAACAAGTCTACTATTGACGGCCAAGATAAATGCAACGTTCACAAGAGTAGCCAATGGGAAGACGACTACTACAAAGTATGCTATTGATCCGATTACTTGTTTATGGATTGCGGTTGCGTATGCTATGAGTCAAGCAGGTTCAAATGTGTTTTTGCACGGCGAGCTTCATGGCAGGCTAATGGTCGCGTGCTCACTACATTAGCTCGAATCCCGGCGACGACCGATCTTGATACGCTCATATGCAATCCGGACAATACATATGACTGCAACCCTCATTTACCCCGTCAACCCTTGACCCCTCACAAAAAGTGCACAATGACTGCTTCACTCTCCTTGACCGGCACGTCAACCACACCGCCCTGCACCGTCAACACATCCCCATCATTCCTCACGCCCTTGACCTCCTTTCCCAAGCTCTCATACGTCCACTGACTGCCCGCATACGTCACCGTCTTGGCGCGCGCGCTCGCGCCCTGGGGGCTCGTCAGATGCACCACCCTCACCTTGGCCACGCCCGCCGGCGCCGTGATGCGCACCTTTTGCGAGCGCCGCGTCGTCGTCGAGTTATGGCATCTGCTCCAGTACCCAAGATTCACCACCGCGACGCGCCGCGGCGTGCCAGCCTCGTACGCCACGTACGCCGACACATTCGGCTCCAGCGGCACATTCTTGACCTGGACGGTGCCGGCGGCGCCCACAAAGTCCGCCACAAAGGGCTGCGCGTAGTAGCGCGCAAAGACTTGCGCCGAGACGTTGCCCGACGCGCCGGGGAGCCAGAGGTTGGAGCTTCCGGCGCGCATGGCCTGCTGGAAGTGAAGACGCGCGATGCCGAGCGATAACGCGTAGAGCTGCAAGTCAACCTGCCACAGCGCGGCGCCGAGCGTCGCCTGGGAAGCATAGTCGTCGGCCTTCTTCGCGCTGCTCCTGCGCTGCGAGCTGCCCACCTCGGACAAGACGTAGGGCGTCCTAGTGGTCGAGCCGCTGCTACTGCGGCCTGCGAGGAACTCGAGGTCATCGCGAAACACGTCGAGACGCGCGGTAATAGCGCCATGATTCATAAGCCCCGTCGCGAGCGAGCTCCCCGCATCCTTCCCGCCGCCGCCGCCACTCTCCGTCTGGTAGTAGTGCCGCGCGACCGTCTTGACGGCGTAGTGGTTGTCGAGCCCTTGCTGGTAGACGGAGCGCAGGCTGATGGAGAAGACGTCCTGCGCGGGGTCGGCCGGGTGCGAGGCCGTGTCGAGCGCCTGAAACTTGCGCGTGCCGCGCGGCAGGCCGACGGCCGCGGCCACGGCGTCGCAGTAGTTGAGAAAGTTGGCCACGTACGTGCCATTGTCCTGGTGGCCCTGCCACCGCGGCGGGCCGAGCCCCGTCGCCGGATACAAGTCGGGCTCGTTGCCCGGCTGGAAACTATGAATCCGCTCCAGACCAATCTTGCCCGCCGCCGCTTTGGCCCAGCGCACTGCACCCCGCGCGATATCAGGGTCTGCCATGGGCAGCTGGACAATGTACTGCGCGCTCGGGAAGCTGCTGGCCACCAGGTCCCAGTACGCGGGGCCAATCGTCAGCGCGCCCAGGTCCTGCTGCTGCGCGCCGTCGTCGTCGCCCACCTCGGCACGCGGCAGCGCCGGCGCAGCCTGGTCCGCGTCGAAGCGCGCATAGTCAGCGGCGGTACCGCCGAGCCGGATCAGCGGCTTGCCGCCTGTCCGCGCAAAGATGGCATTAATCAGGTTCTGCGAAAAGACGTTGGGGGTGCCGTCATTGTTGAGGGCATAGTTGACAAACGAGGCCTGCTCAAAGGCGAGCCCGGGGAAGTCGGGGTCGACGTACCGAGACGGGTCGACCTGGATGCGGGGGATCTGCAGGGGCGAAGTCTCATCGCGCGCGACGGCCGCGGCGCCGACGACGCCGGTCAGCGATAGGGCAGCGGCCAGAGCAGAGGTGTATCGGATTGCCATCTTTGTGCCGCAAATGTTTTGGGAGATTGGAGCACACGCGACAAGCAACGCCTCGGAAAAGAGGGGGAAGCGCAATCTTATGAACCCGTCCGGGGTATAGGTTCGGGATCAGCCCTGTCTTATTAGTTTATTGGTGACACCAGTAATCCTATGGGATATTATTAGAACCGGCCGAAGCTAGTGCAGGTTGCTCGTATCGGGGGCTGACAAGGGCCGGCAAGTAGTGGCGTCGGGTTGCATCAAAGGCACGTAGCTTGTGAGTTGGGCTGATGGCAATGGCCGAGGAGAGGGGGGGCAATGTGAGCTGGTCAAGCCACAATGGTTGTCCATTTCTTGTACAAAGTATGAATTCAAAGCTATCGTGGTCTGATGGGAGAATAGCAAATTCCCGTGGCGGCGGGGCTGTCAGGACATGTCACACGACAGTCACACTGCAGCGTGACAACGAACTATGGTGATAATTTCAAAGGGTCTACTTCCTACGTGAATACTTCCTATTATAGTCCAAATAAAATGAGTGGCGCATCGTCGTGGCTCAATATAGAATCCGTAAACAAGGTAATCCGTATACAAGGTACCAATGTATTAAATGGCCAACGCCACCATGCAAGGCGGCCGTTCGGCTATACTATGACAAGCCCCCATACACAAGTAGCTCAACCCCCAAGACCAAGGTCTAACATTCATATAAACAAAAAGAAAGAAAGAAAAGAAAGCAACCTGAACGCCGTTCACTTGAATCATGTCTCCGCATCACCTCGCTTCAACTTTGCTCCGCTGTAAATGTCATTCCTTGCTAGTGCGTAACGCTCATAGAATCTCCTTGAGCTTGTTCTTCTGCGCCGCCGATAAAGAAGACGGGAAGTTGACCTTGTACTTGATGATGAAATCACCTCTCTCGCCGGGCTTTTTGCTCAAAGGCATCCCTAGACCAGGATAGCGGTCCTCGCTCCCCGGTTGAGTCGGCCCGCTCTTGTCCAAATTGATCTGCTTGCCGTCGATCGTAGATACGGTTCGCTTCCAGCCTGTCAGAGCCTCTTTTAGATCGAGAGTGATGGTTTGAATCAGGTCGTTGTCTTCTCGTTTGTAAATGGGGTGTGGTTTCTGTCCGTTTCGTTAGAGCAGGTACTAAATGAGGATGAGCGGCGGGAATTGTGTTTCTTACCTCTTCAACAACAAAATGCAAGTCTTGGCGGCCACCTTCGACTTGGTCGCCGACGCCACTAAATTTGATCTTAGAGCCTTTCTTCAGTCCGGCCTTGATAGGGACGCTCAGAATCTTGTCAGACTGGATGCGCTTTCCGGTTTCGTCGAATGTCTTGCGCTTAATCTTCATCTTCTTTTCGACACCATTGAAGAGCTCTTCCAGTGTTACGGGAAGCGGTCGCTCAACAGTAGAAATTTCTGGTGTGCCGTCTCGTGGGCGGCCACTGCCACTGCCTCTTGGCTTGTTACGACCAGGGCGGCCGGAGCCTCCAAATGATTGAAAGCCCTCAAAGCCCTCAAAGTCGTCGCTCATGCCTGGCATCCCACCCATGCCGCCCATTCCGCCCATTCCGCCGGAGCGCATGAATTCCTGGAAGATGCGATCGGCATTTGAGAAGCTATGCCCGCCAGCGCCACCTCCACCGGTGGAAAAATGGAATGTGCGGGCGCCTGGGCCGCCGCCCATGCCGCCAAAGTCAAAGCCTGGGGGCATGCCACCTCCACCGGCGAACGGGGTACCTTGACCCCCGCTGCCTTCAGGAGGAGGTGCACCACCTCTCAGCAGAAATTCGAGGCCATACTCGTCATAGATTTTGCGTTTTTCGGGATCCGAAAGAATCTCGTAGGCTTGTGAGCATTCTTTGAACTTTTCGGAGGCGCTAGGATCGTCCTTGTTCTTGTCCGGGTGCCACTTGAGAGCAGCTTTTCTATTGAACAAGTTAGTAAACCATGTGGGATTTGGTTCGAGGGAATTGATCGAGGCCAGAGTCAAGCCGAGGCAGGTCGTAGCCGACAGCATCTGTCCTTTGGCATTCTTTGCTGTCCAAGGCTGATTTTGATAGATGTGGCACCACGGCCCCGCATTGATTTCTGGACGAGAGGTTAAACATACCTGTAGCCCTTCTTGATCTCGTCCTGGGTTGAATCAGGCTTGATGTTGAGGGAATCGTAGAGCTTCGTTTCCTTGACCATGTTGTTTGAGAGAAGTGTGTGTATTTTCTGGGTTGACGGATGTATAGATTGATGATAGATGAGGGCCGTTCCCTAGTGCCAGGATCGAAGGGATGCTGGCCAGTTCGGTGACAGACCCAGATGGTTCGAGAACAGTCGATATTCTAATGTGCAGCTTCAAGATAAAGCAGTGGGGGATGGTTCGTGAGAAAATCGAATCGACAAAGTGTGTAGGATATCTTTGTGGTGATGGACAGAGTATTTGAATGAAGAAAGAAGGAAGGAGGAGAAAAGAAGACGACAGCGTGAGGTGCAAAAAAGTGAGTCGATGTAATAGGTGCAGAGAGCAAGTCAGTGGATGAGGTTTAGCGGGCTGTTGCCTGTTAGCGGTAGGCAGACACAGAGTCCAAGAAGGCCATAAGGCCCCATCACAAGCCAGCCACGCCAGTCAAAGCCGCAGAGGGGCAGCTGGTTGAGCCGTTTTCATTGGTCAAGATGGCTGATACAGTGCAGCAAAAGCGGAACTCGCACCATGTGGGACTTCCCGTCCAGGCATCCACCATCGTAGTCACTAGAAGATTCGTTGGCCTGCCCGCAACGTGATGCGTAGCTTGAGCTATGACGCAACTATTTTGTAGAAAGGTCCGTCAAGAATTCAAGGGTGAGAATTACCACTAAACATTGCAGGCTTGATATCCCAACGGTCGGCCGGTGTTTAGCACTATCATTGCGCGGTCTTGGGCCTTTTTCCCGCGTCTCGCGCGTCTTGGGAGCAAACGGCCCAAGCATGCACATGTGACGGCCTTTGAGGCGACAAAGTCTGATTCGACACGTAGCTTTGCCAAGGGGTGAAAAAAATAGTCAAGATGGTTGCGTCGATTATAGAAGTGCTACTGGTCAAATCAAGGAAAGTTGTGATTGTTAACTCTGCCGAATAATAAAAGCTTGTCCTCCACGCGATCGGGTACAACGTTGTCCGAAAATGTTGAAACAAAAGAGCCCCATTGAAAATGTCGAATTTTAGAAAGTATGAGGGAGAGAGATGAAGACACAGCCAGAGAAAAGCCACAGAATTACCGCGCGCGCTGGTATTTGTTCAACGTGGCACATGCAAGCGCCCTGCGTTTCGAAACGGCATACCTAGCAAGCAAGCTCTTTACTGGGAAGGTTCCTTCAAGAAAAACACCAAATTGAAACCAATTGTGAGCGACTATTTTTCGTTGTGTTGCACCTTCCGCATCATACTCATCGAATTTGTCCTCTGCGAGACTGCCACAATCCTCATCATGTTTCCGAGCTCGTAGCAAAGGTCAGCATGTAGCTGCCGCTGCTTCGAATAATACACTGACCACTGCGCAACTGCTTAAAGAATGTAATTATGCTTTCGCGCTACACTGACAGGCCGAATCTCCAGAGTCTTCATATTGTGATGTTGGAGCAGCCCCTTTGGGAGATGAGCCCGAGCTGCGTCTCCTATCCTTCTGTACGCATCTGCATCGACGAGAGTCCCCGTGCCTCGCCGGAAATTAAAATCTTGCCGTTCTCTATCCCAGATAAAAGCGCCTTTGTCGACATCCTCTAGCTCCCAGCGCACATTCCTTAGTCGGACATCTGGCTGTGCGCCGACCACGACAAAGACGACGCGGAGATCCATCCACGTCTCTACGTCGGGGAGTCTCTCTAGGAGATCGCGCCGCGTAAAGAAGGACTCGGACACTGCGAATCTACTGACATTCGGGTGGACTTTCACATGTCGGTTATAAAGACCACGATTTCTCCTAAAAAGACGAGGCTCTTTAAGAAAACCTTTCCATTGCTCATCAGAAATATATAATGCATCCGAGTCATAGTTGAAAGTGCGCGTCATGATGTGATGATGAGGATGCAGATTCTTCGCATCAAACCCCTGTAAGTATATATCTATCAGTTATGTTTTCTTTTGCAGAGTTGTGCTAGTCCAGTCATACTTGCTGTTCGAGCCAGTCTATTGCAATACTGCGTGCCTCTCGATTGACCAAGACAAGCGGCATATAAAGGCGAATATCATCGCCCAGCAGATCCGTGCGGAAATCCATGGCCATGACACCAGTCCGCGGTATATATCCGGGTTCAGATCTTTTCAACCTGCGCGCGCACCAATAGCGTTTGTGTTTATAGAAGAAGAGGGCTGGCCCAACGTCGTCGGGCAGCGCCGCACGCCAAATTTTGTTGCGCAGTTCCGGGGGAAGGGCCTTAAAAATGGTAAATGATGTCGTCATTGTGCGATACAGCTGAGCCACGTGCCGCGAGGGTAAGAATATCGCACGCCGAAGAAACAAATGATGAAGTAAATAGTAGTATCTACTTTCTGTGTGTGTGTTGTAAACGCCAGCGAGAGGGGCGATGCGACCGTGTGTCGCAGGCTGATGAAGCATCAGGTTACCATTCTCTGCTTGCCTTCTAAATAAGGGGAAAAAAATCACATATAGAACACAGTTACACCATCGTTGGGGTTGGATCGGCGACAGTGCAAAAGAATACAATGTCAAAAGTGTCATTCAGCTCTCTGCTGATGCGGATTCTGTCTCTGTGCTACGATGTGCTACTTTGATCTCTAATTATACAATCATATTACCCTGCCCCAATGTTCAGCAATTTTTGAATAGGCACACATGTTGCGCTCTTGAGTAAAGGTGGCGCTTAAAGACCGTGGTGGGAGCACTTCAGGCTCAACCACGCCTCGCTATCGTAACAATGCTCAGCCTTGTCACCCCTAAAGCAAGATTTCATGTAAGCAGGTACTTTTCAAGTTTCATGTCAAATAACTTGCAATCTCATTTGCAACCGTCAGCTCTATCAGTCAATCTACTGTCATTTCAACAGAGTTGGGCGCAGCCTGACCAGACTGAGTCCAATCAGCTCGATAGGTCTCTTTGAGTTGCCGACTGATATTTCTGGAAACTGACTTTCCAGGTCTTTGGTGACACAAGCGAAGACACTTTGTTGTACTGAGGAATCTCGATGGAAAATTTGTGTTTGAAGCATTTGGCAAGCTTCAGAATCCTTATGTCGTTGTTATTGGCGCGGGGCATCGGTACAGCAACGAGGACGCTTTCTTAAATGCTTCTATCAGGTCGCTGGGATTTGAGCCTTGCTCTTACCAAGTGACATGCCAGTGTTCAACAGGTGGGAGTATGTGCAGGTCATCTTGCTCCCATGAACTGACTTCTCTACAGTCCTTCTCACCTCAGAAAGCTGTCCACCGTTGGCCTCAGAAAACTGTCAAACTCGACTCATATCAATAGAATCTTGTTGATCTTATTGCTCTATTAAACACCTGAGAACATACCCGAAATACTACGTTCAGTAGGTTTCGTGTGTCAAGATGCGAAAGCTTATGGTGGCGCCTTTGGCTGTTTGATGGATGGGTTTGAGTTTATATGCCAACAACAGCCGATAGGCCCAGAAAGGTAATTGAGTGAGACAAGTCGAAGAGTCTGCAATCGTTTGACGACTTGCCAAAGCGGAGACGGCAGCTTTCTTCTGATGCCTTTTTGCACTTTACCCGGGTTACTTTTGACTTTCTGGGGAGGGTAGAAAATTGGTCCAGGACTTTGAGGCTTGAACTGATTCGATGTACAGGCGCGTACCACCTGCCCAGAGTTGAGCAAAGGACAAGGCCAAAATCACGTAAAAACATTCTCGGAGCTGACAGATCTACCAATTCAAGTCTAGAAACAAGGACGAGCTCTTGGATAGGTGTTTTTTTTGCAGGGCTTAGCAACTGTTGAGAGGGCCGTTGTTAGCTCGAAGATGAGTAACACTCCTCTCGAACTATCCATGTCAGTATACCGTACAGCATAGTAGTCCGCAACTTGTCTCAGTCATGCCAGATGGACTCTAAGCCCTGCTAGTTATATTCCTACCTTACACACCAATCGCAAGAGAGCGCAGTGTACAACTGACGAGTTGAAGCTGTCCTCGAATAGTGGTCAGGCACGACTCATGGCCCTCAACGCAACCCGCCGCTTCTTCACCGGCTTTACGGCAGCCCTCGCAGCCTCCGATCGAACTAACAAGCGCGCTACAGCTGTTCCGACTCGAGAGCAGCTTTGTGTTGGCTTCAACGACATTGAAGCTTGTCAGCGCAAGACCAAGGCCTGCAGCAAAGAGTTGCGAGCCAAAGGTGTCTTTAGCTGCGCAGATGTCTCCAAGTGTGTTGCGAAAAAAAGATTCGGTGGCTGCACAGCTAAAAAGTACGACTTTGAAGGCAGATATTCGCGTCGACACGACCCGTTAGGTGTCGTCGACGTCGAAGGCTCATCCGATTAACAGGGCAAGGACAAATGGACTGATGCTTCAGGTACCATATTTCGCGCCAACATTGGCAACTCGGGTGAATGATGCAAGAAACCTCATCAGAAAGACTGCCGTCAAAGTTGGCGGAAATTTTCGAGACGCTTTCCAAGTGCCACGATGCTGATGACGACAAGCATCGGTATTTAGATATATCGTCTGTTGCTAGATTGATGAATACACTTGTTGAATGGGTGCAATATATCTCGTGATAAGTTTTACAGTGTTGAGTCATCAGTTCAAATGTGCAAGGGAAGTAATACGATGGAAAGTTTTGTTCGAGGCCAAAACTAGGTACCTTGGGCATCAATGCTGGAGGCCAGTGTATAGATGGTAGCATAATGATCATCAAGGCGTTGGAAAGGGGATAATGAGATTACAAAAACACTAGTCCTCCTAATTCTGTACATTCTTGTCAGTCTCTGTTTGTTTGTATTAGTAGACGTGCAATGTAACGTACAGCTATATAAGCCTTAGTTGGATTCCTGGTTAATGCTCGCACTGCGATTAATGCCTAGTCTTTTGCCAGTTGGCGTGACGGCACAGGAACCGTTACAATTTTAATCTCAGTGCGAGCATTAACCAGGAATCCAACTAAGGCTTATATAGCTGTACGTTACATGCAAGCTGGATGTTTAGGGTAAGTGCTATCGTTGTCATAGAACTGTGGATGTGAGGACTAAATACCGTTTGATCCGTAATCAAATCACGACGGTCAATGATGAAGATATTCGTCTAAGGATTGAATGAATATATGTGATTTCGATTTTCTTTTGTTAATCCCCGGTGGTGAGATTCTCCCTTCTTTAACTTTGTCGACGTCTACAGTTGGATACTTAAACGGGTTGGGGAGGCGCGCCGAGCGTGATCAAATTCAACCCCAACGTGCTCGAGACTAGTTAATGCACTATCAGCTAGAATCAAGAGCGATTTAATTTCCTCTATATTCTGAAATTTATTACCATATCTACTCTACGTCCTCAATTTCTTTTCTTACCTAGCTGATTGGGTAGGTAGATGTCGCAGCTTGGCCGACAGTGGCAGAGGTCGCTGTGGGTCCCGACGCCTTAGCGGCTGCATCTGGAATCACCAACTTTTCCATTTCCAACCATCCATCGCGTATGCCGCCACAATCTCTTCAACATCACACTCTTCGCGGCTCCTATCTGGCAGCGCATATATTGAACCGCGATACAGGTCTTCAAAATGGCAGACCAAGAGTCTCAAGTGGCCGTGGTTGCCGCCGCCGACGCCATCACTCCCGACATGGACACGCAGCCCGCAACATCTGAGACCGCCGTCGTCGCCGCGCCCACGACAGGCAAGAAGGTTGTCAAGAAGATTGTCCGCAAAAAGAGGAAGCCAGCGCGCGTGCAGATCGACCCCTCGCTCATCACGTCGGAGCCACCCCCCCAGACCGGTACCATCTTCAACATTTGGTACAACAAGTGGTCCGGCGGCGACCACGACGGCAACGCGCAGACCAAGGCCAAGGGACGCTGCAACATTGCCACCGACGCCGGCTACACAAAGGCCGATAGCCTCACCGGCAGCTTCTTTTGCGTCAGCTTTGCGCGCGGCGTTTGTGCCAAGGGCGTCGACTGCGACTACCTGCACCGCTTGCCGGGCGTGTTTGACATTTTCGGGCCCAATGTAGACTGCTTCGGGCGCGACAAGTTTTCCGACTACCGCGACGACATGGGTGGCGTAGGCAGCTTTATGCGCGTCAACAGGACGATATATATCGGTCGGATACACGTGACGGATGATATCGAGGAGATTGTGGCTCGCCACTTTGCGGAATGGGGCCAGATCGAGCGCGGTACGTACAGCCGCCGAGATACATGGACGAGTGGAAGCTAACCAATCATGTCTAGTCCGTGTATTAAACTCGCGGGGTGTCGCTTTTGTCACATACTCAAACGAGGCGAATGCGCAGTTCGCCAAAGAAGCCATGGCGCACCAGTCGCTCGACCACGACGAGATCATCAATGTCCGCTGGGCGACGCCCGACCCGAACCCGATGGCCAAGGCCCGCGAGGCGCGCCGCATCGAGGAGCAGGCCGCCGAGGCCATCCGCCGCGCCCTGGGGGGCGAATTTGTCGCCGAGATTGAGGGCAAAGACCCCGAGGCGCGCAAGCGCCGCAAGATTGAGAGCAGCTACGGCCTCGAGGGCTACGAGGCGCCCGACGAGGTACACTTTGCGCGCGGCGCCCATGCGGTGAACCCGCGCGGGCGAGAGGGATTCGAGCTCGAGGACCAGCAGCGGCTGATGATTGAGAGTGGGGAGGCGTTTGCGGAAGACGAGGCGCAAGGGCAGCAGCAGACACAGCAAGAGGAGCAGAGCGGAGGAATCTTCTCTGGAAGCACATTGGCAGCGCTGAATCGAGCCAAGATCTCGGTACCATCATCGAACCCGAAAACATCGGCGGCGGGGCCACTTGTATCATATGGGAGTGACAGCGATGACGATGAATAACGGGCGTTTTGTCAAGGGTTTATTGCTACTTATATAGGGAAAGGATACTTTTGTCTAATACAAAACAAAGCGACACGAGTCATGATATCACCAAAGCAAACCTATTACTCCCATGTCCCTCCATCCCGGGTATAATGCCATCGACTTTCCTCCATCAGCTATTAAAGATGCGTGAATACAAAACCTCGTGCCTTCCAATCCACAAGTCCATGACCGGCACGGTCTGCCCCGCGTCCTCGACCGGCGTGTCCCACTCGCGATCAATAACCGCATTAATCATGTTTTGCACCTTTTCCCCCGCCAGCACCTTTTGCGCCTGGTACGGGCCAAACATGCTCGCGCGAACCGCCGCCGACACCAACGCCTTGACGTGGCTCAGCATAAAGACGTAGGCCGTCTGCCGAAGACTCAATCCCACCAGCGCGCAGACGGCCCCAAACAGCGGCGCAAAATGGCCCGACACGAGCGGTACCTCCATCCCACCGCCTCCACCACCACCGCCTCCACCACCACCGCCGCCGCCGCCGCCGCCGCCGCTGCTGCTGCTACTGCTGTTACTCTGTCGAAGAAGCGCAGAAAAGTCCCGTAGCACGTTTATATCAGCAGAAGCGCAAACGCGGGGGGGCATGGTGGCGCAAAAGGAACGCTCCCAGATGGACAGCAGGGCGCGGCCCTGGGCGGTGCTGGCGCGCCGGCCGACGGTGCACACAATGGCGGCGTCGAGCTGGTCGTCGAGGCCGGCGAGGAGCGGCGGTTGCTTGTGCGCGGCGAGGACAAAGGGCAACGTGGTCGAGGCAAAGGAGGAGAGGGAGAGGGGGAGAAAGGTGGCAAACGTGGCGGCGCGTCGGGGCGTGTGCGCGAGAAAGGACTCGAGCCCAGAGGAAAAGGCAAAGGAGCCGACGGGGAGCTGGGAGTCGGAGAGGAGCAGGAGAAAGTGCGTGGAAAAGGTGTCTGGGGTGGCTGATGAAGAGGAAGAAGGCAATTATTTAGTAAAGAAATCCATCTCAGCAGACAAGAAATAAACGGATGCACCAAAAAAAAAAATGAAGAAGAAAAGTAAATAAATCACGACGTAGAGAAAGGGGTGGGCATGTCACAACTTACAAGAGACCCGAGGCGGGATTGCGATTCCCACGGTAAGCTGGGCGACACCAGCATCCGGCGGCTGCTCTTCCTGCTTGTCGGCGTTGGCGGCCGCGCGTAGACGGCCGCGCGCCGCCCGCAGCTTGGCTTCTAGCTGCGCAATCTCATCCTCAATGGCGCTCGTGTCGGCAATGATATCGCGCGAGGCCATGTGCCGCAGTGAGAAAAGGTGTTGAAGAGAGGAAGAGACTGGTCAAGTCGAGGGAGGGGGTTTGGTTGGCTGGCTTCGCCGAAATCGCTTATCGGTCAAGTTTACCGGCGCGGGCACCTCCGGCCCGGGGGAGGCATAAATCTGCGCTAAATCTGCGCCTACCACCATGGGTTCCACGATGTCGAGAAAAATTGTGGCTCATTGATTTTCGAGTCGAATCACAAGTGTCTGCTTTCTTGTCATCACATTGTCAATATTTCCCGTAATGTAATGCTTTGGTCAACATCACAGACACGCGACCAACCTGCGAAAGGGCGATGACGCATTCAAAACACCAATACTCATTGCTATGGCGTACCGTCTGGTATCCCACAAACACTCCAAAACTCCTGGCTATGATAGAATACATTGCAACCCAGAACATAACCACCTTGCAGCTTGATTTAATCCTGTCCACTACCGAATGGGCTGTATGTTCTCCTTGTCCATGCTCCGCGCCCTTGCTCTCTTCTTCTCCGCCATGCGCTTCTCAATGCGCGCCAGCGCCGCCGCTCGGCGCTCCGGCGGTAGGTTGATCCTGCCTGGGATCGTGATGCCCGCATGGCCCTGCCCGCCTTCCTCCGGACCGCCCAGCTTAGCGAAGCGACTCCGGAGCAAATCGATTGCGTCCTCATCGTCTGACGTGCTGGCCCGTCTTCCGCCGCCTGCATGCTCGTTCTCGGGGGGTACTGCCTTCTTCTTGGTCGCGGCTGGTGTCACGCCACCATTCTCTATTCGACGGACCACGTCCTCGCCGAGGTAGTCGATGTTCCGCGGGGGCCTAGGCACAAACTCTTGCCACTGGCGTCTGTCCTCTTCGACCTGGCGCGTGTTTCGTGCAGGTGAGCGCTCGGGGCTCGGTGGCGCATCTTCGCGAAACTTCTCTCGAAGCGACCGTGGTTTTCGCTCCTTGGAGGAAAGCTGTGGCTTGCGACGCTGATCTGTATCCAAGCTGCGCCGAGGCTCGGCCGGGACAATTGGATCCTTCAAATCATCGACGCCTGCGAGGGCAGCGTTTCCAGCCGCCTCCCAGGTCAGAGGTAAAGGCTTCTCTGCTTGTGTAGATTTGAGAGTCTTAATGACCTTCTTTAGCTCGGCAATCTTGGAGTGCGCGCGCTCTAGAACGGCACGAGTATCGGCATCGTGGGTTGCTGATTCCTCCCTGAAAGAATCAAACTCAGATCTGAGGACCAGCAACTCCTGATCCTTCTTCAAAGATTCCTCCTTGAGTGCACGGACTTGGGCGCGCAATTCCTTGGTGCGTGATGTTTCGTTGGGTGCGTCAGTCGCGGGTTTGGACTGTTCTTGAGCCGCTTGCAGCTTCGCCTTGAGTGAAGCAACCTGATTGCGCAATGTCCCCATTTCTCGTAGCTGACTCTTTGCTTGTCGCAACTCGCGCTGCGTCTCGGCGAGGGCTTTATGAGTCGCGGGCGACGCGCTCCCCTGTCGGCGCCGCCGTTGCCCATCAGCCCTCTGCTCTCTATCGCGCAGTGCTTCCTCTAGTTCGCTTTCCAGCTTTTGCACCTTTTCTCGATATTGCGTAGCCAAGGTTGTCTGTGAGGCCAATTTATCTAGGAGCTCGACTGTCGCGTCGCCGTCTTCTGCATGTCGCGCAGAGGCAATGTTTGACTCGTTTTCAGCAATCATCTTCTCCATTTTGAGTACCTTGAGCTGTTCGTCGCGCAGACGCTCAACCAGCTGCATCGTCTCGGCATCCCGTTGCTTGGCATAAGATTTTGCAAGTTGCTTATACTTGAGCAATTTCTCAAGCTCAATCCTGGCATCCTCGTGGTATTTTTCGAATTCTCCCTTCCAGTATTTGCCAGACTGCGAGTGCGGCTCGTTGAGATCCATGGTCACATCGTTCATCATCTGTTCGCCGTCATCATTCTCTTCCCATTCGTCCTCTCCGTCTGGTTGGCGGGAGTCAGTTGCAGTAGCAGGCTTTTCCTCGGTTTCTTTGTTCATGTTTTCTTTTTTGTTTGCTGGATCTTCTGGTTTCGTCGCAGTATCCTTTTGACCAGGAACATCATATCCGAAAGAAACACGCTTGCGCCTCGTAGCTCCGGTGCCGGGTGTCAGAAGAATGCCGGCCAGTTTCGACGGTGTGTTTGAATCTTTATCGGCGTTGGAGCCCGTTGCGCTTCGCTTGGCGCTTCGTGCAAGTTGAATGTCGTGGCGTCGGGGTGTGCCAAACAAGGCACTTTTGAATGCTCGCGCCGCGAATACGGGGGCCGGCGTGTCGGGTTGCTCGACTTGCGTCGTATCCTCTGCACGCTACTTGGTTAGGAAACTCTTCGAGTCACATCGAAAGAATATCGCGAGTGGATTTCTCCTTGAACATACCGGCGTCATCGACCGTTTGCGACGCGTTGCTACCACGCTTGAGCATCCAGCCAAGCATTCTGCTATGTTGACGCCTGCGACGGTCTAGTTTGGAGAGGAAATCAAAAGCGACTCTGCAAGTATAGCAGTATATAAATATTTATGCATCAGTGATGGCCTGTCAGTTGAAGGAAGTAACATGCGTGGCTTTTGCATGGGTGCAAACGTTTGATTGCCATGCAATTGTTTACTTGCAGCAGCTTTGGATGTTTTGTACTAGCGCGTGCCAGGGCGCGACTCACTGGACAACTAGTGGCGCTGGGATGACGCCCTTGCTGCACGGCTCAGCTGCCATCGTTGCGGTAGGAACAGCCTTTTTGCTTTCAAATGTACGATTGAATTAAATCAAAAGTATCTGACATATAAATGCAAGAATATCACTCTGTTCTTTTTTCTACCTTCTCTTTTTCCAGATTCTATTTAGCCCTTTCAAAGCTCTACACCCGCATTTTCTCACTGCGGTCCGATCTGTGAACCCCAATCGAGAGACTCCGTCTGTGGCGTGGCGAAGTCATGCTGAGAACTCGGAAACAGCTTGGGTTGCCATATTCCCGAGGTCTTCATTTAGGTAGTCGCTTGATAGCGTTGGGTGATCAAATCTGAGAGGTCTGTGAGCGTGCACGAAGAAGTGGCATCAGTTGTCAAACGGGAATTACTAACAGCAGTGCTCTATTATCGAGTATACAATCAGGATGTTGTTAGTGATTGGATCAAGATTTAATCTTTGGCGTGACTCTGGGTGAAATCAGGAATAAAAGCACGACTTTCGTGTTACATAGGCAAGTAAATTGAAGACATTCGAACATAGCTACAAGACCTTGACCGAAAGCATGGCACCCGCGGCGGTGGTGAACATGGAGAGTATTTATATTAAAGGAGCTTCATGATTAGTCCAATAAATTCTGTCTTCACCATGGTATGCGTCGTCTTTTCAATTAAAGGCTGACAGCATGGTTTGTCTGGCCGGTTTGCTCACAGCTGTCCGCACCAAAACCAGCGCTCCCCTCTTTCCAACCAACCAGAAGCCAGAATACAAGCTGCAAGAAGCTCCACTTCCGGACGTCAAATGGCCGTCGATGGTGGCACGCCCAAGCAATTCGTCCCAAATCATCGAAAAGCCATTCCTTCTCCTCGACAATTATCCGCCTCTGCTCCTATCAATCAACATCGCATTCACTCTCCTCCGCAACATCGTGCGCCTCTATTTCGTTTCTTGGTTCTCGATTGTCGCAGCACCCCAAAAGGCCCTCCCCGCACTCGTCAACGTTTTCTTTCTTTTTTCTTTCAACTCATACATCCACGCCCGCACAACACACGTCATGTCTGAGAGACCTGCTCACCGAGGTGGTCGCGGCGGTCGCGGCGACGGGGGCCATCACCGCGGCGGTGGCGGTAGAGGTGGAAGCGCGCGCGGCGGCGGCGAGGGCGGCGAGAAGCCCAAGAAGGAGAATATCCTGGACCTGACCAAGTACATGGACAAGCAAATCACCGTCAAGTTCAACGGAGGCCGAGAAGGTGCGCGCTTCAAAACAACTTTGGGAAAAAAAAATGCCCTGTGCAAAGGGGAAGATGCATAAACTAATTCGGTTGGGGGTCCGCAGTCATGGGCACGCTCAAGGGATTCGACGCGTTGATGAATCTAGTCCTCGACGACGTGCAAGAAACTGTACGAGGTATGCTTCAAGCCCTATTCTACTCCCTCAACTTTTTTTTTTAGCTTTACGATTGGAAATGCATACTAACTTGCGCCCCCCTTCCGCCTTTTTCCCCCCATGGAATAGATGAAGAAGGCAACGAATCGACAAGACCTCTCGGCCTGGTCGTCGTCCGTGGCACTCTCCTCGTTCTCATCTCCCCCGTCGACGGCAGCGAAGAGATTGCCAACCCCTTTGCCCAACCCGACGACGAATGAACCGCAAAATCGCATCTATACCCCCCCAAAAAACCCCCCCAATGCGACGAATAATGAAAGAGTGAGCAGAATGTGCACACATTGACAACGCTCTTCTCGCTCGCGATGACGCAGGAGGTAGCTCATCGCCTTGAAGCAAGATAATGGCGCGTGTCGCACACTGCTGGATATCACTGGGCGCAGCTACGACGGAGATTTTTTTTTTTTCATCTATACCGAGGAAGCATCAAGAAAAGAAAAGAGTGATGGAAGACGGGCAACGAATGGGAACCAGTCACCGTCTGTCATCTTCAATGGCATGGGAGGACAGGGCTACTGATAATAGAAGACGATAAAAAAATAGTACTAAAAATTCAAAAATGTATATAATTTCCTCGTGTTTCTTTACGCAGGCGGGTAGCAGACAAGCAACAACACTCGTCGTTGGATCATGGAATCGATGAGCTCCTACAACTTCCCCTGCTCTAATGCTCGCACCTCATTCATTCGCATCGTGTCCTTATAACCCCCCCAACCTGCAGCGCTGGCGCTGGCACTATTGCGAGAAACCGCTTGCACAAAAAACCAATACACGCGCTCTCTTGAAAATCCAAAATAATCACGTCATACGCGCATGCACGCCAGGCAAAACGTTTCGTGCACCTTCTTCTCAAAACCGACTTCAGTAAACGGTCCAGTACCGCGTCCTTGGTATATCAGACCTGGGCAAGCGAAACCCGGGCCAGCGAGCCCGATCTCGCTTCGAGGAGTCATTCTACTCCTCCTCGTGGCTTTCTCTCAGGGGGTTCAACTAGATGCCCCTTCCTTGCTTGCTCTTTTGCAAGTCATTGAAAGCGCTCCCCAGCTGCTTTTTCAATTCTTTGTAGCTGACAATAAAAACAGTCTGCTCATCTCGACTCGTCAGACAAATCTTCTCGTCCGTCCCCGCATCAAGCTTGTTGAGATTGCGCAGCATGTGACCCATGTCCAGCACTGGGTTGTTGTTACTATCCACCTGGTGGAATACGTGGTCACGGAAGAGCTTCAGCATGTAGCGCTCGCCGTTTTCTGACCATGCTCGATCTCCATCAAACTCTGGCCGCTCGTTGATGGCGCCGAGCTTCATTAAAAGCCTTGCTACACGGCCATTCTCGAGCTCCCGGTAGAGCTCCGTATTGAGCTCATCTGCCTGGTGCTGGCTCTGGTCCAGTGTGGTCACAATATGACCTGCAACACCTCGGATAAATTCATCGATTGTCTTCTGTGCAGGGGTCTGCGCTGGCGTGAAAAGCCAAATGATGGTGTCGCGAAGCTCTGCTGAGTATGTTCTGCTCATCTGCTCCAGAGATGCTGTAATGTTATTTAGATGCACTGGGAGGGTTCCAGTAGCCAAGCAGAGTATGGAGCGGCCGAATTGTACAAAATCGTCTTGTTGTAGCTCGAGAAGGGGACGACGATTATCGAACTGCACAACATCCAGAATAGAACAAGCGTTGAGGCGGATGCGGTTTTTACCTGTCAGCAGGATCTTGCTGACATCGATGCACCTAGCAGCCAGATTGCTCGAATGAATAGCCTTGAGTGCGTTGGCAATTTGTGAAATATAGCACCAAAGCACGGCCTCGGAGACGGGTGACTTTGGCTGGTATCGTTGTCCATGGACAGGATTTGCAGTCAAATGATGTTCTGCCAGTGACTTGGCTAAAGGGTGGTAATCTTGCACAAATATGAGGGAACTGTCGCCAAAGGCTCTCGTGGTAAATGCATCATGGATAGTGACAACGTTGGCGTTGTCAATTCGTCTCCATTCTTTGACAGATCTGATCGCATGCTCATTCGTAAGCCTGAAGCCTTCGATGCGGCGCAGGGAGTAAATATTGCCGGTTTTGGATGAGGTTCCCTTGTATATCCAGCTGGGGTATCCAAAAATGTTGACATTCTTGCGCTGGGCTGTTGTGTCAAGTGCAACCAGTGAATGGTAGTTGTCTAGCTGGGGTAGTTGTGAGTTGGGCATCACTTGCAGCGACGCTTCCGATTTGCGCTGCATCTCTTCTCGCAGCTTGTCGGGGATGAAGAAGTCATGGGTGACGCGGTGATACTGCATGAGGTCTTCGCGATGGGGTCCGACAGGCGCATACAGGTGATATTGTAGTGGCTGTGGTGGGAACTGGCTTCCTTGATAGAATTGATGCGCTGCGCCGGCCAAGGTTCCATGGTTCTCGGCGTATGGATTGAAGGGCGCGGCCCCCGGGAGACCTTGAGTGACGGTCCCCATATTGAAGGGATCAAATGACGGAGGTCCATCGGCAGAGCCTCCGTTGGTGGAAGAGGCATTGGGATCAAATGGCGTGAATTCGCGAATGGCGGCAGGGTTGAAGACGGCGGCGTCCCCTTCAGTCGAGTTGCCAGCTATATCTATCAGAAAGGAAGGCGCTGCAGACGAAATCGCTACACGTACCTATTCCGCGTGGGGTAAAAGACGGCGCATTAGCAGCCTGAGAAGTAAACGACTTTTTGACAGCCGCCGTGGGGCCGAGATTGGCCGGGGTAAAAGACGGCGACTCGACATTTAAAGATTTCTTGGATCTGGAATTGATTTCATTCATTAGTGGGCAATGGAAGGGGAGCGCCCCGATAATGGACGGCTGTAAATATGATGGTGTCGAATGCGCTGGGTAGGGGGTAGGCGTACGGGTCTTGTTGGTTTTGGTTTTGGCTGTTTGCCTTGTGCTGGTCGTGTGAGAAGGTGCAGCCCTGATCTTCGTAGCGACAATGGCCATATATCAGAACATTTCGGCAGAGCGTTTCTTTGTTTTCTGGTCCGCATGAGCGATTGCCCTGCGACATTCTGGGTCATGATCTCGCACATACCTCTGGGTTTGACTCTCGGCGAGCCGACCTGGCGCCGCAGCTCGTTGGATTGATACCGGGGGGCCGCCATTTTCGACTGATGCGGATCATGTGATTACTTCTACATCGGAAAAACAAGGTTCGTTAGCATAGAGTCGGCAATGGAGCATCGCTCGAGTCGCAGCAATTTGCGCAGCCAGTTGGCCTCTCGGACGTTAGGTTGGCGATCGGGGCGCAGCGCGGGCAGTCAGCGTCGGGGCATCATACTCGGATCGTGTAGTTATCAGCCATGGTTCAATTGATGGCGGCGACGCGGCGCCCATGAAAGAAAACGGCCGAGGGCCAGGATCGGAGGGCGAGCTGGGGTTGCCGATTGCCCAAGACGAGGCACGGAGAGTCGAACGGCGCGAGGTTGATGCAGTGGGGGAAGACGCGAGCTGTGGCGGGGATACGTGGGATGCTGGCTCTCCCGAGTTGAGCTGCGTGTCTCTCTGCACACCAGTATGGAGTACCGCCGGGTGAACTAGTTGGCAGCTGGTGGTGCACCCGTTGGGGGTGGGTGCGCCAACACGTCCACAGATGGTACCGGGTAAGTCGAATATATTCTGCCAAAACTCACCGCCCACATGTCCTGACAGAGCATTTTAGACTCTACCTAGTCTCCCGCCTATCGCGGGCCACGGCAAGCCGCTTCAATTTATCTCAGGGTCTAATGCGGTGCTACATTCCACAATTTGTCCTTCTGAAGGGTGCCTGGCTGATCTGGCGCAATAGCCAACGCACCTAGATCAACGCCACGAAAACCAAGCAAAAAAAAAAAAGAAAGAAATAGCCAGTGGCCACGCTGCGTCTAATCAAAAACTGGGTCACTGTATATATTTAGTGACACCTACTGCCTCATGTCGTGACGATGCGGCTCGACAGCCGCCTCTCCCCTGAGTATTTGTCACGCTGACCCGAGTTCACAACACATCAACAGAAATGTTATTTATTCGAGCCAATGTGAGACAGAAATCTGCGTCTGTATCAACTTGTTCTCTCATCAGAAGCTAAACTTGGCGATGTTGGCCACTCGCGTATTAAGATGGCCCGGACTGCACGCCAACGTCAGCCATGGAACTCAAGTGTAGTTGGGGATAGGAACGCCAAAAAACCTTGATGGATTATTATTCTTCCCCTTGTCGAGCCTCGGCCTATAAGCTTCCATATGTTCACTTTCTTTGCATTGTTCTATGATTTATTGTACCTTCTCCTTCTAGGCGAAGCATCTTCGAGCCCCCGTCGACGCATTGCCCTTCATTGATTCAAACCATCACGACAATATTCACAAGGTCTTGCTTCTAGAAGCTTCAAGAAGTCTTCTATCTTCGAGAGCTCTCTTTGTCTCTCAAATGAAGTCTCAGCGGAAACAGTCTCGCGCTCGTGCAAAGGTCCGTTGCAAGCGCAGACGCGATGCTCGCAAGAACTGCGATGCAGCTCCAAAAGAAGCCAAAGCCATCATGAAGAAATGTCCCTTCCTGCAACAGAGCATGTTTGTGAGAATGCTTCACTCTCATGCCATCTGGGAGGTTGCTAGCCATCTCACGCTCGTCGACCAGCTTTGGCTTTCCAGAACCTGCAAAGACCTGAATGAGATTATGCGTTACGCACTACGTCGCAACGCTCGTCACTCCTTCAATGAAGATGTCTTGGAGGCTCTCGCGGTACTTGCTTCGGAGCAGATTGACAAGTGGGCGTGTGGACAATGTCGTAAATTACACTTGGTGAATTACCAAGACACGCCTCATCCGTCCGCCTCTTGGACTTCTCACGTCTACAAACCGGATCTCTTTTCGGTTCCCGACCACAGTTCATACAGTGTCGGCCATCATCACGTCCAGCTAACATTAAAGTACTCCCGCCGTTTCCTTGCCTTGGCTTGCCGACGGGCCTACCTGCAAGATCTATTGAAGCAAAGCCGTCAGTGGATCAGCAGCGGAGATTTGCAAACAATATGCACAATGACACCTCGAGTCTTGAAGGGAAGATATCTGCGCAAGTCGGAATGGATGATTTTGAGTATCGGTCGACACTTGACTTATCGCATGGTTGGGACCGTTACGTTGTGCTGTCACCTACTACACCTTCCAGGAATATGTGAAACGTCGCCTCTGTCTACGACCATGGCCAAAGTCTTGTCAGAGGGCTCGGCTCCCGAGATCTATTGCTACTTCTGCGCCACAGAATTTACAGTCAAGCTCAGCTCTTACCTGGGAAAGTTGATTCTCCTCATCGAGGCGTATCAGGACTTGGGAGGTGAAGGATCTATTTGTGAGAAGAATTGGAAAGCGCTTGCTTGGGACAATCGTTCCGTGACGTATTTCGCACATTGTGTCCTGAACAAGCTGACGAACCGCCGCTCCGTCCGGGAGATGTGGGAGAGGAAGCCACTTCCATGGAAGCCTGACGACGGATGGCCGCCGTTTCGTTGAGCAAGCGAACAAGAACGCAATGTCGACGTCGCTTCGCGGATAAGCGCTGCTGCGAGATGCGCTCTCCTAACTCAAAGTGGAATTTCATATATAAACATCGATGCCCGGCTATTGTACTTTTAGATGACGCTCAGTTTACCATAATCTTGCGCTGCTTCACAAGAAGCAGAATAGGTCTGCCACGGGATGTGCCAGAAGTGACGCTTTGTGCTCCGCACTGACGATGGTTCCCAAGGCCAAAGAGCGAAATTCTTCAAATGTCCATCGCAATACCCAATCATGCGCGCACGGTGAACGACGCTTTAGGCTCACCTCATATGAGTCTGTTACAAGAAAAACAGCTCATGCCTCACTTCACACTAAAACCCAGGAGTATCTTAGAAAGAATAGTACCTTGAAATAATAGATTTTAAGTGTGTTGATATAAGAAGGAGTCGGATTACTTTAACGTAGTAATTATTTGTTAGAGTTATAGGCGAGCCACAAGCCTAACGATTGGCTGTTGATCTACGGTACGATCGGAAAGCATCACCGTTTTATGTGGTTCAAACTTGCACCGGCGAGTTGCCCAAGACAGTTAGTCTATCGTACGTGTTGAAGCGCGCAGAAGAATGCGTAATGACGATGATGAAATTCGCCATTCGATATACGCTTGGGTTTGGGAACCGAGGTCCATTATTGTGGAATGATCCATGAATCATTGTTGGAAGACTAGCATCTCACCACAAATGGACAGTCTAATAACGTCACTCTGAGGCCGACCTGGCGTCACCACTGTCACGCGTAGTGATTTATAAGGCTTAACTGCCACTACGAATTTCAAAGTGACAAACCAAAAAAAGAATCGGACAAATCATCATAACAATGTCTTGCACACGAAATTTGATTACGATGGCAGCCCGGCCCAGCCTCCGCACGATGCAGCCCGCTTCGATACGACGAATCTCTTCTGGATCGCGTGGACCCCTTGATAAGCCGGCTGAATCGAGCACATCACCAAAAATGTAAGAAAAAGATGACAGATTCCTTGTTTCTTTCTTTTTCCCCATGATTACCATGTTGCTGACACAAACATACACAGGCCGGGATGGCGGATAGCCGCAATGGTTGGAGTCGGAGTAGCGGCGTTTTACGCCATGTTCCTCGCCAAGCCTGACGCTGTTGCCCAGTCTTCAGTTCCTACGACTCAGACCAAGAACCCGGCCGCGTCTCGTGGGAATTAATAGGAAAAAAAAAATGGGAAAATGGGGGAGAGCTGGTGTGGGTTGTTGAAGTGGCTAGCTTCAAATGGGCGGCGCAAAGTGGCCGCCGGGAGGGTCTAAACGGGTTACGTCAGAATGACGGAGGGGCACAGTTTTTTGATGGGAAAATGCAATGCCGCCCTATTCAACGGCAATTATGGAGAAATTCATTATTTAGAGTAGAATATGCACATGTTGCAATCCCGCAGCTCGTCTATGGGTTCTATGTGTTGAAAATAAATGCCAACTGTGTCAAGTTGCGTTGTGGCTACTCTGGACTACTGATGAACCACCCATGCTGTATGACCTCTGTCTATGCCCAAAGCTACTGACAAACTACCACGCTGTATGGCCTCCATCAATGACCAGATTGTTCCCTATTTGACAATGTTAGAATGTGTTTTTTTTTTCTCTTTTGTCTTGAAAATTCAAACTCGTAGCTCTTACCCGTCATGAAGCTGCTGGCGCTGCTCATCAAAAACAGCGCTGCTCCCTTAAACTCGCCCGTCGTCGCAAGCCGGCCCATCATGTTCTCGGCGATCCATTTCTTCTTCATCCCGGGGTCCTTTTCAAAGAGCTCCAGGACCATGGGCGTCTCAATGTGCCCAGGGCTGAGACAGTTGACACGGATGCCGCCGGAGCCGTCTTCCCTGAGCGGGCTCCATTCCATGGCCAGGCTGCGGGCCAGCTGGATCACGGCCGCCTTGGACGAGTTGTACACGGGCGACCGCATGCCCTTGTTGGCCACTAGACCCGACATGCTTGCGACCATGCAGATGCTGGCCCCGCGCGTCTTGTGCTTCATCATGGCCTTGGCCGACGCCTGCGCCGTCACGAAGACGGACGTGTAGTTGGTCGCCAGCATGCTCGAAATGTCGTCCACCGAGTAGTCGAGCGCCGGCGTCGTCTGGATAAAGGCCGCCGCGGCGACGACGCCGTTGAGCTGCCCGTTTTCGTCGGCGATTTGCGAGATGCGTTGCTCCAGGAGCTTCGCGTCCCGGACGTCTTGCTGGCAGTACACCAGCTGCCCGCCCCATTCGGGGACGACTCGGCGCTGGGCTTCCTCCCATTCATCATCGGGCTTTTCTTGGATATCAAAGCAGTAAACTAGTTGAATCGATTAGGAATTTTGGCGTTTTCGCGGCTGAAACATGGGGTGATGTTTACCTTTGCCGCCCGCTTCCACGAGAGCTTCCGCAATGGCCAGCCCCAGTCCTCTAGCACCTCCAGTAACAATGAAAGTCTTTCCCGCAAGATCAAAGTCTGCAAAGCGTTTGTTGCCAAAGGGCTGCTCTCTAGGTACTGGCGAAGTCATGGTCGACTGCTCTTTCTGTTGAACAATGTTCTTGATTTGCAGAATGAAAAGCCTGCACGAGAGAGCATCAAGTACTCGTTGCTGCCAACATGAGTTGCCTCACATCATGAGAACGTCACTGTTCATCACGGGATTTGGTGGATCAGCAACGCGTCAAACCCTACGTCAGAATAACGACAGTTGATATTCCACGCTCGTTGCCCCTTAGATCTACGTTGTCGAGAGCGAGCATCTATCATGATTGATCCTCACCATTGTTCCCGATCTAGCAGCCCATAGAATTGGTAGAAGCGCTAGGGGCCGTGAGGGGCACTACTAATGTTTTCCCTTGCTCGAATCACTGGCACTGGGCCTGTTTCCGTTTCCGTGTTTGGCCCTGCTGAACAATACCAGAGCAAAGTATAAGCCAGGTAAGTCCGCGATTCGGATATGCAATAGTCGATACGCCTGCATATTATTTGACTGATGAGAACCACCTGTAATAAGGGCCAGGATATATGTCGTGTTTGTTGTCGTTGTGAATCTCGCGCTCCAAGGCCAACCCGGACCAAATCACTAATCATAACCACAACGATTCCAGAGAGGTCAAAACGGAGAGTTTAGAATCAGACAAGACTGAAATTTCAACTGGCTTTTCCTTTTCCAAATCATTTCGCCAACAATGGCAGGCTCTGGCGGTGTGGACGTAGCAATCTTTCAAAGACATTGGGCTTGCGTGCCGCCTGGTATCGCCCAACGAAAAACATGCAAAACGGCAGGGGACGATAAAGGTGTCTCAGCGATCGAGATGGTAGCTGATACTCGCCTGATTTTCATTACACACAGCTGAAGAATATCTGGGCCACGTCGAGCTATTCCACAATAACCCACAACAAAAAGCAGAAAGACGACAGGGTTCAGTGCTATGCGGCGGCCGCGTGTCACCCGAGCAGACGAGGACGAGGGTACGGAGTAGTAGTACTTGCGGGTTCCGTTGGCGAGTTACACACCGATTTCAGTGCACGGATACAGTATCCTTTGGCCCCAGCTTCCAGGGCTGAGACACCGCGTGAGTCGATCAGTCTCTCGGCGTTGAGCAGCTTGAATAAGCAGAGGTAGGGGACTGATACGTACTGATTAGTACGCTCCATCAGGGTTAGCGGGTGTGCTAATCCGTAGGCAGCTCTTTTAATCCCGAAAGCGAATTTCCAACGGTTTTGTTGGAATTTGGGTTCAGGCCCACGCCGTTTTGAGGGCAAGGGAGAATAGGAAAAAGGGTCACAAACTGGTGCCTCACGACGCAACTCTCGTAATGATTGTCTGTATAACCTCACAGGAAAGCAATAATCTTTGACAGCTACAGTCTCTGTGTTTTTGCTTTTGGCTAGAAAGCGAGCCTGCAAGCCGACGAGTCTTAAAGCAGCAATGCACAAAGCCACCGGAGCAGAGCCAATCGACCAATGACAACGACGGGAGTATTCTCCGTCATGGGCAAAAGAAAACATGTTCTGGTCGCAAGAGCACATTTGGCGGGGACCTTATGTATATCCCCCGCACCACCATGCCATTTCACTAGTCGCAGACTAATAAGAGTTTTGCTGGCTCAAAAAGCAAAGCAGGAGGGCATTGCAAGACGTCCAGCGCATGTGCAAGATAAACGACCCTCCCCTTGGGCCCTTGAGAGGAAAATTCTACCAAATAGACGAGCCATGGCGACTCTACGAGAAGAGGGGAGGGGGGGGAAGGGCTCGGTGCGTGGTGCGAAGGTCGGACATGCTCCGAGCGAGCTGATTGGCTCCATGCGAAGTGTTCTGCAGCGCACTCCGGGTCCCGTCATACTGGATCGACGGGCATAGTTGCCCTTGCTGGTGTGTACATGAGCACATCAGCTGGAAAGGAGGGTGTGTAGGTGGCCGTGTACAGACAGGGACTTGTGCTAGCCTGGTGCATGATACAAGCAGTTGGCAAAACGGTTTAAATGAAGAAAGCCCACCACTGGCTTCTTGGCGGCCTAGGCATTCCGCATCTTGTACATAACGAATGGCGCTCGTGAAGCTATCAGATGATAGATTCCGCATCTCGTACCTTTGAATAATTTTTCTCCACCCACGACGAACCAGCAAAGAGACGGATCGTTATCGCGTTACGGATACCTCTCTCAACTCGGCGATATCATTAGAATTAGCAGGAGGCATGCCTCGCCGCCCGTCGCCAGACCGTTGTCAGTTTTGCCGAAGAAGAAAGAAAAAGGTGAGGCGGGGAATACAATATTGATTTTAGTCATCTTTGTCTATTCCCATTTGGCAATGGGATCATCTCTGCTAACCAGACCCGAACCTCAACCAACCATCAGTGCGACGGACAAACTCCTTGCTATGCGTGCAAAAAGGCAAACATTGCATGCGTCTACGCCATACCGCAACCCGATGCGACTGTCGAATCCGGAAAGCAAAAGTGTTTGAAACCGAAACCTGCAAAACCAAAGAGACCGATTGATACGTTGCACAAAGCCAACGGAGTGCGCATCCCAGACAAGACATCCAGCACAGTCATCGGGCATACCAGTTCCTTGCATCCGAAAAGTGCGACATCATTACGGGAGGACGGCGATCTTTATACAAATTCTGAAGGTACGAGGGTTTTGCTTTGTCAAATATACTCGTTGATTTGTTTGGCTCCAGTCACTGTGTTTGCTGATTGGATTGCTTCCAAACAGCAGATTCCGAGTGTTCTATAATACCAAGTATCGAATCATCTGCATCGCAGGGAAGTGTTTCGACAAGTGGTGCAGAAGATTACTCAGATAGCTCAGCTTCACCACGACCTACCCCATACGCCTCGCCACACCTTGACTGGTCCCAAGCCCGCGTCTTGCGCGTTCTCGACAACATCTTACAATGGGACTGTGTTGCCTTCTGTCTCATCGACCGTGAAAGATTCAAGCTGGACTTGCAGACCGGCGAGACCACGTACTGCGCGCCAGCGCTCGTAAACGCTTTGCTTGCGCTGTCGGCTGTCGTGTTTCGACACAACATCATCGAAGAGGTCGCCAATCGCGAAACGGGAAAGCCGGCATGGGACGTCCTCAGCGCTACACTTGCCGGCGAAGCTATTCACACTCTACACCGCGGCACATGGCTGCCAGAGACGATACCGGAAATACAAGCCCTTGGCGTGCTGGCGCTGTACTGCGCTTGTAATAGTTGGAAGGAAGAGAGTCGAAACTTTGCAATGGACTTTGCCGAGGCCATTCGGAAATTCTGCGTTCAGAATGCCAATGCAGGTAGCGAGCCTACGAGTACACGGCGCATCACGGCTAGCACATACTGCGGCGCCATTTCACTAAACCGGTAGGAAGAAGCTGGCTCCTGTCATGACCAAAAAACTGGTAGTCAGGTGCTGACACAAGATAGGGTACTGGTACAAATACACAGGTACAATATGAGTCTGCCTCCCGACTGGTACGAAGCACCCGACGGAAGTCCAGGATGCAAAGACGGCAGAGTCGACGGTCAAAGCTGGACAGAGCATCTGCTACGGCCGACACTTGGTATGGTTGCCGAGCCCATCGCGCGTAAAAAATGACGGTGCGCTGATTTTACAATGTTAGTCAACGACGTCTTTGTTCCGGAGCCCGACGCCCGCGGAGACGATTTATACGTGGTCGCGGCAGAGCTATACCAGCTGGTAGAGCAAGTTTTCAAGACGTGCTGCGTTCCAGAAAAGGACCGTACCTTTGCCGACGCCACCGTGACGTACATTAAAGGTCTCGAATGGTACCAAAACTTTTTCAAATACTCCGAGGCGTATACAGGTCGTGAGCCCCTCATCTACTTTGTGCAGTATGCCAATTTTCCACCCCAAGTTGAAACTAGAAGAAGAAGAAGAAGAAGAAGAGAGAAAAAGAAGAAGCTAGACCTTGGGGAGAATGCTAATGTCAAGTTCTAGCACGTACTATCACTTTTGCATCTTGTGCTTGTTTTCGCCGTACATGATGGACCCGACTATTGTCATCAGCTGCGGGAGCCCGCCGGGCAAGATATGCGAGGAGGCGGCGCACAGCATCCTGAAGCTCATGAGGCTGCACGATTCACTGGCCGGCGACACGGAGCCCGTTGGCTTCATGAACTCGTTCAAGAGCGCTTCGCTCAAGTTCCTGGACAGTTATCGAAAGATGCAATGACATTGACAAAATACCGAAACGAAAAAAATGGGCAGGGCACCGATTCACGAAAGCAAGGGACAATAAAAAAAACGAGGACGAATGATGGACGGGATAGAGTCGGATACGATTTGCATCACAGAAGAGCATGGAATGAATAGCCATGATATACACATTTTTTGCTTATGATTAGTCTATACACTGTAGTCAGCACGTCTGCGGATCCTGGGATGTAGGGCGTTTGAGCCAGCTACTTCCCGGTTCCAAGACGGCCTGGCTCTGCATGATGGCCATTCTCAGGAGATATGGAAGGGTATAAAAATCAAACACTATATACCCAGCATCGTTGCGTAAGCTACGCATTTCTCTACTTATCATCATTGACGTCCGACCCATTAGTTACTCCGTCAGCGGGGAAAGAAGGCATCGTTAAACAGTCGTCCCACGAGGGTCTTGGTCGAGAACTCCAGAATATGTGCAGCATCGCAAGTGCCTCTAGCGACCTGTCCAATTCGTTGACATCAATTAAATATTCATAACGAAATATATACAAGATTCGTGCGGACACGCAATAACTCATAATATGCGTAGTAGCAAGTGCTTCTGCAAAAAAACCAATACAAAAAACGCCGACGGGCAAACCGACTAGAATATGCGCTGCCAAACGTGTCCATGCCCATGTCCCTGCGATACATATGCTGTCAGGGAGCAGTCTCTAAAATAATTAAATTGAATTCTCACGCACACTGCATCTTCTTCATACAGTCGTCGTCGTCTTGTCGGCTGTCTTTTCGGACGTGACTGCAGGCTCATTCTCGACAATGGCCTCGTCTGTCTTTTCATTTCCAACAGTCACTTGCTCTGTCTGGTGGGAGGAAGCAGTCTCCTCCTCCTTTTTGTCCGCCAGCAGGGGCTCTTCCGTCTTTTCGTCAGATTTTACATCACCCTGCTTTGTGGGTGTCGTCTCAGACGTGGTAGTCTCCACGTTTTCTCTCGCATCTTCCGTCGACTCACGCGTGGGAGTCATCGGTCTTCGAACTGGCGTACTGGTGCCTGGAGAGTCGGTGGCTAAGACGGCAGCAATGTTTGACGACGACAAGCGCTGCGAGTTGCTCCTAGAACGGTTGCCTCGCTGGTTTTCCGGCCGACTTATCATTTCAGCCTGCATCTGGGCAAACTCCTTAGAACTCCACGAAGCTCGATGAACACGAGCGGCGCGGGGAATACCGCTGACAGAATAACGCGAGCTACCGCTGTTTGCGCGGCTGCGCTGGCCACTACCGCCAGCCTGCGCCTGAAACCCGGGCTGTGGTAGCGACATGTCTCCCAGCTCATCCTCATCCTCAATTTTGGGAGCTCGTCGGACATTGCGCACGTTGAAGCCTGCTTCGACCGGTACAGGCTCCGTCTCTTCCGGCTTGGACGGGGCAGGGAGATCGTCGGTGCGCTTTTGCATGTGCTCGAAATAATTGACGCGCATATCAACAAACGGCTCGGTAAATTCCTCCTTGTTACGCGACAGCGACATCCATGATGAGATGATGCCAACTGCCGCCAGTATCAACACGACGACTGCAAGGAATGCTTGCACCACAACAATTATGAGGCCAATTGCGGTTGCGCCGATGCGGCTCACGTTGTAATCGGCTATGAATGCAATGGATAGGCCAGTGGTGATGACTTTTGCCACGGACAGCATCCAGATGGCGACCACTGTGTTACGAGAGGATTCAAAAGCTGTTAGTTTGATTGTGACGAAGAATGCGATAATCTCAAACAAGAATAGCCCAAAGACTTGAGCCAAAGGCGTGCGAACACCACCGCCGATGAAACATGCACGAATAAACTGGTATCCCAAATAAAAGGCAAAGTACCACCAGCGAGTACGGCGATATCGAGCAGACAGCCAGCCGAATCGCTTGATAAAACCGGCGTCTTGGTGAACAGTCAGGCGGTTCGGGTCGTCATCGGTGTAGATGATTCTCGTTATGGGCACCGAAGCGTATAAACGGCGTTGCTCAGCCGTCTCGTGCTCACCGCGTTCGCTATTTCGGATGGCAGACACAAACGGGACCTTTTTAAAGACCGTGGCGCTTTCGAACCGGATGGCGTCGGGTGCGGTAGAGTACTTGCCGTGTCGAAGACGAAAGTAACAGGCGTACGCGGCCAAGCCTCCGATACCGACGAGGAAGAGTAGAAAGACAATGGCAGCGATGGCAGTCGGCCCGTCGGGGCCGCGGAGAGAAAATTGGTACATTGCGAGCGTGGTCATGACAAAAAAGCCAATGAAGCAGGTACGCAGCAGGGCAGAGGCCAGGTAGCCACCCAGGTGACTACGGAAATAATTGAAGCCATCCGTCTTGAGTAGTTTGAGTCTGATCATTAAATCCAGTGTAAGTTTGAAAAGAACAATCAGCACCACAACGAGGCCGATCATGACCATGAACCATATCAGGGCCAATGTAAAGGCCTCAGCTGGCGGAATATTGACTTCGGAAAGTGTTCCGGGAAGACCTGGCCAGGTACCTGGCATGGGCATGCCCGGAGTATTGGGCTCGCCGCCCCAGGCGTAGTCGTCGAGGTCGGTGGCTGACGAGGGCTGCTCCCCGCTAGTATCACTTGCGCGTCCATAGATTTGTTGCGTTAAGCCACCGTTATTGTTGATAGGCACAGATCCGGCACCTCCGACCTGGCTCACGCTTACAACATTGCCAGTAAAGGAGCTGATGGAGCTGACGAGGCTGTGCGTAGCAAACATGCCGGAAGGCCAGGCAAAGTTGCTCCACCATGCTGGCAACACACTAGGCCAGTTGACAGAGAGTGCACCAGAAAAGAAGATGTATTGAAAAGTCTCAAAGACGACGAGGACGGAGAAGGAGTGAGCATAATGCATGCGCATATGCGGGACACTAACGCCATAGACGGCGGTGATAAAGGAGGCGAGAATAGCGGTAATGACGAAGATTCCAACGGTAGTTCCAATAGCATCAGGCTGTGACAGCGTCTTTCCGTTGGACATGACGGCCTGGAAGCAGCCAATCTCGGTCTGTGTAGAATTGGCAAAGATTTGAATGCGGGCAAAGCCTTCAAAGTCGGGGATGCCCATGGAGACCTGGGGCATGCCAGCTACATCATCGGCGGATAATGGGACAACAGCAAATGCGGCAATGCGATTGTCTGAGGTGAGGGGACATAGAGTGTCCATGTGGGCTTTGCAAGGATCGTAGGTCATGTTGAAGCGCGTCTCGCCGTAGGCTTGTATGGAGAGATGGAGGGCGAGCGACTCCTTTCGAATGTTGCTAGCTCCATTGAGATAGAAGAAAATTGTATGCTCGTCCGTGTCGGAATAATAGGCGACGTCAAAGGTGGAAAAGTTGAATAAGCTGCCGCCGCGGAGGCAGTCTGCGAAGCCACCCGAGTAGAGAGAGGGTCGGGGGGCAATGTCTAGTTTCTGAATGTCGCCATTGAAGTCGTAGCCTTTGATGACTTTGGAGTCGTCGGCGGCGGCGACGGATGACAAAAGGGCGAATAAGCAAGTAACCAGGAGGAGCATGCTGGTCAAGGCCCGCGTTGGCCTGCTGTCGACGAGCATGTCTGCTGCGATGAGCGAGCCGCACGCACGGGTGCGGGTATTATTGGAGGCTCTCGGGCAGGAATGACGATGGATCGAGGATAACGGGGCAGTCGGATATGGCCAGGCAGCAATGCGAGATATCCGGAAGAGAGCAGTCTATCGCATCGAACTTTGTTGCAAGGGCGCCTGGGGAGACGAACGTGTTCGTCGCAAAAGCAGGGTAAAGCTGGCGTGTTTCATCGAGTTCGTGTTGGGATGCCGCAAGCCAAGCGTTGCCCAGCCCACTAATAATGGCCACAGCAATGCGCGCTGAAAGCAGAGGCCGGTAGCAACGGCTAGGTAGTGACTAAGGGAGACGACTTCCTCTAGCGAGGCAGCGGTTTGATGGAGGTATCAATCGGGAGTTGGGTTGTGATGGGGGAGCGTTTGGGCAAGAAAGGACGTGGGCAAACAAAGATGAAGCGAGAGACGGCGAGGTCTAATAAGCTGGGTGAAAATGGCAATCGTTCACCTGCAAAATGTCTGATCTCAATAGGTACCTAAGTAGAGCCTGAGTACGAGGTAGGTAGGTAGGTACCTGCTAAATCCCGTATGCACAGCTCTGTCTCTGCTGAGCTTCAGTGGACCACGGGCGGGAAAGCCCCTGCTTAGTGGAGTCGAATCTGCTAAATGCCCGCCAACGTCTGCTAAATCGCTAGCGCTGGTCTGCTGAAGCTCGCCAACGGTGCAGTTGCAAAGGACGGCGACGTATACATTGAAATGCAGCAATCATGATGGATGCCAAAAAAAATTCTTGCCGTTGTTGTTTGTTTCGCGGAAATTTCCGGTTGATCTCGAGAAATTGGTCACCCTTTGTGGCCCCTCAAGTTCTCCCCTTTCCTGCTTGATGCCCTGATGCCCATTCCATCAGCGTTGACACTTCGTGGCATGCAAAGTGGGCCATGCCGGGTGCGCTAAATACCAGCAGTGATTGGTTGCCTGTAGATTTCACGTTTGACAACAAAGAGCTTATCGCATTTACCAGGCCAAGATTAGCTATTAGGTGGTTCCCAAGAAAACTGTTTGACAAGATCCCTCGGGCTAGGAATTCTATGGAGTTGGCCAATTTCGCAGCGTGACTGTCGAGATGGTATCGGCACGGCCCACAACTGGTTGCAGGCAAACAGTATATCAGAGAAAAGTGAAAAGTAATTACGAGTGAGCCAAAAAAAAAAAAAAAAAAAAAAATCAGAGAAGGAAACTCAAGTGGGCTTATCTTCATGTTACGATCAGCCTCTGGAATAGCATTGCCCGTCATCCGTCAAGAAGCGGACGCCGTGAGCGCGACGCAATGCAGAAAATACCAGAGGCGAGACTGAGCCGTTTGCCGTGAATGGCGCTCACGGTGAGGTGAGACTGGCCTGGGACATTTGGTGAGCGGCAAGAATGTCGACAAAGCCCAGCCAAGCACTGCTCTGCAATGTTTGGACTTGATCAGATTATTATTTTCGCGCCGTCTTGTTCATCAGGCCTGGGCGGTATTGCACCATCGGCTCTCGTGGTGGCCTCACAAGGTGCAATGAGCGGCCTTTCCCGATTTGGGAATCCCTTCTGACGTTATTGTGAGGCTTTCTGGCAAAAGCTTGGCCGATGTTCCGGAGGTACCGGTACAACGGATAGTTGCCCATGTGGAAACTCGGTTAAAAGAGGCGACGATGCTAACTATCGACTTTCAGGTCTTGCAATCTAACTAACACTTGGTAATTGCTTTTGAGAAGTTGACTAAAACTGGTTCTGTTCAAAAGACGAATTGCAGCAACAACGTTACATGGCACCCATGGCTACCGCAGAATGGTTCACACAATGCTACCAAAATAGCGTTTTTATCAAGTATTCAGTTCCGCATCTCAACGTGGGCCATGTACCTGTACAAGCAGCCACCAAGCATGCTGCATCACTCATCATCAGGCACAGGAACCTGTCGTGGCTCAAGCAAACACCGATATTCAGGAAGGTGCGACGGTCGGTATTAATAGGCGCTTCTTCCTCCTCAAATACATCGTTTGCTCGTTTGCACCCCTCTTCTCTCCTCTGTTTCCAATCATTAAGCCCCTGCCACAATCGAAATAAATCTTCAATATCTACTCCATCGAATCTTACATATATCTCTTCGACCACATTAACTCGTTCCTCGACGGCCCGGAGCCCCACGATTGCGTGATTGCCAGCTGCGGACACCTCGCGCCGCGCTAACTACCGCATCTCCGGACTTGCTACTTTTTTTGGCTGCTGATACTTTCGGGTCCTCGCAAAGCCTATTTCAATTTTTCTCGCCTCGTCGGTTTTTTGCTTGTTCGAATTCTTCTCTCTCCTCCCTGTTTCTGCTCTTCTCCCTTTCTCGCCATTTTTTTTCTGACGATTCGATTTTCTTTGGCAACTTCAATCTGACAAAAGCCGCTCCGTGACGTCCGTCTATAACCCCTCTCCACACATCACCATGGCCAATACTCCCCACGGCGGCGTCCTCAAGGACCTCTTTGCGCGCGATCTCCCCCGCCAGACTGAGCTTTCTGCAGAATCCGAGACTCTGCCCGCTCTCGTCCTTACTGAGCGCCACCTTTGCGACCTGGAACTCATTCTCAATGGCGGCTTCTCTCCTCTTGAGGGTTGGTCAACCCGCGAAGCGCTTCCCTTGCCCCGCTGACATCATGCCACAGGCTTCATGACCGAGCAGGACTACAATGGGTAAGTCTCTTCAAACCTCCCAGATCGATTCAAATTACCAACACTATCAACAGCGTCGTCAAGGACAACCGTCTTGCCAGTGGCCTGCTCTTTAGCATGCCCATCACCCTCGATGTCGACCAGAAGCAGATTGACGAACTCGGCCTCAAAGCCGGTGCGCGCATCACCCTGCGCGACTCTCGCGACGACCGCAACCTTGCCATTCTAACCATCGACGACATCTACCGTCCCGACAAGTATGTCCACTGCTTAACGCCAAGCCCGTAATTCACTCCTCTTGCTGACACACGACAGGGTCAACGAGGCCAAAAACGTCTTCGGCAGCGACGACGACACCCACCCCGGCGTCAAACACCTCTTCAACACCGCCAAGGAATTCTACGTTGGTGGCAAGCTCGAGGCTATTAACCGTCTTGAGCACTACGACTTCCTTGACCTCCGCTGTAAGTCATCCTTTGTGACGTTTTTTCTCATAAGCTGACTGAATAGTCACCCCCGCTGAGCTTCGCGCCCACTTCAACAAACTCGGCTGGCAGAAGGTCGTCGCTTTCCAGACTCGCAACCCTATGCACCGCGCTCACCGTGAGTTGACGGTTCGCGCCGCTCGCTCCCAGCAGGCCAACGTCCTCATTCACCCCGTCGTCGGCATGACCAAGCCCGGCGACATTGACCACTTCACTCGTGTCCGCGTCTACAAGGCCCTCATTGCCAGATATCCCAACGGCATGGCCGCACTCGCTCTTCTTCCCCTTGCTATGCGCATGGGTGGCCCTCGCGAGGCTCTTTGGCACGCCATCATACGCAAGAATCACGGTTCTACCCACTTCATCGTCGGCCGTGACCACGCCGGGCCCGGCAAGAACAAGAACGGCAAGGACCACTACGGTCCCTATGATGCTCAGACTCTTGTCCAGCAGCACCAGGAGGAGCTCGGAATCAAGATGGTCGAGTTCCAGGAGATGATTTACATTCCCGACCGCGACGAGTACATGCCCGCCAACGAGATCCCCGAGGGCACCCGCACCATGAACATTTCCGGCACCGAGCTCCGCAACCGTCTTCGCACCGGCAAGGAGATTCCCGAGTGGTTCTCTTACCCCGAGGTCGTCAAAGTCCTTCGCGAGCAAAACCCTCTACCCCGCGAAAAGGGCTTCACAGTCTTCATGACTGGCCTGCAAAATTCCGGCAAGGAACAGATTGCCCGCGCCCTGCAAACTACTCTCAACCAGGGTGGTGGTCGCCCCGTCTCCATGCTCCTCGGCGAGACTGTCCGTTCTGAACTATCTTCCGAGCTGGGCTTCAGCCGTAGCGACCGCGATCTCAATATCTCACGCATCGCCTACGTCGCTTCTGAGCTGACCAGAGCCGGTGCCGCCGTCATTGCTGCTCCTATTGCTCCCTTTGAGCAGGCTCGCCAGCAGGCCCGTGAGCTTATCGAAAAGTCTGGCCCCTTTTTCCTCGTTCACGTCGCCACCCCTCTTGAATACTGCGAGAAATCGGATCGCCGTGGCATCTACAAGGCTGCTCGTGCCGGTCAAATCAAGGGCTTCACCGGCGTCGATGACCCCTATGAGGCTCCTACTAAAGCCGATCTTGTTGTCGACGTTGAGCAGCAAAATGTCCGCTCGATTGTCCACGAGATCATTCTCTTGCTCGAGAGTAATGGTCTGCTCGACCGCTTCTAAGTAAAGGCAACTCTTTGAACATTGCCGATCTTGAATATTGCGTGGAGCATTCTATACAAGCTGTTGAGGCTCTGGCGTTTCGATAATGAAGTATATATTTCCTTTGTTTGGTGATATTATGATTGACAATGTCATTTCCGGTGTCTGTGATGGATATCATGACTGAGAGTGTTGCTGGGCTTGAGGATGGCCCAGCGCTAGCCGGCAGGATCTTATAGATTTGTTTCATGAAAGAATAGACTACGTTAAGACGTCCACCATACCTAACTACGTGGAGAAACTTGTCTTCTTGTCGCGCACGTACTCGGTTCTGTTCGCCCTGGCGATGCGCTGCGCGGCCATGCCCTCGCATAGCGTCCTGCCAACCTTTATGATCCACGCGCGCGTCGACGGATCCGCGACCTTGAGATACTGTATGAGCTCCGTCGGTGCGTTGCGGCCGCGAAATCGCAGGAGAGGGTCGGCGCCGCGGCTCATCATGAGATGCAGCAGGTCGCATCGGTGGCGGACGACGGACTCCTGGTAGGGCGAGCGGTGCCACCACATGGTGTCGGGGGTCGGGTGCTGGTAGACGGTACAAAGGGTGTGCAGGGCCGAAGTGCCGAGCGGCGAGGCGGGCGCATTAATGTCGGCGCCGCGCGCGAGTAGGTAGTCGACGGCGGCGACGAGCAAGCGCTCGACGGCCGCCATCTCCTTAGTGCCCGAGTCGACGAGCAGATGCAGCAGCAGCGCGCTAGGGTCGATGCCGGGCCGCGCCAGGAACAGGTCAATGAGGCGGCGCCAGCCGCGCCACGCTGGGGCAAAGTACGGGTCCCGGTTGCGCACGCCGCGGCAGTACCGCCGCATGATGCGGCCCATGGCGCCGTCCATGCACCCCGCGTCGACGATAAGGGTGACGACGCGGAAGAAGTGGTCGTCGTTGAGCGCTTCGACCTGCCAGCGGTCAATGAGCAGCTCGAGGGACGACGGCGTCGTCGTCTGGACAATGGCGCCGGGTAGGTCCGGCGCCAGGGGGGGCGTGCGCGCGCCGCGCGAGAGGAGGAAGGCGAGGTTCTGCAGCGTGGCGTGGCGCTGCGCGGTGGTGCCGGACATGGAAGGGATTGCGTCGAGGAACTCGAGCAGCGGCGTGCTGTACTGCTGCCGCGGCCGCCAGTCCCAGTTGAAGCCGCGGTCCCAAACGCGCGGCTCCGTGCGGTTGATGGAGCACCCGTGCGCGAGGCAGTCCTCCACCGCCGACGTGTCGTGGGTCTGTGACTGCGCGAGGCGCTGCACGGCCGCGAAGAGTGGGTGTCGCGTCGGCCGGCGCTCGGCTGGGGGGCGCAATGGCAGAGCCACCCCCGGCTCCTCGTAGCTTGCGCCGAGGCGCACGAGAAGCCGGGCCATGTCGGGCGTGCTTGTGAGGATGGCGGCAGACAGCGGCGCGATGCTGCCGAAGCGGCGGTGCTCGTGCACGGCGTGCAGGTCGGCCCCGGCGTCGACGAGCCGCCGGACGAGGTCCTCGGAGGCGCCAGCCAGAATGGCCCGCGAGAGCGGCCACGCCGCGTCACGACCCGCGTGCGTCGCGACTTCGGCCACGAAGCCGCGCTCTATGAGCTCCCTTAGCGTTCCCAGCCGCGCCGGGCTGACCAGCTTCTGCATGAGGCGGCGAAGCTGCCGCCGGAGCGCCGCCAAGCTAACTCCCGTAGGGCCGCCCAGGCCGAAACCGACGCCTCGCGCGACAAGGTGCTCAAAGACGTGCGGCGCATGCCGGCGCGCGGCGAGTGCCAGTGTCGAAAGCCGCTTGGGGCTGCGCACGCGCGGGCGGCCGGCCTCGCCGCGCCGGTTGACGCCGGGCTCGGGCTTCTTCGTCTTGAAGACGACGACGACGTCGAGGGGCGCGCCGGCACGCCTGCAGCGTCGGAGCAGCGCGAGATCGTCGTGGCTGATGGCCCAGAGCATGGCGCGCTGGTTGCGTTCAAAGGGGGCAAGGAGGAGCGGCGCACCGTGGATGTGGAGGCGGCGGCACGTCGCATAGAGCCTGGCCTCGTCGCCTATGGAAAGGTACGAGGTGATGTTTTCGAAAACTTCGACGGGGATGGTCTCAATGGTACCGAAGCACATTGTTCCTCGTCCGGATCGAGGAAAAGGGTTGTTGAGATCTGTTGAGAGGAAAGGTTGGACTCGCGAGAGAGAGGGTTGATCAAGTAAGAGTTAAAGCATGTAAAGCAACTCTCGAGGTGGAGTGGCACTTTGCCGTCCAAATTGAACCTCACCGCGGAAGCACCCCAGCTTTAAATATAAGACACTCGGGAAAGAGAAGCATGTCCACATATCGACCGATTCACTTCCAGAAGCAAGTCTACTCGAAACGTCGGTCGAGCCAGCTCCAGTCACGAGCTCGAAGAAGAATCCCTCATCATCCCAAACATGCAGGACGTAGAGGTGCGCCACTCCATCGCGACGTATTCTTTTGCATCCCGTCTCAAGGCGTGTGTGATGCATTTGGTTCGGCTCATCCATCTTGGTCCGCCGATTATGTGCGGAGAGAAGAAGGAATGGATTCTCGCGCCGCCAGGCGTTGCAAAATGGTCACTCCGATGACCTGCATCTGCATCCTGCATGGCTACGCCAGCAGGCGTCGTCTCCTATTCGACGGCAAAACGGCCCAAGTCGCCCGAAAAAACACTTTCCTTTTCCTTCTTCGTCACTTTCCGTCCCATGTCGACATTACAAGCCAAAAAGCTGCGAGACAAGTGTTTTGCCTGCGTAGTAAAAGTACATGGTGTGTGGTTGATCGCGGAAGCTGGTACAGACGGGCGGCGTGCGTGTTACAACAAATTTGTGTCCTGCTCAATCGGGCGTCGTACAGTTTGTGATGCTAGAGATTTAAAACAGAGGGGCGCGAACCAAAAGGAAGCAAAGCAAAGGATGGCAAAGCAAAAGACGGCAAAGCAAATGCGTCATGATTCTGCCGTAATGGTTTCAACTAATAGTGTATGGCAGAGATATGCCACCGGCGCCCAACAATCAGGTTGAGATTCTCAAGCTTCAGAGCCAGAACAACTCAGTCACAGAGTTGGCCTGCACTTTCACTCACCGCAATTCTCTCATTTGTCCTGGATCGGCAGAAGCGCAGCGCCGCAAGCTCACAACCAGCCTCCCTCCTCCAGCATCGTCCTGGCGAGTGATCGGGCTGGGAGCGCGCTCGTCATGCGAGACGGGTGACTGCATGGTATCAACTCGTCGGGGTTGTCACGGAGCAAGGGCGCAGCGATTTTTGCGATGCTGCGTCTTGACAATGTTAAGTTGGTTGATTGGTGGTGTGATGAAAAGTTGCGGTCGCTTGCTAAAACACTTGACCGGTTTCAATCACAGCGAACGGCCGGAGATCTCATGCCTCGTTTGCTCATGAAATTCCGCATCAAGGTAAAGCAAGCAGGGGTGAAATCTGATGCAGGTGGCGGCGGAGAGAGGAGACTAATCGTACATTACAAACTCGTACGATTTATCTGCCTGTTGCTGCGTGGCTGACCGCTTCCCCAGGCTATGCCTGGATGGAAGACAGGGAAAACATGGTCCGCCAGCCCAGAGGCTGCCGAGTCGTCTTTCTGTAACGGATGTACGGCTGCTGCGACAAACATTGGCGCTGTGGCTTCGATTTGTACGCACATTCCGTGACCGCCATCTCTCTGCTTGGTGGATAACAAACATTCATTGGTTGTGCCGTGGCATTATGCCGCCGTGCATTGGCCCAAAGCCTTGTCTTGGTCCTTTGTCAGCCCTCGTGGTTCATCGGACCGCTTGCAGCCGGTGTGCAAGCGCCAAGCAGAGCCCAGCATACGTACGCACGAGCTTGGTGCAAACGAGAGATGATTTCAACATTCGTATCCGTACATTGACACAGTTGAGCCGATCATGGCTGCCTGCCTGCCTGTTGGCAGGCACCTCGCCCACTGGCTGACTCAGCCGAAGACCCTCCTCACTGTCTCAAAGGCCACCTCGGCATAGCTTCTTCTTCTCCCTTCTCTTCTCTTAGTAGCAACATCGCATTCATCAAGGGTCTGTCACTTTGCTGATCCATCGTGTTCTTGCCTGGCCTGCGATACCCTCACGTTCCCCATGATTGTCCACAGTGCGCGCGAATCGTGCCCAACTTTACGGCTCATATTGGAAAATAACGGCCGAAGCGCGGGGGAAATTATGAAATAAAAGATTAACTTGCAGTATCTTTTATATGGCATCGGCAAGTCAAGGCCTGATCAAGAGATTTATTTGCCATCTGATTCGCTGGTTCCTAGCCCATTCGCCAGCTTTGAACTACACCCTTCACACCTTGATCAATGGACGCAGCAGGAAGTTTCTACAAAGTTGAGATTTCAAACATCAGAGATAACAAAGACATCAGCAATAGATGATAATGAGAGACAGAAGAGATTACGAAGAGAGCATGCAAGGAGGAGCAAACTACAAATTTAAGAGAAGTCAAAATTAGAATAGAGTTAGAAAGTCTAAAAATCATAAGACTAAGCTTAAAATGAGTCTTAGATACCCTAGGGACTACTTGTTATCAACTGCTAGATATCTTTGTTGAACCTCTTCACTAATAAGGTAGCTCGGAAGGCAGGTGTCTCCTTGGCAGGGATGGGAGTAGGATCGGCTAGCTAGAAGGAAATGATGAAAGAGATCGGGATTGGTGAATAATGATCCCACACCATCCAGTACCTCACTAATAGCTATACACGACCTCTCTTATTTTCAGCTAGCCGCTACCCTATTCCCTTCCCTGACACTTCTCCCTCGCGGATGGCTTTATTCCTTTTCCTAACGTGTCAAGCTAGGGCCTCTTTCCAATCCATCGAAGTTGATAGACATGTGTCTCCTCTTTCGCGGACGGCCTTTTTCCGGACATGGCGCACAAAGCTCTTACATTAACCAATCGTTCGAGAATAGGAAGTAACACCATTCGTTCGGAGAATCTCGTCGTGGTCGTCAGTTACAACCTTTGCATCTCTCGTCAGCGAGAGGAATCCATCCCGGGGAGAGCCAGCGAGGATTGCGCGGGCGGTGCGGGCCCTGTTATGGTGAATACCTCCTTTTCGAAGGCGTGATGAATTGGGATACTGTCTCACAGACGTGACCTCGTGTGGTGGAAAACGGGATTTGATTGTTATCGATGAAGACGTAGCGGCTCTTGAACCCAAAAATTGTTCCAATGGGCGAGCTATGCATGCTGTTGATATCGCCCATTGATGATCTGGGAAGTACATACGTTTATGATGATACCGTGCTACTCGACTAATCAGCGAAATAGAGAGAACTGGATGCGACAATTCCCATAGCGATTGAGCATGATTCTTCCCGGAAGCGTCTCTTTGCCGTGACTTCCCCCTTTTATTTTACTGATCGTGTAGTGTGTTAAGCAGTCAAGAGATGGAGATATAGCATGCCAGTCGAAGAATATGGTGCTTCATTGAGTAATCCAGCTATGGTGCGGAGCAGAGGTGAGGGTAGAGGCAAGCAGTGTTCAGCATTTTCTGATCTCTTCTCCTTTTTATCTCCTTTGCTACTAGCTCGTCTTATTCTTGTCGACTATATCTCTTCAATTTTTTTTTGGCAAACTTTTGTTTCGTCATTTTGCTTTGCCTTGTTTTGGAAATATTGTCGAGTTGCCGCCAGCCGTCATGGTGTCGTAACGCGCCATGACGAGCCCCGCGTCTTTTGGAAAGCCCAGCACGGAATGTCTCGAAACCCGAAACGCAGCGCTTAGCTGTGCAAACCATTCTTTGACTTGCTATGCCTGCCAAGCCTGGTGCCATATTTAATTTTCTCATTAATTCAGTATTAACCAATCACCCCCACACGGCCGCTACCGTTGCCGCCCAGCTGGAGTCATCCGTCGGGCCGCCACTTTTTCTGCCCTGCCAACCGCCACCGACTTGTGCGACTAGCTCGAGCGACACGTCGTAGTTCGTGCGTCCAACATCTACGTAGTATTTCGTTTGCTGCAGATTCTGTAGCAAACAAACCTCGCAGAAATCATCTAGAGTTCGGTCTTCATATCACATCGACTCTAGGCCAGGCCGCTCTCAACGCCCCTTGACCGCCAGGGCCACCCCGCCCCAAATGCTTGGCCATGCCCACCGACGCCTCTGCTGACGACGACCGTCCTCACGAGAAGCAGCGACGGTCCAAGTCCGAGCGAAAACCCGACCGTGAACGAGATCGAGAACGGGACAAGAACAAGGACAAGGACAAGGACAGAGAGCGCCGCCATCGCTCCTCCAAGTCATCCCGCAGCAAGGTCAGCGGTGAAGAGGCTGATGCGGGCTCGCAAGTCTCCTCCGTTAGACGCCATCGAAAACGAGAAAAGGATCGAGACAGGGCTCGCGATGATGGCGACGACAGATCTTCGCTACGTACAAAGTCTCTCAGTGACGTGAACGGGCGCGGTGCCCCTCCCTCACCCCAGACCGCATCGCTCTTCGACGGCAAACGGGTTTCTCTACCGTATCCCTCATTTAGCAAGGCGCATAGCAAGGAGGCGGTCATAAGCAGAGATAATCTGTCGCCTTCCAGAGGTTCGCATATTCCAACACCAGAGCCGACCGATGCGGTTGACGACGATGGCCGACGCAAATCCGACGACGTGAGCCGCAAGGGTTCAACGTCCAAGAAATCATCCAGACCGCCCACTCCTCCCGAAACAGACCTTTCTGCCGACAAACGCAAGTCGTTAGAATCAAGATTAAGCTCCAGCCATAGCAAAGATCGCGAGAGAACAAAAGACAAACCCACCGCCTCGGGCGTTTCTAGATCGGCCTCGAGGAACGAAGAAGGGTCGCGAGTTAGTCGCCGTTCTGCCTCCTCCAGCCAAGCGACATACATCAAATCTGCCAACCACAAATCGCACGAAAAACTAAGAACCTCGGAATCAAGATTCTCGAGCTCATCGTCCCGTCACTCACCACATCGATCGGGCTCAACACGAAGCGTCAGAAGGCCTGAAGGCCGCGATGGCCACTCTTCGCCATCTAGTGTACAGGATTCGTCCCCAAGAACTCCTACACAGGCCCCTCAATTCTCGACACCATTTTACGACCAACATGGCCCCGAGAGGCCAGACTCGTCTATTCTCTCAAAGACCGCCACGCCTGCACCAGCTCCGCCACCCCCTCCACCGCCCCCACCTGCCATGGATCTCTACGATGTCCCGCGTGTCGACTACCTCTTGCAGAATGGCGGACTTCCCTGCCCTGTTCCGCGACACTTCCTGTCGGTGCTCCCCATTCAAAACGGCGCGCGTGGCACAGCGCCGCCGCTGTCCGGATCGGATACCCTTTTTGCGCCCTTTTTCAACTTGCTCGACCAATACAATACGGTCATTGAAAAGCATGGCTCTATCGCTGTTGCCACCGGACATCGATCCGTTGCGAGGCGACTGCTAGACCGCCTTGAGAACGTCTTCTCGCGTGACCTGCCACCACATGGATGCTCATGCATACTGTGCGATCGCTCCAACGACATGCATCACGGGCTGACGTGGGGCGACGTACTGGAGTGGGTTAGCGGTCGTATCGAATTACCCGAGTGGCCTCCATTTGATCTCGCCGAAATTGGAACCAGAGCTGCTGAGATATCAGCGGAGGAGCCCCGCCGGCCGTCTTCACCTATCAAACTCGACCCAGATATTGCAGAAGAGTTTCGAGAGCACTATCTCCGCCAAACCAAAAAGGTGAGATCGGCTGTTGATAAATGGCTGAATAGCACGCCAGAGACACCGATCCCGCCGCCCCAAGAGGTCGACGACGAGACTCTTGCTTTTGCGATTCTGACTAACTTGGACGATCATGATCGCCCGTACTTCAACGCTCTACTGTCCGGAGCTCGTGAGCTTAAGCCTGCCACTAGGGCACCGACACCAATGCTCCGCCAACGAAACGATTTTGTGGTCAAGACTGGTCTTTCGCTCCAGCGCTTATATCGACTGCAGCAAGCCCCAAGAGATGCTGAAAGTGTAACTTACCTTATCAAGAATCCGCATACACACGATTTGCTCGTCACCCTTTCCAACATCAACAACTCGGAATGGGAGATACTCACATCTGGCCGATTTGATGGGTTCTTGTGGTCCGGCGCTGACATGGACGACCAAGTCATGACACCGGGTCTCAGTTCCAGATCGCAAACGCCCGCAAATGGATACTTTGGCAGCCGCAGCACGATGAGTCCCGGGCCTCGCAGCTCCTCTGCTATGAGCTCGCGTGGCCCAACACCATTTTCACGAGGGGCTACTCCAGCCTCTTTCGTCAGCACCAGCTCAGTTGGACCGAGCAGCAGACTAGCAGTATCCAACGATGAAGAGACGGAGATGGCTGCCATTGCTGAAATGGAGCGCGAAATCTACCAGGGCATGGAGAGCTTAGAAGACGCCTTTGAGAAGCTCCACCATCGAGCCGAGGTGGTGCGTACAGCCCTACGACAGCGTGGCGCTGGCCTTATGCAGAGCCTACAAAGTCGACGAAGGGTGGATGTTCTGCCAGCACAAACTCCAACGCCTGGCGCTGGACAGGAACGAGCTTCGTGGGCACCAAGCAGCGAAGGAGAGGCGCCCAGCGACGACGACTGGTTCGAGGAGTATGATATCATGCCAGACGATTCAGCAAGTAATATCAGCAGCTCACGACATCGGCGACCCAAGAGGCGAACGGAGCGACGGACACCGGCGCCAATTGAAGAGGACGAGGAGGAGTAGCGCTTGACCGCAGACATGATTTGATGATGATACCTTCAGATATGAGTTTGAAAGTGCATGAAAGCATATGGCAGCAAATTTGATGAGCGGTATTGGCTTTGATTTAATTGAACTTTTATTGCATTCGCATTGGATTTGGTGGAGTGCGCTTAGGGCTACTGCATGGCGGATCACTTATTGAATTTGCAAGAGTATGATGAGCTACGCATATGCATATTGGATTCGAAATGAATCATCACATAGTTCTTGAAGTATTTTGTAAATATTATTTTTGCTCGACTTTACACAAGGTGCTGCGCTACAGAACACTGCCGACGTGACCCACTCGCTACTCACCCGCCCGCATCAACATCGAAAGCTCTGCTCACGCAATGTGTCTTGAACAAACCCCGAATGAGTCACTATGGCTTATGCCCCCGAGGAGTTTGAACCGGGCGCAAATCCTATGATCCGTGAGCTTTTTAGCTCCGGAAGGGAGCCGCCGCACTGGGAGCCTCTGTACCGCCAGGCCTGCGCTTTTGGTCCTGAAATTTTCGCACAGCGCATGGTCACCTTTATCCGCAACCCCAATCTGAATACGACGTGGCTATTCCGCGGCGACATTCTCTTTGATGACAACCCAGGAGACGGGGAAGCAGCGCAGCAGCCGGGGGCGCCAGAATTGGTTGTCGAGTATGACGCGGGCTGGCCGGAGCGCCGAGTCGTTGCGGGGATGACGAGGACAAGGACCATGGTACGCAAGTTGATTCCGCGAAATCAGCTGCGCGATGCTCCCATGAATCAGACGTGCGAATTTCATTCAGATGATGGAAAGCGAGACACTGCGGCCGCCAGTCCTGGCAAGGTGTCGACGTTGGTCATTTATGTTCCGCACGCCCAGTCTGTCGAAACGATGCCGTTCTATCACCCCAAAGTCCAAGCGATCGCGCACCTCCATGAATGGGACGCCACCGTGAACCAGGGCGCCGTATCTGTCCACTTTCAACCATTTCCTTGCGACATGCCTCTCAAGGACGAAAAGTTGCGGCGTGTGGGCTATCACCTCCTCGAAAGGCTCTATAAGCACGGCCACAGCGAGCTGCGCGGCTACACCAAGCGCGTGCACCACGACGCCGTGATCCCGCAGCCTCGGTTTCAGGATCGCTACTCGGCGCTCAAGGACAAGTATGCGCGGTCTTTGATGACGTCGTGGGCGGAGAACACGGACCCAAATAAGCACGTCTTTGAGGATCTCGGCATCGCTGCGTTTCTGATGGAGCTATGGGCGGACATGTATGGAAAAAACGGGGCCAAGTTTCCAGGCTTTGTCGATATTGGCTGTGGAAATGGCCTGCTTGTATACATTTTGAATCAAGAGGGCTATTCTGGCTGGGGTTTTGATGCGCGGGCGCGCAAGTCCTGGTCGCAGTACAACACGTCGCCGTGCGCCCCCTCGCCAACCGGCTCATCACTAGCTGAAAGATGCTTGATGCCCAGCGTTGTGCCCAGACCCGAGCACGAAACAGCAATCGATGTCAATCTTATCCACGATGGACTGTTCGCAAAGGGCACATTTATCATCTCCAACCACGCAGACGAGCTGACGCCTTGGACGCCCATCCTAGGTGCCCTCTCCGACTGCCCGTGGATCTCGATCCCGTGCTGCAGCCACGATCTGACGGGCGCCAAGTTTCGCGCGCCGCCGCCGCGGGACAAGACCAAGCCCAAGTCGACGTACGCGTCGCTGGTGGACTGGGTGGCGCAGATTGCCGAGGACTGCGGCTGGCGCGTCGAGACGGAGATGCTGCGGATTCCCAGCACGCGCAACACGGGCCTCTTGGGGCGCACGCGGACAAACACCGGAAGCGAGGTCGATGTTGCGAGCGTGCTGGCAAAGTACGGCGGCGTCGCGGGGTATTACTCGAGCATTGCCAAGCTGGTCAAGACGGGCCCAAGATCACATTAGGCAAGTTTGAATATACTACAAGGGCTCTAATCTAGATCGGGCACAGGAAGATGGTCGACGAGCTTCATGTTCAGTCCGAGGCTCTTGAGCGCTTCCACTGCGTCCTTGTCACGGAGCTCAGTCGTCTCCTCTTCAGTTGCCAATACAAAGTCTTGCCTGAGCACTTTGCTTCTGGGCTCGACGCCGTACTGCGCGGCAGTGGCCTCGTCGATGGGCTCTAGGTCCACGATGAGGCTTTCCTTGACGCCAAATACCGCATCCGTCTTTTCATATGGGTCGCCGCGGACGAATACAGCGCTGCACGACATTAAGATCCAAGACTCTTGTTTTTTTTTCTCCACAGGGACAAGGCGCGGCACTTACGTGATGAGGTGATCCCATCCCGGCTTCTCCAGCATGAAATGCATATGCGCCGGCCGCCAGGGATGGCGCCCCAGTTTCTGCAGCAATTGCCCAACCGGGCCGTCTGACGGAATCGGGTAGCTCACCGGCGCAATGGCCTTGAACCAAAACTTGCCCTCGGCGTCGCTGTGCATTATGCACCGCTCGCTCGGCTCCTCACGGTCCGCGTGCTGCACGTCGTAGTGGCCCGAGCTGTCCGTCTCCCAAATGTCCACCTTGACGTCAGGAATGGGCCGCCCGTCGCGGCCGCGCACCGTGCACAAAACCAGCAGCGGCTCGCCGGCCGGGTCCGCCGACATGGCGGCGCCCGCATCCACGACTGGCGCGTCGTGCGTGTGAAACGGCCCCAGCAGCGAGCTCTCGGTGCACGACGGCGGCTTGGGGTGGTTGACGGCGTCGACGAGCAGCGACAGCCCGAGCACGTCGGACAGCAGGATAAACTCTTGGCGCACGTCGCTGCAGATTTGGCCGGTGCGCGTGAGGAACTGCACGGCGGCCATCCACTCGTCGGTGCTCAGGCGCGTCTCGCGCGCGAAATCATGCAGGTGCGTGACGAGGCGCTCCATGAGGTAGCGGAGGCGCGCGTCGGCGCACTGCGCATTGATGCGGACCGTGTTGGGCGTGATGTTGTCCGGGGTGAGGTCGAGAAGCTCGGGCGTGGTGGCGTGCGTGGTGGACGCCATGGTCAAACGTCAAAGTAACGACGGCTGTGTTAAGACAAAGTTAAGAAAATGAGATGGGACGAGAAAAGAAGGCGAAATGAAATTGGAGTTCGAGAGAAGAATCGATGATTGATGAAGAAGAAAGAAATCTCGGTCTAAATAAATAGAAAGGCGGCCAATAGTTATCTTGGTCCTTACACTTTGCGCGGCGCCTGGCCTCGAACTAGCCTTTTGCTAAAGATGTTTCTAAGCTCTTGATAAGCGTAGCAGCCGGGAACTGCCGGTATTCGCATCCGCCACCCGCATCGAATCAACCCTTACGCCCGAATCTAACTTTTTTTGTCTTGGCATGGATTATGGATACGCTGATTTCAAAGCTTTGCTCCGCATTACCCATCGCGGATGATCGCTGGGGCCCGATCTAGTCGATAGGCGTGGCCGTCATCTTTCGAATACAGCTCGTGTCTCGTGTTTGTCCTCACTCAGATGGAGAGATGGAAACTTGCGCTGCCGCTTCTCGTTCCGCAGCCAATTCCCAGAATCGGTTTGGCGGCTTGCTCGGCCATGGGGAGCTGTGTGGTCGCACAGACTATGTGGCACGTTCAGAGGGCCACCACTCGTTTGTTCAGTCACTCAATAATATAATGCCTCCAGGCAATTTCGAAGCAGCATTGCATGGTGATTTGCTCCGAATTATTTTATTACACCGCTGTAATAGTAACAAGATATGGTGGGTGTCGAATCCAGACTGCGGGGTCTGTGGGTTTTTCTGGGGGGCGAATCAAAACTCCATCTCAGCATGGCAGGGCCACGCCGAGAGCGTGCGTAAGGGTTTTCAGTATTTCAATAATCAGATGGCGGATCAGCCAATAGAATAACAGCCAGTCAACCAGCCAATCTATCCGTATTTGCTAGTCAATCGACCGGTCAACTGCCAGTCCTCCAAGAGGACAAGGCCCGGATGGGCTACAGGGTGATCCACTATAACATCTCTTACAAGGATACTCTGTAAATAAAACCCCCGATATTGCCTTTTTAGGACTACGACTTTGCATCTAACCACATATGGGGGGTGCATTACATTCGTCTTCAACTCACCTGTTGGCTAACATATCCCAGAACTGCTGCTGTCACAGAGATTGTGCAAGCCTTTTTCAGACTCAGAAAGTTGGCAGTACAGTTCATCGTTACTATGCAAAGCTCAGCAGCATCCGCTGAGGCGACGAGATCGTTGGCCGAAAAAGTAGTTCCGTTCGCCAGAGTGGCGGAATCATCCATTGGAGAAAAAGATGCATCCTTTTCCGACACTGCTCCTCCGACCGTTGACGAAATGGCTCCCTCTGTGGAAGGGGTGGTCTCTCCGCCCACTTCAAAGACGGAATGTGTTCTGCCACCAGCATCAATAACAGAGATACGACGTCAGCTTTTCATCGGCAACCAATACAGCAGCCACAGACACCCGACACTGACGGAGCACAAGATCACGGCAATCGTGTCAATCATGGATGCGCGCCTGTTGCTATGGACGTGCAACACTCGACCCTTTGTCACCGAGGAAAATCATCTCTTTATTCGCTGCGCGGACAACTCGACCATGAACGTGCTCCCATTCATGAGCCAGGTCTGCGATTTTATCGAAGAGCGCATATCCACCGACGAAAAAGCCAATATGCTCGTACACTGCAGAGAAGGAATTTCTCGGTCGGCGACCGTTGTGATAGCCTACCTCATGCGAAAGTATGGCCTGAGCGCTGACGAGGCCCTGGCCGAAGTCAAGGCGAAGCGAAAAGTAAAGCCAAATTCCAATTTCATGGACCAACTACGTGTATGGGGCGCTGTTGGGTTTCAAATCTGGCAGGATGACGACGAGACAGTGCCAAAGAAAGAGTATCAAGCCTACCTCGATGAAAGAGCAGTGCGTTTAAAGGCCAAGGGGCTAACAGGCGACGAACCGATTGGAATACAAAATCTTTGACGAGGAGCAAAGAGTCGCGGCGGGTGTGAGGGTTATATTTCGGGGCTCTTCTTCAATGGAAGCAGAAGACACAATAATAGAGCTCTGCTACGAGCACAGCGACATTTCGCAAGGATAAGTGCACGTAACTTGACACGGTTCATTTGGCAAATTACACATGCAGAGGATCATCTTTCGAAGAACGCTCTGAATCTATTATTTCTAGCCGCTGCCGCTGGGCCTCTCGAGTTCTCCTTGCTGATTGGTCCGATTTGTCCAGGCCATAGTTTCACATGTATGTTGGTGGGAGGAGATTAGCTGGCTCGCCGGCAGGCAAAGCCCTGTTTTCATGAGTAATGAGACGAGAGCAAAAATAGCACACTTGAAGCACATCCGCTTTCAATTTTATTTGTAACAAGGGCCTGGCACCGCCATCTTCAGAAACGCGAGCATGCGGTTTTGGCTTCGCCAATCTACTTGGTGTCTGCTCGAGGCCAGTCGCCGCAGAGGAGAACCAGCTTTGGCAAATCCCGGCGCACAAATGACTCTAGTCATCACCCTACGAATCATATCAATGCTTTCTGGAATAGACTGACAGTTCTCCAAGAATGGTATGAATACAAAGTGTCTGCTATGGTGTAAGTTCTCCGGCGCCGTGACGGGTATTGCAGGGAGCGTGTGCGTCGCTCGGCCAATATTCTGCTGCAAAAGATATATGATGGATCAATAACAAATGAGCAAACCCGCTATGTGAGCCCTCTTTTGCAGCAGTCTACTTTCACACCCCGCCCATTTCTGCAGACGACAGCTGACAGGGATGTATAAAGACCAAGTGGGTGATGAACTAGACCGCCGGTGCTCGAGTAGACGAGTCGGCACAGCCAGCGTATTTCTCAACATGGAATGTTTGATAAAATCTAAGATCAAGATGATCGAATTATTTATATGATCAAGTTCATCAAGGACCATTCTATGTGAGATTCTATCCTCTGCATTGCTCTGTTATCTAAAACAACACCACGTTCTGGTCTCGGCTACTGGCCGCAGATTTGCGTTGGGCAACAAGGTGGTCGCCGCTCTGGGCCTCTGGCAGACCAATAATTTCTCGGGTCTTAATCCCCGGTGTCCGACCCCTCGGGTCCAAGCCGGCGATGGGGTGTGGTCTTTTGGGGGCTGCTGCCAAGCCAGCTCATCCGTCAGGCCACGGCGCCACTGAGATACTTTGGTATCCGCGAGTGCCTCTTTCTATAATCCTTGAATGGGCTTGTCACTTGCCAAGCTACTCTCACTTGCCAAGATACTCTCACTTACCAAGTTACTCTCACTTACCAAGTTAATCCTGCGGTGAGTGACTACAAACTCAATGCCGGCCACGTCAGAGAACCGCTACTGCAGTAGAAAGATCTGTGAAGAAAGTGAATATCGAGCAAAGGCGCCACATACACGTGCCACGCACCCATCCAATATGCTGGCTTCTGCATGTTGGATGTGGTTCTTTTTCCGAGGCTGAAACAACGTGTCGTCGGTGCGCCATACTTCCATCCATCATATCAGCCATTTTCTGATCATTCACAAGAGGAAGTAACTTTCCATCCCCTCCGCCAAAAAAAAACAAAAATCTCTTCTATGTGGCCCCAGCCTACCCAACAACACGAACACACACGCACACACACTACACATTGAATACAAAATGTCCGTCAATGACTCCCGTGAGCTGGTTGAGGCGATGCTGCAGCAAGAGTTTGAGGGCTCCGGGATTGAAGCCACCACTATAGTATACAAGAATGCCGAAGAGATTATAAAAACTTCCAAGATGGGACTATGGGCGCAGAGTGCCGTGCAGGAAAGTGTGGTGATCAATATGCGGATGCCGGGAATCAAGAGATTCTTGAGAAACTTGGCCGAGATGGGAGTCGGTGTCACCGCGGAGTACCAGGGTGTTTTATACAAGTTTGTCCCGAGTACGTGTAAAGACCCGGTCATTTCACTCTGCTCTTGCTGACGAGGAAACCCGTCGAAAGCAAATCTCGAATCTAGAGCGACGTCGCCCTGCTCCAGTCTGTAGCGTACTGCGGTTGGACTGGCCGAAATGGGAGTGGGTTGTCACCTGAGAGTACCAGGGTGTCTTGTATCATTCAACAGCCATTCAATAAACATTGAGTCAATTAACAGTCAGTCGTTGATAATCAGCCGTCGGTCAACTAGCAGCTAGTCAACCAGCAGCCGGGCAATCAAATAACATTTAACCAACAGTGGGTAAATTAAAGCAGTTACTTATCAGCAGCCAATCAATTAATAGAATTTAAAAAGCAGGTGCTAATAAACTAGCTATTCATTAAGACTAGCTGTGATTTAAGGCTGGCTACTAAAGTACTACCGTGTAATCAAGCTGCATTCTTGTGCCGCTCGTGGCTCCGCTTGGACTCCTTGGATTCGACGTTTACTGCAACCCCCATCTCGGGGTTAATCAGTAATCTGCAATAATTCCATTTAGCGCGTATTTCGCATCTCCATTACCCATCAGCTCGGCACAATGGCTCTCGGTAATGAGCCCTGCTAGTCGAACCTGATCATGTTACCTACCAGATCTGGTACCTGCTACCGCGGTAGAGCCTCCGGCAAAGCTTCTAGAGACGCCGCATTTAAGCCATAAAACATGAAATATTTCAAATATTTGAATAGTGATGATAAAAAAAAATAGCTCGAGGTCCTTGAGTTGTCCGCCTCAACGGCGGCGCTCGGGTCCACGAAACAGCAGGCTTAAGCTGTGAGCTTGCAGTTGTAGCGCTTGGCGCGGTACTTGCGTTTTGGTGGGCTTCAAGGCAAAAGAGCAGGTACCGGGTCCGGTTCGTAATAAGATGCTAATAACTTGATTGGCAACTTTTACCTGACAATCGATACTTGCTGAAAAAGTCGAGAATAATCGGCGTGGCGTTGTAGCTAGCCACATGGTGGCCTTTTCTCGAATTGTCCTCATTCGGGGCCGTGCTCGGCCAGTCATGACCAATATCAGACTCGTAAACATGCGTCACCAAGCCAGCATCCGCACCGCTTCCATACGTATACGATGTGGTATTGGCCGCAATCTCGCTGGAATGGTTCTGCAAGCCCAGCCCGTTGCGGACAGACCACTGCCGGACAAAGTGCGGAATGGCCGGAAGACACTCATTCTTTCGCTCGCCGCCTTGGTAGGATATCGTCGTGTCGTTGCCGCCGTGAAACTCGATAAAGGCGACATTGCTCCTGCCGGGGCTGCAGGGCAGCTTGACAGTGTCCGGGTGGCAGGGCAGCGTGTCGACGTAAAAGGCGCCAGAGACGGGCGCAAAGGCGGCGATGCGTTGGGAGGCGCACGCGTCGCAGGCGAGGACGTTGCAGAAGCCGCCGCCGTCGGATTTGCCAGAGGCGTAGATGCGCGTCGTGTCGACGTTGTAGTTTGTCTCGAGGTAGTTGAGAATGTCGTGGGTAAACAAGACGTCGTTGACGGTGTCGCCGGGGACTCCCTGCCAAGTATCCTTGAACGTAATTTCAGTAAATGGTGTTTTGGTGCATAATGGTTAAAAAGGAGGGGAGAAAAAACTGACATTGAGGCCTTGCGGATATACTACAATCGGGGTAGCGTTGGCGTCGTCGGCAGTCGTGAACCCGTCTAGTTGGAGCTGGTCTGTGGCGTTTGTGCCGCCTCCGTGAAAGGAGAGGAGAACAGCCGCGGGGGAATTCGGATTATATTCCGCAGACACCCAGAGCAGGAATGATCGTTGCTGATGATCGCTGGTGATGACAATGTTTGATGTGCTTGAGCTAGCTCCATCGCGGGCACAAGCAACTGATGATGCTAGCGTAGTAGCGGCACCAGCGGCGACCGAAAACACCATGCTAGGACAGTATTTCATAGTTACGGTGCACTTTTGGTCTGGTGGAAAAAGAGAAACAGAGTTTTTGCGCGTCTGACATGAGCAGCGCCATTATATTATATATCTCTCTATTAAATGGTGAGCTCACCCTGATGCTGACGAGATACTAGCCTAGCACCGCTTGTGGATAAAAACCTTGGCGATCGGATCAGCAGCGCTAATTAAGGTAGGCATAAATTACCGAGACTAGGTAATTTATGCGTAGTTTTGGTGCCAAGAGCTATTTAGATGTAATTACCGATCGGGTAATTCGGCAAAAGTCCCCTAAACACATCCTCCGACGGGGCGAATTCCGGGCTCAGCAGCTGGTCCACGTCGCCAAAATGCAACGCAGGGCCCGTAGAACCCGGTGTTATCGGGACTATGGGTGGCAGAGCCGCTGCTGCCGACACCAGGTTACTGGCCATCAGGTTCACGTTATGCATTCGTTGCGCAGCCCGCTGCCGCGCTACAGGAGTCCCGGGTCGGCGCGGGGCTTCACGGGGAGTCGGCTGCATAATACTCTCCCCTGTCGCGAGATCTTGCGCGCGCTTAAAAAGCCGATACATGACGTCGGCGCTCCAGTACGTGAACCGCAGTTGGGCAAAGACGTTGACGCAAAGCTGCAGCTTGTTGCGGCCCTGCCGGCGCGTCGAGATGCTCTCCGACTGGCAATCTGCTAGGTGAAACTGCGATGCCGGCACCATGGCAGTGATCCTGTGAATATAATAATTTAGCGCTGATATTTGGATTTTTTTGGCAAGGGTCAAAAAAAGAGACACACATCATTGGTTTCATGAACTCGAGGGCATTCATCTCGATGAGTTGTTCGACAAGTTCATTTGTGCTTGATGCAGCCTCGCGACCTCGGCGTAAAAAGGACTGCTTCAATTCCGTATACTCATCCGCTGCAAACGTACTTGTAGCATTGAGAACATATGGGCGGCAGAGCATCGCGATGGTGGCTCTGGAAAGAATATCAGCAAGTATTTGATTGAAAGAAAGAGCCCAAGTCGCCAAAGTTTCTTACTGGTAAAGCATTTCAACCTGGACGGTATGGACATGCACGTCGTCATCATCTGAGCCGGAGCTGTAGGCGAATTCCCCTTCATTTAGCTGGCATAGCAACTGATTGACTTTCTGAATGCAGGGCTCGGGTCCCCTGACACGATGATGGAGCTGCAACACATCGCCCAGCGCATCGCTCACTCGGACCATTCGCAGCCACAACTCTGCCAGCCTCGCCTCGTTTGCGACGAGGCTAAACTCTGAACGCGCTTCGGATTCATTCGCGAGGATAAACTCGGACCGCGCTTCGGGATTGACCCGCCTCAGCTCCGGCAAGACGTCGTATCGCGAAGGCCTCGGCAGGTCATGGCCGTCGCTGCGCAGGCGCATCGGTCGTCCGTTGGCAGCCGCAATCCACCGATCCCCGACTACGAGAGACCACCATATTCGTCGCGCCATGGGCTCCGAAAGCTTGAACAATCTCGTCGTTTGCTTGGTATTTGCAGGATCGCGATGAAGATTGATGGCTTGCGCGAGAGAAATGGCAACCCCAATCCAACACCACGCGCCCATGTAGTCTTGAGGATCCGAGTGCCAGAATGCCAAGAGAATCACTGCTCGAATTATATCAAGTATGTTTGTTCCTTGATCGAAATAGTAAAGACACTGAGCAGTTGTTAGTCATTTATAAGCGCAGTTGCGCGAGTGCGAGGGCGCGCCATACCTTGGCACGATAGTACATGACCGTCTTCATGGCCTTTTTAGAGGAAAAACCGGCCTTTTCCAAAGTGATTCCGTCTATAAACTAGAAAACAATTTTGTCAGTTTGGGGCTTGCATCGGAGGAACAAAAGATGTACATACATTGGCAGCGGCCAAGAACATACTCCACAGAAGCAATGGATTGATGCCTTTCGACCCACGACTCCAGTACTCATTGAGAACTTTGGGCACATCCAAAATGGGCAGGAAGAAGTGGACATGTTGGAAATAGCACCCAATCAGTTCGTCGCATACATCATCCGGGAGCTTTGTAAAGACTCCTTCGTGGCGCATGTATTCGATTTCGTGGGGTTTGCGAGTCGGCAGTGTCGTCGATGTAGCTGCGCGCACCAGTTGGAGGGCTTCCGGGCGGCTGGGATCCAGAATCGAATCTTGCCGTGCAGCTGCGAATTGAGTTGAGCTTTCGGTTCGAATTTTATCCAAGAATGGAAAAAGTGAAGGTTGGGTGTAGAACTGACCAGCTTCATCTTGGACACTGCTGCTGAGCCTGGACACACTTGGCGAGGCGACACTGATATGCCAAGATGCAGTAGAAGTCGTCGCATCTCGATAGTTTCGCACCTCACCCCGATCCATGACCCTCCTCTTCGGCAGCGAGGCTGTACTTTCACCATCAGACACTAGAATAGGCTGTCAGTCGAGTTTTCGTCCGTGAATCATTTGTCAAAAGCTGACCTAGCTCGCCAGCTGCATTGCGCTTCCTGCGCGGTCTGTTTTTTAATCGATTGTCAGTCATGCCGTTCCGTTCCAGTCTCGAATCTCGATGCCCTTGTTAACCATTTACCTGTGCTGTTTCCGCGGCAGCACCACGCAGTCTTGTCCATGTTGACGGCAATTGGAGCATGGTGTCGTCGTCTCGGCAACATCGCATTTTACTTTACGCCTCTGACACATTTGGCAGGCAACGCGAGATCTGGTACGTGGTAGGATCATTTTTATTATTACTGTTGTCAATGTGGCGCTTGTCTGTCCGTCTTTGTTATTGTTTCCTTTCTGATTCTCGCGACTTTCCGTAACGGGACAAAATTCGGTAACAGGACAAGGTTCGGTAACAGGATCCATCATAAACAGGATCCATTATAAACAAAAAAATTCGGTTAAAAAGAACAGATTGTTTTCTAGGGGCGATAGTGTAATAGTGCCGGATGAAGAATTCTCCGCGAACGCCACGATTTTGTGCAGCTTCGGTACATTCGATACCTAAAGAACGCCATCTCACTCAGCAAATTGCGATACGGAAAGAGTGGGTTTTGTGGTGTCGCAGTAGAAATAGGTTCCCGATCAGTTTTGGCTTCAAGCAATGATGAACTCCAAGGCTAGAGTTGGGAGTATCAATTCTTGTCATAGCTGAAAAGGGTGGTACATAGGTCCAAAACCAGGTTAGCTTCTGAACTCTATCCATTCTATGTCTAAAAACATGCCTCCATCTATACACCCATCTATACATCCATCTATACAAGTAGCTGCACAAAACAGTATCTTCCAACATGAGCACTAGTAAAAAGGTTTCTACTCCCACAACAGCACGAACAAAGAAGTGACTCGGAAACAAAACATGAAAAAGATATGCGAGGAAAGCAAGGAAAAGGCGGAGTTAGTGGCGGCACCGAGGACTGCTAAAAGCATGCCAATCCGATCGCTCCATCTCAAGACTCAGCCTTCTTGGTAGCCTTGGTCCTGAGCTTCATCATAAGAAACACGAGACCGTAGAAACCGACCACAAATACAACAACGATACCTGCGTTTCTCCATCCGTACCATTCTTCTTTCATGTTCAGTGTCTGGAGAAAGTCTCCTCCTTGTGTGTATTGGCACACGCGGCAAGAAGAGGTGTCGTCTGGGTTGAGGAGGTTTGTGGCCACTCCCATGCCTTTTTGATAAACAGAAAGATAATCGCCGCAGGTTTGGTTGGAAGGCGGGTCGAATATGGCAAGTTCATCTTCTCTGCAGTGGACAGGCTTATCCCAAGTAGTAAAGACAAGCAGGGAACTCATGAGGTAGTTGAAGGGATCCATGTAGTATATCCTGAGACAAAACACGCCGTTAGTAAAGCACTCTCAATAAATTCTTTGATCAAAGAGACAATTGTTTCTTACCAATATCTCCAGAAGGGTTCAATCTGGCTGTACGGTACCATGACGCCGCAGAAAGAGACCAGTGTGGTGATGACCAAGGGGTTGACAAGAGATGCAAAGACGGCGTTTGGAGTGTACGCGGCAATCATCTGACCAATACCAGTATATAGGAACTCGTACATGAGCTATGCGCAAGTTAGCATAAACCGCGTAACTGATACCAAAAAAATAAGAAAATGGGCAGCAACTTACCACCACGAAGAACACACTGCCAGCGTGCCCGGGACCGGAAGGAAGACCGGCAGTAAAGTACCAACAGACGTAGTACAGCAAAGCACACAGTAGCAAGTAGGGAAACTCGGACACAATCAAACCAGTAACAAAGGGAGCCCAGTGGTACATTTTGCTCTTCTTCTCCCGCGCCTCGTATATATCGCGACGATCGATGAAGAGGGGCTGAAGTTGGGATATAATACCGGGTGCAACAAAGATAAAGTTGAAGATGGTGAAGAGGTTCTGCTGAAGGTCTGTGAGACTGTCCCCAATCATCCAAAATGTGAAGCCGTTGAGCAAGGCCAAGCTGACATGCATGGCCATCTTGTTGTCAACATAATCAGTGTTGCGAAAGAGCGATACATTCATGCGATGCGAGACCAGTTTGATCTGCGTCCACATGGAAGCGGCAAACTCATTTCCGTCATCATTGACTCCCGATGGTCGAGAGAGGGCGGATTCAACCATGTGGTCCAGTTCCTTGCTGAGGTGCTCGTGTTCGGGCGATTCCAGCCAAATTTTGCTCCAGTCTTGCTTATGAGATGGGGCCCCGTTGCCTGAAATCACATCAATCATGTGCTCAGCAGGATTAGCTTCAGACGGACATGGAGCCCCGTGACGACCAAAGTACGACTTGATGGTGCTCGCATTATCACCGATATCGCCAAAGTATACAGTCTTTCCACCTTTGGCAAGCAGCAGGAGCGTGTCAAATTGGGCAAACAGCTGTGCTGACGGCTGATGAATGGTGACTAGGATGGCCTGTCCGGCTGCGGCGAGTTTTCGGAGGAAGCGAATGGTATTATAAGCAGCCTGGCCATCGAGCCCGGATGTAGGTTCGTCGAGGAAGATGAGAATACTAGGCTTTGCCACCAACTCGACGCCAATGGTGAGACGCTTCCTTTGTTCAACAGAGAGTCCATTTCCTGGACTACCGACAAGGGTATGCTGAAGATCGTTCAGTTCTAGCAGGTCCACAATGGTATCGACATATCGTAGCTTTTCTTCGGTGGGTGTATCACGAGATTGGCGCAAGAGGGCTGAAAATTCCAGGGCCTCGCGAACAGTTGCCAGAGGCTCATGAACATCGAGCTGCTCGACGTAACCGGCAGAACGTTGAAAGGAGACGGGTATAGGACGACCGTCGACCAAAACGGATCCATGAATGGTTCCCTCCGTTTTGCGCTGTGCGAGCACATCAAGAAGCGTAGTTTTACCAGCGCCAGAAGCACCCATCAAAGCACCGAGCATTCCGGGTTTCACATAACCTTGAACGTTGTCGAGTAGTACACGGTCACCATCGGAGGTTTTGACAGTGTATGACAGATTCTTCCAGGTAAAAATGCTTCGGTTGCGAATGAGCTCATTGTCGAGTTTCCTGTCAGAGTCGAATCCAGAACTGGCTTGGGTCTTTTCAGCAGGCTGTGCCTGCTCCTCATCTTTGAGGTTTTGAAACAGGTGCTTGGTCTTGTGGTGCTGTTCCCGAGGAATCAGAAGACTGCGTCCTCCTTCTCCCACTTGCTTCCAGCCATTGGTGAAGAAGACGGTGAGGCCAACAAACAGCACCCACCAGGCGCAAATGATGCCAAAGTTGCGCCAGATGTGGCCATGAGCAAAGGACAAGTGCTTGAGATACTGTTCGCCTGTGACGCTCGTGGCTCCAGGCGGCGCGCCACCTACACCAGCACAGGCCTGTCCACCTTGTCCTTCAGCATAGCCTTGCCCATTGGGGATAAGATAGGGACCGACACAGGCGATAATCTGGCCATGAAACTCGTTTGAGAGGAGAGCATCAAATGCATAAGCCATGGGATTTATCCAGAAGATCCAAGAAAACCACGGATGCATCTCGGACTTGATAATCATGTATCCCATATAGACAAATAGAGCGACAATGGAAAGACCAGAGACTTTTGTCGAGGCGTCAAACGTGGGGAATGCGGCGCCCACTACGCGGAAAAAAGAGGTCATGGACAAGGCGGTTGTGTAGTTGATTGCCAGGTAGGTGAAGAAGGCGCCGGCCGTCATCTTGAGACCAACCATGAAATAGAGAATGAGGCCGAATTGCGAAACTTGGAACAGCAAGATGGGCATGTCTGCAACGACTTGGCCAATGACGACAGCTGCTGGGTTGTACAGGGCAAAAGAGCGATGCTTGGCCAAGATGGGTCTGCCGGTGAAGGAGTCGGTGACTTCGGATAGAGCAAGGAGAGCGTTGTAGAGGATAGAAAAGAAGAGGGCACCACCTTTGAGAAAGAGCCCGGCAGAGTTGTCCGGGGCAGAGTAGAATAAGGAACCGCCGAGGAGAGCCTGCATGAGGGTCGCGCCCTGCTTCATAAAGAGAGTCGCCTTGTCTCCCCACAAGATCTGATACTGCCTGGTGGTGGCCGCCTTGACTTGCGTGAGAAAGTCGGCCGTGACGGGCGAACTCGCGGGCACCCCCTTGTGCTTCTCACGAGCAACCATCTCTTTAAAGACTGCCGTATTGTCGGCGGCTTCCTGGGTCGTGGGGTAGGTTTGGGCCTCTTGCATCGTCCTGGGGTAGATGGCTGACTTTTTGTATGCACTGAGCACTGCGTCGGCGTCGCGAGGAAAAGTCTCCTCGTGTCCAGGCGCAATCACCCGCTCGTGGGGGACCATGACACCTGTTAGGAAATCGCCTCGATTGGAGCCGCCATCTCGCATGAAGCCAAGGCCCTCGATAAAAGGGACAGCCTCCTTCTGGGGTCCGTAAAAGATTTGCTTGCCTTCCTCGAGAACGAGAACTTTGTCAAATTGCTCGTAGATGCCATTACCTGCTTGGTACAATGTAACAATGGTGCTGAGACCGAGAATATCAGTCATGACCCTGATTGCCTTGATCCATTCAAGAGCCGTGCTGGCGTCGAGTCCTCTCGTCGAGTTGTCCCAGCAGTACACGCTCGCGCGAGTAGTCATGCACTCGAGAATGGATACTCGCTTCCGCTCTCCTCCCGAAACGCCTCGAATATAGGCGTCCCCGACCTTTGTGTGGGCAGTATGAGAAATGCCGACCGACCGCAAGAGAAAGTCCTTGTAAAACTGGGCGTACTCCTCGTGCGTGTCGATGCCGGGGGGCAGCTTAAAGGGGACCTTCATGCGGGAGGCAAAGTCAATGGTTGCCTCGACGGTCAGGGTCGGAAAAAATATTTCCTCCTCGGTGTTCATGATGATCTGGCCATGGTACTGCTTTGCTTCGTCGGCCGTCATGTTTCCGTAGTGGACGTCGCCTGTGACATCTTTGAAGCCACGGCGGTTGTTGGCGAGCACGCTGAGCAAGGTCGTGCAGCCTGCTCCTGGGCGGCCTAGAACCAGCAGCATCTCTCCAGGCTTGACACATCCGTGTGAATTATCGACAATGGTCTTTATCGGTTCAGCCGTGGTGCTCTTGTGGAAGGGGTTCAGCTGTGACAAGACATTTTCCTTGAAAGTCGCGTCGGCGCCGACGCCGGTGACGGTGAGGTTGGTCCAGCTCACGCCGAGCTTCTTGGACTTTTCTCCGCCTTGTTCGTCTCGCTCGCGTATCATCTGCATCTCGGGCGCCATGTGCCATGTCCTGTCAACTAACATGGTGTTTTCGAGCCGGCTGTCCACATCTGTGGCGTGTCCGGTTTCGCAATTCGAATTGCTGGACTCTTGGTCCACGGTGAAAGAAGTGATGCTCATGGACGGGTTTGTGATATTTGGCCAACAAAACAATCTTTTTTTTTTCTCTAAATGGAAAACGAGAAGAAGGCAGAGTCTATAAGTTAAAAGGACACGCGACGAAAAGGTACTGTGCCATGTATATAATCACAAGAAAAGACGCCAAGTAATAATTTCTTGGTTTAAAAGCAGCTTACAGAAGCATATCTATAAAAGCTTGCAATCGCAAATAAAATTGTAAAAGCTTCCGGGTTGGCCTGGAAAGCCTCCGACGAGCGATCGCGCGCCGCGGTTGCGTTGGAGTGGTAACTTGTCAGCCCAAAGGGTCGCCCCAAAGGGGCCCCTCAAATTCTCCTCAATGATCACTCTCGAGCCTCCCCGGCATTTCAGGCCACGGTAATGAGATGCAGCCAGCCTAAAATGAACGTCAGGACTTGATTAATAAACGCTCCGAGTTGGCGCACAATGTTGCGGACGCTAAAACGTTGTGGATTTCTCTCATGTTAGCGGCAAAAAGCCTCCGCGGAGGCTTTAAAGGATAAGCTTTATCCTCCCTCCAAGACACATGTTGGATCCCTTATGAGTGTCGCCACCAATCAATCATCTTGGCCCCTCAAGCTGAAGTCGAGGCCACTACCTCGGATTGAATTTTGCTCTGCACTGCAACCTCTCCTCCGTAAAATCTATATTCGCGATATCGGCATGTGATAACCACCATGGGAGGCACAACAATCCATCCATCGCAGCGGCGCATCTCCTGCGAGGCTTGCAGGAAAAACAAGTCAAGGTGTCAACGACTCAACCGTAATGAACCAAAGTGTGCGAGATGCACACTACTCGAGTTGGACTGTACCACGGGGCAGCAGAGGAGTATTGGAAGGCCTCGCCGATCGGCTGCTTCTACCACCAAGGAACAAAGCGCCAAAATGCGCACTCAAACAACGCCTCGCAGAACACCTCATGGGAAGGATCTGGACCGGACAAGCCTCATGTCTCCGGCTTCTACCCCAAGGCAAACCTCCGACTTGGCCGATGATGATGCATTCGATGGCGCGACAGCAACATGGTCAACCATGGACATGAGTACCCTAGACCAATACCCATCGTCATGGGATGCCGCATTGGACATTGCCGACGCTGAATTCATGTTTGCGCACAACTCGGCATTCGACGTCGCAGCATCATCTCTGTACACGCCAAACTTTGGTCTTTCCCCTCAGAGTCCGTCAAGCACCGTGTCGTGCGACCCTGGAGGCTCCTTGACGTCGACGAATACCCTCCAAATAGCAATGCCAGAGAGTGTAGGCAGCATCGATGCCTTGTCTGCTCTCTCGGAGCTCTCCAAGATGAATCTCGACTTGCACATTCGCGTTGCTGCTGCTGCGACGAACAAGGCCAGCCTAGAATTCGACAATATAATATACCAGCAGGGCGCGTTGTACATCAACAACTATACACTCGCCGAATTCATGCTCAGCACGTCTCAAAACTTTCTGCAGCTCCTCACCAAACTTTGCAGCACCCGACAACCTGTTGGCCTGCTGTGCGCCTCATCAACGACAGACACGCTTTCCTCCAAGCCACTATCAATGCAGTCGCACCCACCGCACATGAGCCGGCAGGCCAATATATTCGCTAGTTCGCCTCCATCATGTACTGCCGACACCACCGCAGGGCCGCTGCCCGCTCCCCTCGCGCTTGCCATTACGAGTGTATTGACCCAGCTCATCTCGCTCTATGATCTGATGCTCCATCACTTTACCGCTCGCGCCCAGTGGATCTCTGTTGATCCCATCGCCCCGCTTCCAGGTCTCTTGTTTGGTGGTGTGCCCCTGAACAATCCGTGCACACAGGGCATACTCATTTCCATCAACATGCTCGAGAGAATAGAGTGCCTTTTGGGTATCAAGTCGGTGCCGAGCACCAGACAAGTAGGCTTGTTGTCGCCGAGACAAAAAGAGGTGCTCTGGAGTGAGTTGGACGGGAGAAGTGCTGTTTTGCACGGTTATGCTGTTGTGCGGCCTGCCGAGTTGAGGAGGCTATTCGGAAAAGTAGCAGTCACTTTTAGTCAGGCATCAGCAGACTCGTTACAGACATGAAGAAGAAGAAAAAAGAAGAAAAAAAAAGAAAAGAAACAAGATACCCATTGACCGCCTTAAGCGTGAGCGACGCGCTAACCAGAATATTTTCCATCATTACATGTGAAGCGACGCGCTTGCCAGAATATCTTACATCAACACATGTGATTTGCGCAATACAGAGATTCCATTGCCCTCTCATCTACATTTACATTTTAGGCCCCTCGGCCTGCAAATCATGCGCAATTCCCACGCCCGCAAACGTCCCCATATGCATCGCCTGCATGGCATTCTTCATTGGCGTCGCGCAATCTCCTGCCGCATACACTCCCTTGACACTGGTGGCTCCAAACGGTGGCGTTACTGTGACATCTCCAGCAGGCGTCAACTCGACACCTAATTGCGCTGCAAACGGGCCGTTTAGTTTCGTAGGGGGCCTGTGCACAAGAAACGCCTCCTGAACCGAGCTTCCATCTGCAAAGGTAATGGTGATTCCGCTGCCTTGGGGGCCAAGAGCGAGAGAAGCAATCTCGCGGTCGTCTGTTGTGATGGCGGCATCGTGTTGGCCGACGAGCTCTGCAATGGCGGTCTGCACGGCAGGATTGTTCGAGGTGTAAACGACAGCTTTGGAGGTGATTTGCTTGGCACTGCGTGCGAGAGCGATGGCTGCTGCAGGGACAGAGACTTCGCCGAGGGCAAGGACTCCAGCAGACGGTTCTCCGGCCTCTTCATAACCGTGGCAAAAGAGGCAATGGTAGCTAGGAGGAGTCAATTATAAACACTTTGGTAAAATGATTGGGAGGTGGGGGGGACGCACATGGATCGACCCCAGCACTCATCATATCCCTTGATATCGAGCGGCAAGTCGGTGACGCCACTCGCAAGCAAGACTCTCCTGCCAGTGAATCTTGTCCCATCTGCAGCCGTGGCCGCAAAGTCGCCCGCCCTCGTCCTCTCGACCTGAGAAATTTCGCAATCCACAAAGGAGATTGTCTTGTACCGCTCCAAGATTTCCTTGCGCGTCGCGGCCCTAAAGGCGGCGGGGTCTTTGTGATCCCATGTTGGTATGGTATGCATGTGCGTCGAGCGCGCGTTGCGAAAGAGCGAGCTGTCAAAGACGACAGCAGTGTGCAGCTGGCGAGCAAGGGCGAGAGCTGCAGCCAGCCCGGCAGGACCTGCGCCGATGATGAGGGCGTCAACGGGAGCCATGTTGGTTGTGGTGGTTGTCAAATGTGCGGGTGTTGGTCCAAACTAATTTTGTACGAGCTTGGTGGTGAGTGCAGTGGAGGAAAGACATGACGGAGAGAAAAAGACGTCAAGTCTGTGTGCTATATACTCCCCTTCGTCAGAGAGAATTGCCCAATTCACTATCATCATATTGGGCATAGTTAAAGCATCCAGGAAGCTTTCTTTAGCCTAGAGGTATCGTAAGATTCGGAAGGTATCTTAAACCCTCCGCGGAGGGTTTTGGGCGGAGGGTTGGCTGTCTTGCCGCACCAAGATCCACCACGTCTTGATTGAGACTTATTTAGTAGGTATGGTGCAGGAAGAGCTTAAAACAACTGCAGAGGCCGATTCGCTATACCGAGAGAAGTTAGTGTGATTAAAGGGGGGGGGGCTTGTTAGAAAGACAAGTGTGGCTCGACGCATAAGCAAATAGAAGACCTGTTCCGCCGCAATTGGATTCGCGTCTTGCACAAGAAAGAAACGCATCATTCTAGGCCAGCATGGCTATCGTCCCGGCAAGCGACCAACTCGGGCGAAATGAGTCCAGCATTATTTCAGCTCGCTGATCCAGTAATGAGGCTTGGGGCGTGGCTAACCAGGAGCGCGGTTTCCCAAGGTGCACAGCGCCCAAAATCGCCAAATTGATGGCACATGATGTATTTCGCGCGTAAAATAATCGAAAAAAAAAAAAAAAACTTTCGATGAACTTGGCACACTGTTTTTGATATGCAGTGATGCGGACGTGCTGCCTGGGCTGACGTTATGCACATTGTCCTAGGCTGACGTTATACACATTATATTTATGCGCCAACTCCTACAGCCTCGACTGCGGCCTAGCATTCATTCTACCTCATACACGCCCACAATCCGGTACAGCAATCAATCTAGCTACAATGGTCAAGCTTCAAACCATCCAGGCCCACAATGCTGCTCTCAACTCCAAATTCCCAAGCCTTGTTGCAGTCTTTGGTGAGTCGACCTTTGGCTTCAAGCTCTTGCAACTAGAAAGCCACTCCAATACAACGTGTCAGTGTGCCTTGTTCGCCTTTCACTAACCAAATGGGCAACTTGAAATAGTTGGCGGTACCTCTGGTATAGCTCTTTCCACCGCGCTCGCGCTCGCTCGTCACACGCAGTCGCCCAACATCTACCTTGTCGGCCGCAGCCAACCAGCCGCGGATGCGGCCATTGCCACCATGAAGAGCATCAACCCCTCTGCCCGAGCTACCTTTGTCCAATCCGACATTTCTATTCTTCGAAACGTCGACACTGTATGCGAAACCATTGCGCAAAAGGAAAAGAAGCTGAACCTGTTATTCATGACACCTGGATACATGACGCTCAAGGGCTGGGACGAGACCGCAGACGGCCTGGACCGCAAATTTGTTCTGCACTTTTACGCGCGAATGCGCTTCGTAGTCAACCTGCTCCCCCTCCTGACCGCGGCCGCGCAGGATACCGACGCGACAGCGAGGCTCTCCCGCGTCGTTTCCGTGCTGGATCCGCACGTGTCCGTCCGCGCCGGCGGTGCTGGCAAACTAGACTTTTCCGACCTCAGCCTCAAAAACTCCTTTACCCTCAATAAGTGCGGTGCCCACGCCAGCTTGATGGGCGACTTCTTCCTCGAAGGCATGGCGCAGCGGCACCCGCAGACTTCCTTTGTGCATGCATACCCGTCGGGTGTCAATACGGGCCTGCTGCGGGAGCTGCCAGCCGGGCGCGTGGTCTCGGCCGTACTGGGCACCATACTGAGCCCCTTTATGGTACCGATAGAAGAGAGCGGTGAGAGACATTTATTTGCAGCGACGACGGACAGGTTTCCACCGAAAGCTGCAGGAAGCGCGACGCAGCAAGGCGATGTCGCGGTCGGGAGCAACGGTGTTAAAGGAAGCGGTTGCTACTGGTCGAACTGGGACGGAGAGGTTTTCCCCGAGAACAAGAAGCTGAGTAGAACAAGGGAGGAGGGTGCCGTGGACAAGGTCATTCAGCACACGGAAGAGGTCTACGCCCGGTGTACGGGAAGCTGAGAGACGCGTGCGACAGGTGCAGACTCGTGACGATGCAACAGCAAATTTTTTATACACATGACATCTGTACGATAGTTTAGGATATCCTGCTTTTTGCTTGATTCGCTTTTTTTCTGCAGTCTGTTTCGTCGCGCCGTGTATGTGCTTATTGCTTGGGACTACACGAGGTCGGGCGAACGTGCATCTATACCTGGGAGCTGTCTGGCGGGCGTTTGTACTCTTTTTTCCCTGCTCTTCAAGTCATAGTCGAATCCTTCGTTAGAGCCGCAAGGTTTCTGTAGCGTTGTGACTTTTTTTTTTTTCTTTTTTTTGCCAGTGGCTAGCATGCGCCGCGAAATCGCGTCGATCTAGGCCGATTTCTGCCCTGTTGGGACGTTGTTGAAACATTTTCAAGAACTGTAAATAGTGAAACATTATTGATGATGGTAATGGGATCTGAATTTATTCATCCAAGTATCCATCACATTTTCAGAATCTAACTACTTTAGCTGGGCTAAATGCTCTTGGCGCAACTAACAAGAGGAATTAGCAAACAACACCAAACCTCTGGCTGTCCGCCAATCAACACTAGGCCATCCCTTCCCTTTGTCCCATGATGTAAAATAAGCAAATGGCGGTCTGAGTCAACTTTTTGAAAAGCTACATGACGTCAGAATCGTCCATGAGCAGACCTAGATTCGTGTCAGCCAAACATTCTTGGTGAAAGCAGAGATGACTTACATAGTTCCTCCTCAGTTTGGCACCCGGCACTCCGGATTAGAGCAGTAGCAGGGTGGTACTTTTTTAAGCGGTTTGTGGCAAAGCCAACATGCAGGCCAAGTAACAAGACCAGACATTCTGTCTATAGGGTTTTAGTCTTTGCAGTTATCCGTACAAGAGAGATGACGATAGGGTTGATTCTTTGCAGGAAAAGCTTTCCATCTTCTCTGAAAAAATTATTTCCTTAAATAATTGTGTTCTTCACGTGGCATTCCGTTCCAACCTATTCTATTGAGGCACTGTTGATACAAAGCGATAGAGAGTTGACCTTGATGTCTACCTGGTCTTAAGAGCAGGCCATGTGTGAACGTATATAGGGACTGATTCACATCATTTTCCTACGACACCATGGAACCATGGACATGGCATTTTCAAATTTCTTTGTCAAAGGTCTGGCCAAACCGGAAAGAGTCTACATCTACATGCTGCGACGGGACCGACCCGGAATCCTTCTCGAAACCGAATGATGACATGTTCCTCAGTTATCCTCAGGTACGGATAGTAGACTGAGTACCATGTACGTGTTATGCCTGTGTCTGCCCGGCGGCTCGGGTCGACCTAGCGGGGCAGAAATGTAAAGACCGTGTCAGGCAGGCACCACAGGGCACACATAGGCACGCCTTATTGGTGGGCACCCACTCTTCCACAACACATCATCACTACTCTCTCTTTGTGACAGACCAGTTCGTGCGACCTAGACTCTACGAGTGAACAATCAGTCATGGGTTATCTAACTGAGAAGGCGGTGCCGAGGGCAGAACTCGCCAGCCGCCCAGCTTCCACCATAAATACCCCACAAACAAGTTGCTGCCTGTTGCTCTTCATCCTTCACCTTGTTCGATTCAGGAGCATCCCGTCTTTCTTCTTCAGCATTTCTGGAGCAATTACGTTCCCTTCCTCGGCCAAAAACGTGCTGCGTTGATTTGTTTCTCTCTTGCATCACCACTGCGACGCGACCGCAATGTCGGCTCAACAAGAGGGCGGCCGTTGGTCTACACTTGATGACTTGGAGCCAACCGACAATGAGCTTCACCAAAACATTACTCGAGTTATCGAGACTGCCAACTTTGAGTGTCTCCAAGATATTGCAGTTTTAGCACGCGGTGTCGAATTTGCTAAAGCCGGTACGGCCATCATCGACACGAAATCCTTCACCTTTGGATGGAATAATGTCGTATTCAAAATCACCTTCTCCGACGGCATCATCTGGATCGCTCGCATTTGCCATGCCTTGAAGCAGGGCAATGAGAATATTGAAGCAGACAGAAAGAGTATGCTGAGTGAAATTGCCACCCTAAGAACCCTGCGCCGGCGGACAACGATTCCTGTACCCGATGTCTTTGCCTTTGAAGCATCCGCTTCGAATGACTTTGGCTATCCATACATGTTGATGGAATGCCTCGAGGGAAAGCCACTTGGCACTTCTATGGCATTCGGAGTACCAGTCAAACACCACCCACAAGTTGCAAAGCAGCTGGCAGAAATTCTGTTTCAGCTTCAGAATCTTTCCTTTGATAAGCTAGGAAGGATCTGGTGCGGGGAAAGCTGCGATGAGTCCCCCGAAATCATTCCATACGAGGATGCGGAACCAGCAGCGGCACCGTTGGCAACCTCGCTCGAATGGTTCTACAAACACAGGCAAGAACAAAACCGAAAGGCTCTCGAGCCACATGCCCAGGACCCCGAGTGGCGCACGGCATGCTGGATCTTGAAATCGGCCATGGCCCAAATCATCATCGAAGACAGAATGTACGGCCCGTTTCCGCTTTGCCATTTTGACTTGCACTTTGGAAATCTTTTATTTGACGACGAGTACAATCTGACGGCAGTCCTTGACTGGAGCGGTGCTGGCACAGCTCCATTGGAGAGACTAGCAGTCACTCCAGAATTTATCACATTTCCGGGAATCACAGACGAGGAGAATCAAGTCATTCTCGACTTTAGAGGGCTTGTTCGTGACAATCTTCGAGACTTGGAAGCGCAGTCGCGAGAGTCGGCTTCATCCTCTGGGTCCAAAACGGCCCTCTCGGCGATTCTGGGGACAAGCCGAGCAGATATTACCCATCGCTGCACATACAGTTTTCCGCATCGCGCCTTCTGGGACGGTGGTTTGGTGGCCAAGCTCCTGTACAAAGACACTGTGTCATGGGAGCAGTTGGTGGCCATGTATGGAGGCTCCGAGGTGTATTAGAAGAGGCGACTAGGAGACGAGGCAATCACATTTACTGCGATAAAGGAACAAGGCAAAGAAAAAAATAGATTTAGAATTGGTAATTTCAGATAGCTCATGTGTCACTTTAGCTGCTAAGGATCTGGGAGCAATGATATAAATTGAATGGAATGAGCTGCACTAACTCGGTGTATGTATTCACACGGGGAGGTGCTTGTTAGGCGCGCCAAGTCCGTCAATCTATGCCCTTCAAGATTATACTTTACCTCTTGCGCAAGTCCTGCAAGGTTTGCGATGCGCGTTTGACAGTCTTTCGGTCGTAGTTGATGTAGTCGGACCACCGTAGCTGCTGCATTGTCTTCTAGCGGTGACACCAGCTGAATCAATTGGCCGCCTTGCAGCGGAAGAGTGCAAGTACAGGCATCGGTAGCGTTTTGAGCACGAATTATAGTACCTGGGCTGCCCAAAATCGAATTGCACGTAACACTTTGGCGTCATGCCTGACCCGGGCGAGCCGCGGTGAGCCATCTCCCGCGCCGAGCCAAGTCAGTGACAGAGACTATCCGTTGGCAGGCTCGTAGCTCCGCTGGAACTGTAATATTAAAGGTTTTATCCGCGCTGGATCACATTTCGAGCAGACCAGGCTTGTAGATGATCTGATGGTCATCATTGCCTTCTGATTAAAACTCGAAGCTTTCGAGCCTCTTTGTCTTGAACATTGAACTGATCTCCAATCTAGCGGACTCGGTATTGCTCGCCTGTCGAGAGATGATAGCCTGTAGAGAAAATAGTAGTCGGTGTAAAAAGGAAAAAGTTAAAGTACCACCTTGTGCCTGGTCCGATATTGTTCGGTAGATCTGAGTGAGATGGGAGGGAGGGTAGTTTCGGGTCTCAACCGGAGCCTCATATAGAGAGATGGAGCGGGTATATTGATCTGTGCGAGTGTCAACACCATCTTGGATGAAGCTTCCAATTGAGCCCTTTTGAATAGGGCGTTTTCTCATAGGCCGTCTTTTCTTCTTCTGGTTTACTTATTTGTCTTGTCTCATTTTATGAAGTGTATCTTTTGCTAATCTTGCGCAAAGGACTGCAAATTTTTTTGTATGCTGTCAAGCTCATGTAATGATATCAGATTCTTGGAGGAGACGAGGTGCGTTGTGCTTAGTACATGGCCGCTCGTATATGCACATGTCGTACATGATTGGCTGCCTCTGGGCGGTTCGGATATGCACATGCTGTACATACATGCTTGGCTGCTTCCATTCAGCTCGGATATGTACATGCTGTACATATTTGGCTGCCTCTGCGCAGCTGACTGTATTACTACAATACAGCACTTCTGTAGCTGGACTCTGCAGATCTGGTTCAGCTCACCTTCCGATGTGGCTTGCCTGATTTACCGCCATGATGTACATCCGCAAAATACGACTGCCGCTTGCCTATAATTGAGCCCATGCTCTGGAGTCTCAGTCCAATACAGACGCAAGTCGGAAAGTCGTTGGTAACTGTCTGTCTCAGGATCAACGGCATTGGCTCAGCCGTCAACGGCAAGGAAGACAGCCAGCCACATTCTCAAGACATACTTGAAAGTAAAACAATGGATCGCCTGTCGGCTGAACTGAAGATTTCATCATGACGGATTTGACTAATATTGCAGAGACGGGTGCCGTTCTAGCCCACGTCTGATGCAATGTCGGCGAATGACAGAATTCGCCAGGACAGTGGACAGTGACTATTGGGAAGCCCTCCAACTGCGAGGTAGCCCTATTCCTCGGAGAGCTGCAATAATTATTATATGCATATACCATCCTCCTCCATGCAACGCTTTGTTCCACAGTGGGTGGTTATTATCTGATTTGTCTCGGATCCGCCCCAATAGTCAGTTCAACCTGCGGGCATCAAAACGACCCGTCAAAGTCATGGAGACACAGAATGTGGAAGCTTTGTGGAGAGAGGTGACGGTGTCCATGACGAAGAATTATGGCTAGAAGAAACGTATAAGTAACCGTCACTCATGTCAAGTCCACATTCGGCGTTGTCTTCATCCATTGTCCATTTCTTCCAGTCAATGCCTCACAACCAACATTGATACGCAAGATGCTCTTCCAAAACCTGCTACTCCTCCTACCCGCGGCTCTTCTCACCAGCGCCGCACCAGCTGATTCGCACTCTCTTGCCGATGCCGGCGCTCCTCCACCTCTCGACTCTAGCCCTCCTGGCGTCGTGAGTCTAACCGCCGAAGAAGCCAGCGCCGACTCTGCCGTGAGCGCATCGCCATGCAGCGATTGGCAACAGCTATACGGCAGAGGTAGATGGACGTACGTCGAAGTGCAGTGGTGCTTCAGGCAGCGCGGCGACCAGACAGTCGTCACGCAGGAGCAGCAAAACCCGTGGTACTTTTGGGGCGGCGCTTGGTATACGGGCAAGAGCCATACGCTCACATGGCAAACGACCGGCACGGTCGGGAGTTCTTGGTACTTTGACTCTGGCAACAATTTCAATGACGGTCCTGTCAGGAGGGACATTCACACATTCAAGTCCAAGATCCCACCGGGACTCTACCCAGTCAGCGTGCATTACCACCAACTGGGTCCTTGGTGGGGAGCAGATGCGGCCATTGATGCCGATCTCACGTTTGCTATATCACTTGGCTATTAAGAAAGGCCGGTACGTCAATTCATCAGCCGGCATGGAGGCAGAGAAGAAGGTAAGCAAGGCCTGTACTCTAGCGTGTTTTATCTTTGTTTTCGGCGAATGGCTAAACTCTTGCTGCAGCCACTTTCTTCGTTGGGATGTATGCAGCTGGCCTCGGGATGGTTTTTCACTAGTTGTGTTTTTCCCATTCTGTAATGCAAATGCAGAGGCTAGATAATTTTATGCCAATATGATAAAACCACCACCGAATTTTCTCATGCCACTGGTCCTGGCCCAAAGTGATGGCTCATGGTCCGGTGATCGGCACTACATATGGGTCGGCCGAAAATCTGGGGAGTTGATCTGATAAGACAAGCCGTCAATGCCCACCATCAAGCATCAAAAGAGTAATGCCAAGAAATAATTTTTAGAAGTTGTTGTTCTTTGTATTGGGATATGATAAATTTACCTGAATTAGGTCTAACACTCTCAGCCAAAAAGGGGATATCTTAATGTTTTCGGTATTCAAACGCTAACCGTGGGGGGTCGTTCCAGGGGTGGCTAACGTTGCATTCAACCCCTGGCAGATCGTAACAGCATTACTTTGTTTCACGGCATCACATTAATCATCGAAACGCGCTATAAAACAGTACTTGATTTGGCTAGTAAAGTTGTACGCAAATTAGGGTTCTCGCAAGTCTCCTTATAACCTGTGTTTGAGAAAAGCTGACCACATCCTTACTGCTGTTACAATCTTTCAAAGATTGCAGTTACTTTTGATTGTGGGCGGAGCTTGTGGAGTTTGGCATCTCGGGCGGATCTTGTACGGCATTTGGCTCCGCGTCCGTCCATCTCCACACGCTAGGAAGAATACAAAGTCGCATGACACAATCAAATCGGAATGATAACGTCATCAGCTGTTTACTTTTTTCGGGTTTTATTAATTGCTTTCAGATGCGTATGGAAATCGATTGGTGACGAACGAAGCCAATGCACGAGCTTAGTTAGCTACCTTGCCCAACAGCCACTTCTGACACTGTCGAATCCGCCTCGCGACACTTCCTTTCGGCCTGCCCAAACAATGTTTACTCTCATGGCACTGTACCTGCTCAGGCCTGTTTAGGCCGATCGTCGTCCTTGATTAGCAGCATGTCCCGCTGCCATATCAAAACGATTGCCGCACCCACTGGGCCGAGCGTTGCGGCGTACGTGAGCGCTTCCACGACAATTACTGCCTTGGGGTAGAATGCGTCGAGCTTCGGAGTCTCGAGTCTCAAAGACAGGGCCCAGACGAGGCAAGAAACACCAATCAGCCAAAAGTCCCACTGGATAAACCAGAATTCTCCAGTGGATATGGGCGGCAACGGGCTGCCGAGCAAGAAAGGGTTGTTCAGCCCAAGCATGTGTCGAAAATTCCAAGCTCTTGCAAAATCTGGCGCAAAGGCGAAAGGAAATGCTGAAGCCGAAAAGACAATGGCCAAGAAGTACCAGTATGGAGCTACGCTCCAGAGCAGGCCGATAGCATACACAATCTGCAGTCTCTGACGTTTATGGCTGTCGCGTTGTCCAGTCGGCTTGAGGATCCGCCGAGCAAGAGGCGTCAGAGCCAGATGGATGAGATATACCAAGAGAGGAAACGTTACCCAAAGCCTCACTAGATTGACCTTTTGGTTAATTGACAAAATGGAAGGCGCCGGCAGCGCAGCAAGACCGGTCGGGACGGCCATTCCCAGAAAAACACTGATTGGTATCGTGTAGAGCGCCTCCGGAGTAACACTGAGATCGCTTGCGTTCCAAGACACTCTCTGTTCCCTCAAAGATAGGGCGTAGAATACTGGGCTTGTGAGACCCAGTCCTAACAGTTGACCCAGCACGGCCATTGTGGTGTAACTTTTTGAGATCAGCTCAAGGCCAAAATAGAGGTCATCAAAAGTGGAGTGCTTACAAGGCAGGAATTCGCCCTTTGTTTCCCTTTCGGTTGCTCTCAATCATTCCAAGGAGCGTGACTCCCATTACAGATGCGCCAAATGGAACCATGAAGAACGTTATGTCGGCGCTCGACGTATCGACAAGATCATAGAAAAAGTGTGTAAGGGCATTCGCCGCGTCGTCGAACCGTTTCCAACCCGTCAAGGTGGCGTCAAAGTGAGACTGATTCAGCCCTATCTTCTGGTTTTGTACTTGATGAATGATCGCACCAAAGAAGCCATTGGTGACGGGAAAGGCTAGCAAAGCAAACAAGGCAAGGATGGCAATACCAAATAAAAGTAGCGATAAAGGACCTCCTCTTGGAGACCCAAGTTGTGAGGAAGCCATTCGAAATGAATTTTCGGTTGAACAGCACTAGTTTTGGTGGCTCAATGAAAAGATGTAGAATAATTATGACAATTATAAATGCAGGGAATAGTTAAAAGTTTTAAAAAACAAACTACCGAGGCAGTCTATGTTGAGAATAGCAATGACCTCGGGGAGGTGGAAAGATTAGTCAACTAGCCCCGGCTAATAACGTCGCTGCAAACAGGTGAATCCACCACACCTTTGATGATGTGAATCAAGCCCTACATAAAAATTTACGTCAATAGCTATCAAGTACATACATAAAGGCATGGGCCCAGTCAGCATATTGCTAATAAGAGCTGGAATTATGAACAACTTTCTCATAGACGGGCCTTACTATTATCGATCACAGACACCAGACAGCACCTCGATGGCTTTACCATGGCTTGCATGCGGGGCCAGCGATGGTATGGTGCATAGCCATACCATTACAGCATGTCGACTCTCTGCGCAAGCGATCGCTGACCCTCCATCGCCTGAACGGCTATACAGCTTTGACAGCTTCGTTTACACAAACCGTCAGCGGGGTTTCGTTTCTGATATACGGTTACGGCTACTCCCACAAGAATCTACTCCATATCCACTACTTGAGCATTGGAGGTAAATGGATTCCCCCGTTTTTCTGGCCGACATTCGAGGCTGGCTTATGGGCCTACGCGCCCGTCTTTCTCTTCACACTGCTGCGCACGGTTCAGACAGCCCGAGCAAAGATGAGCAAGTAGAAAGTGGCTCATCATGCACAGGGAATTGGAAGCGGAACGACGGCCGAAGTTCAAGGTGGTGGGTAGATCGGCCAACGCCTATCAAGCTAAAAATAGCTGCGGAGACCAGCGGGAACAAGTCAAGAACAAACAACAACATAGAGCCAACGAAGAAAGCCAAAATTTCCGCACTCGAAATAAATGAACTCGGAATCAATGAACAAGCGAACAAGGAAAAGCAGACGTCGGTCAGGCACGAGGAGCCATGCATGATAATAGTCAGAAACTCATAACGGCTTGCGAATAAGCACAGAGCAAACTGGACAGGCTGGGGTAAATAGTTAGCCTTTTGACAGAAATTTGAAGTAACAAAGGCCACTACATTTAAGTACCACAAGATATAGCCCTGCTAGGTGCATTGTCTAGGCGAGGTATGCATAGTCTACGTGCTTTATGCTCAGCCGTATCTACACTTTTTGTTTCGAGGTTCCTGGCATTTTTGGCTCTCTGGTTGCCACTGGTTGGTCAGGTATACCCTGCAAGCCACTTAAAGTTTCCTCCTCCACTGCCAAAGGGTTATCATAGGTCTAAAAGCGCCACTGCCATGGAAGTGAATAGCCAGAAAGCTACGTAGGTTTGTATATTCTTTTGTTCAACAGCCTCATCATAGACTTATCAGTCTTTTTAAGATTAAGTTTTTTTTAAAAAAAATAAAAAAACCACCAGTAAACTTATCTGAACTTTCATGAAATCGATACATGGGGACCTTATAGATGAAGAGTGCTCGCTTCAGCTTTTGGACGAAACATTGGCATAATACAAGTCCCATGACACAATAGAGTAGTACAAATGATAATACCAAGTCAAGTCAAGTTTGACCTATCTATCATGCCATGATATGTCTCTTCAGTTCTCTGCGCCGCATGGCTGATTCTGACTAATCGTATCCCCACCAAAGTCCACCTCAACACCGCCTAGTACAGTGCCTCCCAGGCACCATCACGCGCGCGCCTTTGACAGAAAAAGTATATTCTCGTTGGTTTCTACTTTCTAGACACACCTCTCAGAGGCAGCGAGCGTATCACTTCTCCACGGCAGCCATTTCGATTGGTTTGGTTGCCTCTCTTGGTGAGTTTTTCTCCTGCACTTGTCTCGTAGAGAAGTGGCTGGTCACACTGCTGGCCTAGCATTTGCAAGAGCCGACAACTGACTGACGCTGCTTCCATAGAACTCTTTCTCGTCAGCCCATAACTATCAACCGTCCCCCGACCCCTCTTTCTCTGCACGACACTCTGCTTCGAAAGGCGTTGCCATTGCTCGCCGCACTACGCTCCTTGCACCTCGTTTTCTATTCAACTTGCGACCAGCTACGTGCTACTCTTCTTCGGCTTTTAGCGCATCACCCGCCACCGACGCTCCGAGTCGTTCTTGCAAAAATATATTCTGCGGTACACCGCACAACATGCCTTGTGAGTGCTGATCCTATGCCGACAGCTGCAGAATGCCGAGCCTAGTATTGCAAGGATACTATGGAAGCTTGCGAAGCATAGACTGCACGTACAGTCTTGTTTCTCGTGGAGCCCCGATCGCGTGCCACCCCTTAGCCTGCGTCAGTTTTGGTGATACTAGAGCTAGAGGCCAAAGTCGTTGAACGAGAAGGCCCTAGCGGTGATCTATGGTCTTCATCGAAAACGAAGCTGGCTCCTCATCACATATCGATCTCATACCCGTCATAATTCTTCTATGATCAATTACTGACTGTTCGCAGTTCTAGCTGAAGATCCCTGGGTTAATGGCCAAGCAAGGTATGCGCTCATCTCTCGCGCGCGTCGAATCACTCTTAACAATTCACAGTTCCTTTGACTTGGCTGAGCTCGACAACTGCGCCATTGCCATCGATGCGTCTTACTACCTCGGCCACATCCTCGACGCCACAACCGCTCACGAGCCTCTCCTCTCAGCCCTCGGCGGCCTGACCGGCATCAACACGCACATCAACCAGAATTTGGATCATTGGGAAAAGAGCAACATTATACCTTTCTTCATTTTTGACGGCCAGTCCATTACCGGCCAGGATGAAGTGTCACTCAAGCGTGGCCGTGCTGCCAATGTCAAGACTGAAGAGGCATGGAATCTTTACTCGCAATCGTCAGCAGAGCAGGCCGTTAATACCTTTGGCGCCAATCCCGGTACGCATGTTTGTCACCGTCCCTCAACTCACACTGACCAGGCTTAGGTGCATTCCGTCTTCAGAACCTCTATCCGCTCCTGCAGGCGATTCTGAAGAAACGCAATCTTCATTTTCTTGTCGCTCCCTACAATGCGAGCGCACAGGTAAGCGATACTCGCGACATATCACAACCATCGACTAAAACTTGGCAGCTCGCATACTTTGAAATGCTCGACTCTGATCAATGCGCCGGTGTCATGGGCTCACAGGAGCTTTTGCTTTACCCTGTCAAGGACTGTGTCATCCGCAGCATCGATTTTGAGAACAAGACTGTCACTGCCATCTCTAGGAAGCGCGTAATGCGAGCTCTTGGAGTCGGAGAGGCTATGCTCATTGACGCCCTGCTCATGAGTGGTACTTCTTTTCTTCCACCCTTTCCTCCACTGTTGGAGCCTTCCATCTATCAGCATTCTTTCACCATTATGGATGCTGTCAACATTCTGCGCACATCGGATAAGTCTGTGGCGACAGCATGCGCATCATTCAACGATATCCTCGTTTCCCAGGACCCCAACTGGCTCGACAAGTACCGCAAAGCCAGGATGGCGGTGCATCACTTTATCCACATTACCGAGCAAGGCGAAGTGCGAGTCAATGATTTTGATAACCTCACTCAAGACAATCACGAATACCTGGGTCTGCAACTCCCTGCCGAGCTGTTTCACTACCTAAACACTGGCTTGATTGGCTCCAGAATGCTGAACTGTATAACACACGGTCAGATTCTCGTGCAGCCAACCTTGGACGGAGCTGCCTCGGACGAGTACAAGAAGCTCATGACTTCCAAAATCGTGCCCATCAAGGAGCAGGCTCTTGGGCTTATCATTCCCAGAGTCCATCGCGGCATTGGACACAAGGACATTACCATGCGTGTATGGTTCGACTCCAAGTTTTCCCACAAGATCAACCACCGTGCCCTGCAGCCGGTCCCCTCTCAGGTTGTCGGCACCTGGGATGTCAAGGAAAAGGATCTGCGTGAATTTTTTCCTGCCGATTTTGCTGGCCCCGTGTATCTCGAGGTCCTCGCTCTTGCCAACACGGACTTTGTCGAAAAGACGATTAGCCGTGACAAGGTGATACGCGGTGTCGATAGTACCGGCATGGTCGTTTCTGTTGCTATCTGGCGCTTCCTCCACCTCCGCGGCTACGTAAACGACTCACACCAGCTGACAAAGTGGGGTAACGCCCTGGCTACCACGTTGCTGGTTCTCAAGGAAGCCACGGAAACTCGCCCTGATGCGCCTGCTCTCGACGAGGCTGCACTTTTGGCATTTGAGCTTGTCAAGTTTGGTTTGCTGACAGGACAGTATCATGAAGGCACCCCGGGTCTTCCCCGCAAGGGCAGCGACGCTGACAAGGCTGCCGTGGTTCTCATCAGCCAGGCCGCCACTCTCCTTAAGCTGCGACACCAAGTATTTGGCTACACTGGCCCCCTGAACAAGAGCCTGCTCATGTTCCGTTCTCTATCATCGGCTGTTCGTGAAGCCGATCGGGATCTGATCGAGGCCATTGTCGCGTCCATGTTCATGTACGGTCAATGCAAGCGTGAGAGAGACGACCAGCTTGAAATCAGCCAAAAGTAAGTTGCTACGCGGTTGATGAATCGAGAAGAATACTAATGAATGACAGGCTTCCATTTTTGCAGGAGCCCGACATTGGCCTGGGTATCGCTGTGCGCACCTTTTTCGACGATGATGAAGCTGGCGACAGCAAGGAGGCACGGGCTGCACGCCTGGAAGAGTTTCCCAAGACCTTTGTACCATATGCCGAGGCCCTGACGGAAGATGTCCGCCTCGTTGTTGATTTTGTTAATGCCATCAACCAAGGCTTGCAGACTCTGGACAGCAAGGAATTGCGTGCCGAAGACAAGGCCGCTTGGGCCAAGGCTCAGGCATATCTCGACGCCAGACCCTTTTGAGGAAATGCGAATACGAGATGATGGAGCTACGACATGACGACATCTGTCACGGAATACGCCGTTCCTGATGAATACCCCATCGAGCGACAATGTAGATTAGGTACGCATGAGGCGGTAGCAGGACAGGCATACATGGCGTTGATAAAAGCATTGGCAGCTGCATTTGCACGCTCAGGGTTTCAATTAGCTTGCGAGGAAGTGGCTGAGCTCGCGGTTGGCCATGAAATTATGTCAGGTTGGAAGGCCGTGAGCTCTGCAGCAAGTGATTACAGTAGTATACCAGTAGTAAAATATGCTCATGCCAGAGATTTGTCATGATACCGTTGATTATCGCTGGTGGAGACGATGAGGTGTGATGTTGATTGGCTGGAATGGCTCTGGTGATGACAGAGACGAGATGAATGTGAGGCAGATTGGTGGAGATGCGACTGGGTCGTGTCAGAGAGCTGGCGTGGCTGGGGCGTTGACTTTCTTACAGGGCCATGATGCCTCAACACGGTTTCAGCAGCCTAGTGCCGGTCTTTACCAAACACGGAGTGCCAAGTTTAAGGGTCGAGCTGTCAAAGACGTGGTGCATCCATTTTGATGTAATGCGGTTGCTGCGGCGGGCCATGATGCCCGATGATGCCATATGGTGGATGCGATTCTCGGGCACTTGTGCATTTTGCAGATGATGCCAGATCCAGACTGGACAATACTGTTGAAATTGGACATGATTGATTCCATTCCATTTATCGGTCACAAAGTATGCGTAGATGTGTATATAATGTTGCAACCCAATGTAAATAAAATATAAGCTAATAAATAGCTGGCTAGTCCGCACACAGTGCTAATGGGTAAGAAAAAATATTGAGCCACGCCTTTGTAACAAGAACAAGAGAAAGAAAAAAAAAACACATATTCATCATAGGTAGAATTATTAAGTAATAGTCACGACCATGGGACCAGCAACAACGTTGTCGTCCAACAGTTTGCCGTCGAGCGGCGTCTCCTTGGTCAGCGTTACATAGGTGACGCCAGCCACATTCTCGGGGACGTTGCACTTTCCTTCCTTGAATTCGGAAAAGAAGGTTTTGGAACCAGAGGTGAATCCGCAGCCGGTCGCCGTGGACTCGGAACCGCCTTCGGCCTGGACGCGAAATTCGGAGCCGACTGAGAGCGTCATGCTGCTCCCGCCTTCGCTGCTGCTGCTGCTGCTGCTTGCCTCCCCGGTGCCGTTGCCGCCGGCCGCACCTTCACCTTCGCCGGCGGGGCCATCCATCATGGCGAGCTTGGGAAAGGGGTCAATCTTGAGGTTGGAGCCGTCGGGGCACGACTTGATAAAGGGAGCGGCGAGGGAGAAGACGGCGCGTGGGCTGAGGGGCGCGTCAAAGGCCTGGGGCACGGCGACCTGCTTGGAGAAGACGCGGATGGAGGACTGGTGGCGGGCCTCGATGGTGAGGATGGAGCCGGCGGTGCCGAGAATGGCCTTGTCGGTGAGGAGCGGGGCGGCGCCGAGGTAGGCCGAGAGGCCAATGTTTTCGAGGACGGCGGCCGTCTGCACCATGCCGGCGGCGTCGGTGAAGCCAAACTCGTACTCGCAGGGCTGGACGGGCTGGACGCCGCCCTGGGCGAGGGAGGACTGCAGCAGGCCGACGTGCTGGGCCTCGGTCTGGCCAATCTGCTGGAGGTCGTTGATGGCCTGCTCGTCGAGGCCGAGGGCGGCAAAGTCGGAGGCGGGGAACCGGGCAAAGCCTTGCTGGTAAAAGGTGTTTTCGAGGTTTTCGAGCGTGAGGGCGCTGTGGGAAAGGGGGAGGAGAGTTAGTTTGACAAATTATATTTAAGAGAGAGAGAGAGAGAGAAAAGGAAAGTTGGGCAAGGCAGAGACGTACAATTGCAAAATGTCAAAGTCACTCAGGCCACCAGCAGCCGCTTCCTCTTGCTGTCGCTTGGCGAGCGAGTGGTACTGCATCTGACGCGGAGTGAGGCGGACAGTAGCGGGCATGGCCGTGGCGGTGGCGGCTAGAACCGCGAGCATCGTCGTCTTTAATGAAGGCATTATTGAAGATTTGTTGTGAGAAAGAGGAGGACTTGAAGCGTTGAAAAGTCGTGATAAAGGAGTGAAACTGTGCAGGTTGAACCAGCAACTGATATTAATGTAAATGTCGGAACAATAAGCAATCCAGTGCTTTACAAGTCGAATTATGTAAGAATGAAGGTAATGGTCGGGATTTAATTAGATAGAGACGGCAAACCCACGTCAACGCGGAAGAGAACCCAGAAGAGTGAGTGAGTAAGTGAGTGAGTGAGTGAGTGAGTGGTTGCCCAACGGCAAAAGATGAGAAATCTAGAACAAGCGCAAAGCAATGTAGTTGAACGAGACAAGAACCAAAGAGTAATGGGAGAAGAAGGAGAAGAAGAAGAAAACAAAAGGGAAACAAGCTCGTTATTAAAATATGGTTTAGACTAGCTAGAACAAAGTGTTGAAAGAATAACTACTGCAGTCTTTTGTTAAACTTGAACCGTCATGAAACACCTTGGCCTTCACTTACACGGCGGCTCACCCGCGTTCCGAAAGGAGAAACGTCTACAATAGGAATGGGTGCAGCCCGCACCGGAAGTCGATTCGGCCGCCACGGAGAGGGAGGGGTCCAGCTCGGAGTCGCAAAAAAAAAAAGGAGCGGGTTTTAATGAAATCAGTCCGTGAGGGGGTTTATTAGTTGGTTGGGCTTTAAAAAATGGGGGGAGAGTGTGAGGAGGGTTGGTTGCCCAAGGTTTTGTTCAGGTGTTCCGGCCGGATTCGTAAAGATGCGAAACCCAACTTGACACAAAAGAAAGGACAAGGGCCGGCTGGGTTCGGGGTTAATTCGTGCCCGCCGCTCAATGAAGAGAGTAGAATGACAATTAAATCGAAATAGCCTAAAAATTGTCGCTTTTTTTTTTTCTTATTTTGCCAATCTTGGCCTCTACACATGAACCTTTCTTCTTTTCTACTTTGGCAATGGTTCGTTGGAACGCATGGATAAAGAGTCATCTGTAATTACACCATCTCTTGCAACCGGAATCGTGCAGAGAAAAAGCTCCGAGCTTGGCGACTCGCAAGCCATTACCCGGCGTTTCATCCTTTTCTGCTTCTTCTTCTTTCTCTTCTCCTTTTCAGTGCCCGACAGGCTCATCTGCGCGCCCGTTCCTTTTTTTTATTTTATTTTTTTTTAATGAAGCCCTTGAGCTCTTCGGTGCATCTGCGAGCCGTCCTCAGATATATTGCCCGAAAATCGTAGATTGCCCCATAGCTGGGGCCACTAGCATAATCGACGAAAGCCCCCTTCTTTATTACATGTCGCAACACCAATAACAGCCGCACTTTGTGAACGAAGAGAGAAAAGAAATCTCATGGCCAAAAAGAGAAAAAGAAAAAAAATATACTGCAAACGAGATGAAGCCAGTTTCTTGGCGGCCAGCTTTCATCGTAGCAAGCTAATATCGCATTGCCTATCCTCGGGAAATATCATGTTGCCCGCCTTGGCACGCTGGGCAAATGACTGATACGCCTTGTTGTCGTTGGCCTACTCTGGACAGCTCGAGTGGCAATATTGCATCTTGTTGATGAGTTGGTTTCTTGACGCATTTGC